ATCTTTCCAAAAGATTCGTTTCAAGTTTCGACTCAATAATGAAACCAACGTTCTCTCTTATTACGAAATGGAAGCAGTCAGACGCATAACGTCAACAGCACCAAATTTCGTTTCAAAATGCATTCCAAGAATTATTTCATTTTCCGAATTTCAAAATAAATTCAAACAGAAAAGAAACAAATGAAGAAAGAATAAGAAGAAAGAAGGCTCACCAGCAAGACACGGCAGAACCCGTTTTAGAACCAGAGAAGACGTGTGATGAGAGGACAGGAGAAGTTCTTTTTTTAAGCCCTACTCTCGTTCAGATACACAGAAGAACAAAAAATTCTAAATGACGAATTCTCTACTTTCTCCAAAGATTTTCACCTACGGACGAAGCAGAAAGAAAAGTGAAAAAAGTAACAGAAGTAAATCAATTCCCAAGGGTTTACCATAAAACAAAAATGAATTTAAAACTTGGGATACCCGGAACTATTCCTCGAGAAAAAAAGCAGCCTTCATCGATGAAAAAACCTTTTCCTCGTTGAAAAACCAAGGCGGAAGGAATTCAGACACCTCAAACAGGACGTTGACCCCGCGCAGATTTTTAGCACAGAAGGAGAAGAAGAAAGAGACACGTCCCAGCCGAAAGAAAAAAATTCTGGAAGGAAGAAAGAAGCGAAACCAGACCGGAGCAAGATTTTAAAAGAAAAATGGTTCCGCTCACACAAGCTTACTTTTAAAAATGTCTCACAGGTGTCACCTGAATCGCAGACCCAAAAATTAATTCAACAAAATCAACCGACCTATCTTCATAATAAAAAATTCACAGGTTCAAGAGGGCAATAGTAGCCTTTTTCAGGAAAGTCTAACGAAAAACAAATCTCACAAGACGAGGAATAAACGTCAGTACAATAACATCACGGGTAGAGAACTTCAGGCGACACCTAAGTAAAAATATCACTAACTTGGAGAGAAAAAAGAACAATGAAGGACCCAGACTCACCTTGTGCCGACATGGTGGCAACTCGACTTCGTACTAGACCACAAATTACTTTCGTTGAAGATATCTTCCTTCCTGAACTGCTTCTAATATCTGAAATACGATCCGTTCCATTAAACAACGCCACAAGTCTTGGAAACAAAATCACGGACTTCACGAAGGCCTCAGAGAAAATAAAATGTCCGCTCGAAGATTTTCAACTATCGCGGAATCTTCCTCCGTTGCGACATAACATTCTAACCCATGAGAAAATCCAAGGCCAACAGAAAACGAGAAATTCGACACTCGAGGAAAGAGGGGTTCAAAGAAAAAGACGAACCTGGCAGGTGTTGGTGTCTTCCTGTCTTGTTCCCCACCGGTGGGAGGAAAGTCTGGGGAAGATCGGAGAAAGGAATTCCTCGAAACACGCAAGCGGAAAGCGCGATCCCCGGATTTCTAATCCTTCCAGTTGATACGTAAAGGCACAGCGGGAAATGAACTGGGGGAAAAACTGGCAGGAAAGCGGAAAGAAGACCTGTGGACCCGCACGAAAATGGGCGCGAGAGAATGCAAAATTAAGCAAGTGACCTTCGAATGCGAAGCCACCACTTTTTCGACTAGCCCAAGGCCATTCTGATGATCCACTGATGCTTTAAAGCCTTTTTCACCGTGAAATTCCAAAAACAAATCGGAAGTTTCGCTGCCAGCCATCATTCCTTACTTGAAATTAGCTCACTTATTTATCGGTACAAACGCCTCGCGCAAGGCAAGTGAAATTCGAGAATCTCATTGCTTAAATCAAGCGGGGACGGCATGCCTTCATCACAACGTAGGAAATCAACGATCTCTTCAGTCGAAACATGATGAGACACGGAGGCACACATTATTGGATGCACATCGACTTCAAAGTACACCTCACTCGTCCTAGTTCAGCAGGTCGTTTCACATTTCGAAGAGCATTAAAGTACAATCACCCTTTGAAATGCTTCACTTTCTGGAGAAATGATCGATTCGTCCGTTAGGAGCTAGCATTTCCAATGCACATCAAAGCCACAAAATGAGAAATGACTTAGAAAACTTGCAGCCTAGCATCGTAGTTTCTCTTCCCTCAGCTTTCCAAACTAAGATTAGTCCGTACAGTCACACGGATACACAATAGGAAACTTGGGCAAATACACATCTGGATGTAATTTTACGCCATTACCGCCGCCACTTGCCGACGTGAACACAACGGAATGCGCATCGGCAACCGGCGAGGTTAATGTACAAAATATTGCGACCGGAAGAGTCTGTGAAGTGAACAAAAGTCGGATGGTTGAACATCCTCACCGGCTGTAGTCGCTATGATCTACATATTTCTCCTAGATGACGCTCACAAACACTTGGAAAATCTGTCTCTTGGTTTTCTCAACGAACTGCAATTCTGAAAAAATCACCAGTATCATAATCCTTTCTCAAATAGAATTTTTTTCAGTTTAACCATGTATTACTGTGGGAACACGTCCATGGGAAACCCTCCTTTTGACCTACATGGCTAGATGTCGCTTGCCAATCAGTGGGGCCTTGAATTATTCCCTGGGTATTCTGCGACCGTATCTCACTTTGAGTTTCATGCCTCACTACTCACTTCAAGGTCTGTTCATTTGAAAAATAATAATACTTGAAAATATTCCAACAAAAAGAAACTCTGAGCTGGACTTGTGAGAGACATGATCATCACTAGAATTACGTCTTCAATCTATGCTACATAGTTAGGCACAAATGCAGTAAAGATACAAATCAGATCACTCCCGCAAATTCAATAGAATTTGTCAAAAGCGCAATTGAATCTGATCACACGCAATTAAACTGTATTCTCAAAGTAGTCAAAGGCTTCATGCGTGTGAATGAATAATGACTCATGTGAAGCGAAGATTTCCCTAGCAACAATGATTGCAGCAGAATACATAATTGCAAAATATTTAAAGATGCTTGTGAAACAAGGTTCTATGTTGGAAGATATCTTCAGCTAACTTACCATGTCAAATTATATAGTCTTGATTTTTTTAGTGCAGTTGGTCTTAAGCAACATCAAAACGAATCAGTGAACTGAAGCATACTTAATGAATAACAAAACTATCAAATATATTTCAGCAAAAAAGTTGCCTATAGGAACCAAGCTCAAGTCAGAAACCAAAATTGAAAGAACATTTTGATTTGGCACAGCGTCATAACAAGAGGATGTTCGAGTGTACCAAGACATGAATCAAGAACAGAAATACAAAAACGATTCCTATATACAAATAAGATCAACAAATTCGACCTATAATCACCAGTTGCTGCTGTTTTACTTGTATCACTCTTTTTTCCTGCTTATTTCATTTCTTGACCACTTCACCATTTTTAATTCGGGGTGGGAACATTTGATTTCATGCAGCCACTCACGGAAAAAAATTATGGGACTGAATAGAAATGCCTTCCTTGATAATTAGTTGCTTATTGGCTTACTTCTTACATACTCTCTCATTTCCCTGGCATCACTGCGATGTTTCAAGATTTCAAAATAAAAGAAAGACATCGGAATACTCAACGAAACTCGCACTGATATCCCAACATTCAGAAGAACGTAGGCGCGAATAATTGGCCTCGAATTCGAATTCAGCAAAATTTCAACAACAAAAAATCGATTCACACTCTCTACAACAACAAAAAACCAAAAAAAAAACATACGATGTCCGAAAAACTGAAATCCATCAAGACGATCAAAACCTGCTTCACGTCGTGATTTGCGAACACAAAAATACAATAGTTTTAAATTTTTTTTCTCAAACGCATTCAAAATAAAAATTCAGAATCTCAAACAGCTTCTCTTCGACGATCTTCGCTCGAAGAAGAGGTCATACTCGCGTCCTGACGACGACCGACATTCGAGGTTTCGCGACAGACGAACAACTTGCGAAATGATGCTCCGAATAACACCTGGAATGAACAACAGGTTCAAAATTAAGACGATCGAAATTATTTCAAGACAACAACAAAAAAACCAGTCATCCCCTCATACAGAGTGATTGAATTTTGGGTAATGCCAAAAATACTGACAATGAAAGTCTGAATCTCAGTTTTTTCTCAACAACTACAGTACAAAAGATACCCACATGACGAAAAAATAATTCAGTTTCCAAATAATTTTTGTTTTGCCAAATTTTCCCTCGAGATATAACACCGCAAAATAATTGATTCTACTGGTTCCAGCCCCCCAACAAAAGACCATAATAAAAATACTGTACGAATTTCGCACAACACTTTGCAACAGAAAATTCAACATTTTCCGGCATGAAAATTTAAGTAATCCTCTTACTCATAACATTTCAGAATTTCTCAAATTATAAAAATAGGGACTTTTTTGTCTTCATTTTTGAAAGATTCTCAGGTTTACGTTTTCCTTAATATTGTTAGTTACGCGAAAAATTTTTCCCTTTCGTTATGCGGGAACTCACCATGTATATTTCAACTTTTCTCATGAGAACGTATACGGTAATATTGCGCAAAATTCACAACTTAAAAAATTCTCAGGTTTCAGTTCTGAACAAATCAAATTTCGCATTCTTTGGACCGAACAAATTCGTCATGTGAAGCAATTCCGTAATTTGAGTCACGTCCTCGCCTAAAATTGTCCCTACATGCGAGTTGTTCGTTGACTGACCGTACATTTCAACACTTGGCACATTGGAACAATGTAAAAAAAAAGATTGCTCAAAACTCACGCCGCCAACGATGAGCAGAACGAAGGACATCCCGTACAAAAACAAGGGCTGATAAATCATGGCTCCTCCCCATAAAGGCCCGAAGACGACACCCATGAACAAGGAGGTTCTCCGCAAACCCTGAGCCATTCCTAAAAAAAAAAAAAATCGTAACACCAAAATTATACATAAAACAATGGCAGCGACACCTAAGGACAAAAAGCGCAAACCTTGAGCATTCCGATGCACGACTTTCGACGCGAGAGACACAGCAGCAGCAGACAGAGTGGGCACGGCAACAAACACGACCCCGCAGCCAGCGACAAAGGGCCAGAAGAGGGTTGCCGGGTCGACGAGCCCCAAGGACAACGCGTGACTCACATAACCCATGATACCCACGGCCAAGACAAGCATGAGATAGCCAATGAGGACGATGATTCGGTCTTGAATCTTCGGCGCCAGAAACATCATGGCAACGTAGGCACACAGACCCTGGGCTCCTTCCGCCATGAAAATGAGACTCGTGACACGGGTGCCTTGCTTGAAGTAGTGTTCCACTGCAGGTGGGATGATTGTCTGGTAAATTAAAGACAAGCAAGATATAAAAAAAGGTGTTTACCCACAAAATGAACGCCTCATAAAACGCGATGATCCGCACTATTGACCATTAATTTGGACAGACACTCATTTTTACATGACATAATACATCAACTGCATAAAAATATTTTCCTTCATATCATGAAAATTCACTGGAGATTGAAATACCAGCAGCATTTCAAGATTCTGGGATGGTGTCCTTGACTTTTCAAAAGTTAACAAATCTAGGAGGATATGAGACAAAAACTTCTGCAAGATGGACAACTGGAGACAGGGACATTATGAGACATGTTCAATTGAAGAAAGGAACATTTTGAGATTGAAGTGAAAACTGAAGTGAAACTGAATACATAAACATTCTGTGACATAGACAATTATATAAAGACAACCACATTTTCAAAACCTGTAAAATCGAAGTCAGAAACATTTTGAGACAATTAAAATTCAAGACATGAACAATTTGGATCACCATAATTACTTTGAGTACCATGCAACCTCCATTGAGACACACACATAATTTTTAGTGACTAAAACTTCAGCATTTTAAAATTGAGAACACTTAAATTTGAATTTAGACATAAGTTGAACCTGATTTCAACTGATTTTCCATTGTTTCCATTAAAATCAGTTTCTCTCTCATGATTGGTTTAACATTTCTCCATAAAATCAAGTACAATGCTTACACTCAATTCATTTAAACGGTTTCTGAACTGTAATGAGATTCAACTATGGCCAGAATATCCCTATTCAATTATCCATGCTCCAGAATTGCGACTACTTCACGTCATTCAAAAATGTATTTCTCAATTGAATTGTATTAATTAAATTTCAAAAGGAAATTTCTTCTGAATTTGAACCAAAATTTCAACGATAACAAAAAAGAGAAAACCCGTCCTAAAAATGCCCTTACCTGAATTAAACACAGGACAAAGAACCCGATGGTCTGCATAAACAACAACGGCACGAGTCGGTCATCAAACAACACGTCGAAATAACCCAGTCGCTTGTCGGTCGGCGCCACCAGACCCATTAGCGGCGACGCTTCGTTATTGCCGCCGCCGCTGCTGCTGGGAACTCGGTTGGCCTGTGTGAAGCCACCGACATCTAGTTTCCTGTCTATTCGTCGCTCGTGCTCACTGGTGGTCAACCAACCCGCGTTTTTCGTCTCGCAAGCCCCGTCGTTGTTGTTGCCGACGGACCCACTGTCGAGCAATTCCCTGTCGCTGTCGTGACCTCCACTCGTTCCGTAATTCATCCTCGACGACGGACGTCTACAAAGAGAAAAAGTAGAATTCAAAAATATTAAAATTTCCGACACAAAATGCTTGCAAAATAATGAGCACTAAAAATTCACAAGTAAAACACGGCCACATTAAAAAAAACGCGATCAATTACACGTTACTGTAATAGATATACAACGCAAATATAATTTAGTAACGAAGAACTCGCGTCAACGACGTTTCCAAAAAAAATTAATAGAATATTTTCGCCTTCGCGTTCAAAGTTTCCATATTTTAAACAGAATTTCTCCAGGAAAAATCGGTGCGATCACATGAGCTTCAAAATATCCAGAGCAGCAACTTTTTAAAATCTTATTCATTAAATCAAAGTTCTGGCATTTATACGGTAAGTTATAAAAACTCTTTCTTATTGTAGAAATGGGAAATGATTCGCTGCGTAAAAATCAAATTGTGATAATCGTACTTCACATTTTGAATTTCCTCCATAGTATACTGTATAACATCAAAAAAAGTTGGGAATGCAGGATATTCTTGACAAACCTCTTGCGGAAGAACTTAAAAGCATCTACAATTCTACAGAACAACTAGTTTCCTTCAAAATTTCAGTCCAACCTGGTCAAAGAAGTACATGCACTTTGTTTTACTCTATCAGGAAAAGCTTTCGTTATTGAAAAAATAAAGTGTTCTTCAAGACGAACACGACAACAAATATTCCACCAATCACGTCGCGGCATATACTGTACTGTAAAACAGTAGAATTTCGTTACAACGAATAATCGCCAACAACGAAGTCGTTTTCAGGTGTCTCCCCAATAGCCACAATGTTTCACGAGGTACTTTAGAACGAATTTTCCGCTAAAAAGAAACTATTTTGCTGAAACTGACGCACGAAAAAAAAGCACATTCAAAGGACTCACTGGTTCCTGACGCGAACACCTTGTCGATGATAATCCCGCCCCACGTTCGAGTACAAGAAGAAAATGAGACACTGAAACACGGTCCACAACGACGCCATGACTAGGCCAGCACTGGATTCTTCGTCAATGATGAAAGACCCGATCCGAGTGTCGACGCGATGCAGGGCCAGGGTGAACATGGGGCCCACCATGATGCCGATTTGCCGCATAGCGAAGGCCACAGTCATGACCAGCGTCCTTTCAGACACCTTCGAAGCTCGGCCGAGTTCCGAGAAGCAAGCCGATCCGATTCCTGACCCAAAACCTTGCAAGAAAAAATGATTTTTATCAATATGAACAGCTTTATTTCTTCAAGAGGCTGATTTTCTCACGAACAGTAAAATTCCGTTACAAAAAACTCACAGGGACTTGAGAAAAATTGTTGAGTGGGATAATGTACTACAATGAGATTTTCAAAATACTGTGAATGAATTGAAAAATTCCAAATTAGACCAGCGGGTCAATTGGTTTCTCCTGTTCATCAAAAATTATAAAAAATTCCCTTAAAATTGAATATTCTTTTTCATAATTACAAGATACAGAAAATACACTGTGCAGAGGAAAACCACACAGTATGTGATCCTTTGGCATGAAAAGAAGCTCAAAAAAAGCAAAGAAGCATAAAATGGACCAGTTCTGGATTATGATTTTGAGTGAAGTTTAAAAAAAATACTTATTTTTGACATTTTTTAAAAATTATAAACAGCTGAATAATTCGTTCAAGAGGCTCATTTTCTCACTGTAAACTTTTTTCTAAAAAACCACAGGGACTTGGTTTAAAAATTGTTGAATAATGAATTGAATAATAGTTTACAATAAGATTTTCAAAAGTTAAACCAGCACAAATGAATTATTTTCCATTATTCCTATCATTTTAGGTTATTCACTAAAATTTTACAAACTCAGTAATATTTTTAAATCAACTGCTTAGTTGAGTATGGTACAACTTTTTCACATGTTCAAACCAAGCAAAATTTCAAACTTTCCAATCATGACATTGGATAAGTGAAACCTGTTTAAATGTGAGCGACATCTGTGTGAAAAAAGACAGCAGGAACATTAAAAGACTCACCACACATGAAACGAGCAGCGAGAAGAACCCAGGGATGCATTCCCACGAAGTACAAACAATGTCCGAAGATTTGACACAAGTTCAAGTAAAGCAACACTTTCCGCGTGTTCTCCGATCGATCCACACAGTGTCCCACAAATAACCCGGAGAACACACCTGTAACACTGTAAGCTGTGCCCGGGACAGGGTGGAAAAAACGAGAACAAAACAACAAATGAATTTTTGTGGAATGCAGGTAAAAATCCAACAAATAACTTCAACAAAAAATAAGGGAAAAATCCCCATAAATTACAACTTCTTTGAAAGAAATAATAAAAAGAACTCAAATTCTAACTTAACATTTATTTAATTTCATATCTTACCTTTCTCAAATCTCCTAAAAACAGTAGACAAAATTTTTGCATGCTTCCTGTTATGATCAATTTTCTGTAAAAAAATATATTACATTTATATTCTTTGCAGGGCTTTTTTCATTTCATGAACAATTTGAATTTTTCCTCAATTCTGACATGTGGTAATTTTTTTCGATGGCCTATGCACAGAATGAAAGCAAAAATCACTATAATGAGATTATAGAGAAAAATTACTTGGTTACAACGAAACACTGCCCCTGTGGAGAAACTGCTGACACAAAGAAAAAATTCGTCAGGGCGAGAATTTAATGTTCAATTGTTTTCGAGAAAGTATTTTCGACGAAATTTCGAGTTAATTTCTTTCAAATACGAGATAAGACACTATAATTGAATTCAAGTTTTGAACCTGAATAGAACACTTACTTGAGATCAAGAATCCCAGGAAGGTTTCGTCATGCACACCGAGCCTCCGAAGATATTTCCACGCCGTCGGAAGCACAACAGCTGCAACAATGAATCAATAATCCAATCATCAAATCACTTCACTTGACAATAACACAACTAATATTTACCGATTTCCATCCCTTGGATGAACGTGGACGCGTAGATGAGAAAGAACGACACGAATCGCCGTTCCTTGAAGGACCATCTCTTGGTGATTCCCGTGGTCATGGTTCTTTCTTTTTCCAATATCTTCCCAGTCGATTCTTTTTCCTCACAAGAAATAATAGCCAGAAAATGAAACCACAAATGCTAAACAGTTGAGCATGTGTCAAGAAACTGCAGTTGGCCGCACTTGCAGCAGCTCCGGTACAAAAGGAACCATCGTGTGGAAGTCTTTGTGGAAACAACCAACTCTTCCACGAGTTGAGAAGATTAAATAAAATAGAAAAAACCCGGAGGACGGGCTGCAGGAACCTGAGTACAGACACAAGATAAATAGCGAATCAAGTTTCAAAACACTCAAGATGATCATTCTTTTCACTCGACACCCGGAAGGAGGAAGACATCAAGGTTTCCGTTTGATGGTTATCCTCCGGAAAATGGAAAATCTTCGTATTGCTCTTTTCATTTGTAGCACTAATTTTTAAAATTCCTTTTTAAAATGAGTAGCTTTAAAATTTTATTTGATAAGAATTGAAAATATACGAAAAAAGATTTCCGGAGACAATTATTGAAGAGAATTTAAGTGACGCATGGAACAAATAAAAAATTAAGTTTTAAAATTGGTAACACGCGAATTCATCAATACACCATTGAAATTTGTTTAAATACAGTTGCGTAACGAAAGAAAAATTAGAGAATTGCAATTGGCGATACTGCACTGATAGGATGTTGAACTTGGAACAAAACGCATCAGGTTACAATTTCATTGCTTTCTTCTTTCCTGTGTCAATAAAATAGTAGCCAAAAGGCCTCCAAGCAGAGAATACGAGTTATGGAGGTTTTCGGGAGGAATGCTTTCGAATCAGGGAGGTTTTTAATGCACTGCTTCTATAAGGGAATCCAGACATAATAACTTGAAAATTTTCGAAATACGAAGGTTCAACTTTACATTAAAAAAAAGAAAAATATCGAACACTCCACGGAACCTAAAAAACAACTGAAGACCACGTTCAAAACACGGCATATTATCACTCCAACAAGAAGATCTTGCTGATGGCCATCAATAAAACAAAGCCACGAGTCCTTCAACATACACAACATCTGCAAAACACGGATCCAACACACACTGACCTCAAGCACTCTCACTCGGGAACGAACGAAAAAGGGGGAGAAGGAATTCGCTCACACGGAGCTTTCACGTTCGAAACACGCAGCCAAGGACTGAAGCCTTCCCCTTCGAACACCCGAGAGGACAAAGATTTCAACCCCCAGGATGAGGAGGGGTTGCCTGTCCGCCGACGACATATCCCAGCAACCGACAACACACTGTTGGACAACCCGTGAAAAACGGAGCTTCGGGTACTTCCACACATCTCTCGGAAACAACAATACGACCTTAGATTTCCCGAATTTCTGTCACACGATCAGTCATTATCCTCACTTTCTCACTCGAAGTATCATTTACCTGTCAACTATGTGTAATCCTTCGAGATTCCGCACTAATTTCTGCACGTGAATAATTCCTCGAAGAACAACTCCCCGCGGGATTTGTGTGAGTGGGGCTTATATTCGCGCACAACCCCTTCGAGGAACGGGTGTCTTATCGGCACTTCTTTCACAGCAGATGTCGAACGCCACTCATATTTTGCACACAAATCTCTACACAACGCGCTAATAAGAAAGGCCTTCGACCTTGCGATTCAAACAAAAGGTTTCCTGGTTGTACAGCCCCACATCCTCGGAGACTAAAAATTCCACAGTTGACGCACACAAGGACAAAGAAGAGAGCATAAACAATAGGAATGCTTAAATAGATCAAGAAGTGATGACGTACCATATTATTTATGCAACTCTTTCCATTTTTCTAGAAATCACGCACGCCGAAGAATTTCATCGTACTGAATCGCTCGTATATGGAATTATTCTGTTATTACGACCAAATTTGACTCGACATAATGTTCTCGACTGCGCTGTAATGTTCTCGTCTCTTCAAACATAATGCCGAAAGTTTCCAAAAGAAAAAATTAAATTCGCAGGATGTGAGCAATATTTAATTGGAACTATAGCCAAAAGTTAAAGCCAAAACTCATGGAATACTATAGCAACAATCAACCAAGAATCTCGGAGATTTAGTAAATCTGGACAAAAAAGGTAGAAAGGAATACGAACACAAGTGTTAACTACGAAAAAATAAAAGGTACAAGGAAGAATAAGATATGTTAATGAAAACTCAGTATAATTGAGAGCATCAAAACTTGAAATTAGCAGGTGCTGTATACGCCGGACGTTTAAATTCCGGATGTCGTTCCCGAAGAGTATCGGAAGTTTTGCAGATATCCACTATTTACGACGCATCGATCCATTAGCTCATGATCAGCAAAAACCAAACGAATTTCGGAAATTGTGCATACAGCATTTAAAATTTTCTGCCGAATTACACAGATTTCGCGCTGGAAACTGATCCAGCACTTATTCTATCTCCCCAATAATTCACATATATGCGCGAAAAATTCTGCTTAACACTTGAATATACACACACCGGCTTTCTACGATACTGCTGTACCAGTTATTGATAACAATTCCATCGTCGTCCTCTGCGGTTGCACCAGCACCGCTGGTCACAATCCCGACCAGCGAATTGCGCGCCAATTTGCTATCTTTCCGTTAAGCATGTGCGCGTGTCCTTGAACATGGCGCGCTGGAATGTGCGATCAATCTGCCATCTACACTTCTACAGTACATCTAAATGTACAGAGGAAAAGCGCGGGAGAACTTTCCTCGTGGGCCCTCCCCTCAGCCGATGAGCACGACAAGAAGCACCCTTACATTTCGTGGTTTGACACCAAATGGAACTTATAAGAGTTCGTGAATTAATAGAGGTTCTTAAAAAATTATTGCTTGCAACCACATTTTTTTCTTTTGGTCTCTGTTCAATAGCCACAATGTTATTATGCAACTTTGCATCAACACATTTGCGTTTACAAACAATATTTCAAACCCCTTATTGTTGCTGAGAAGATTATATTGTACCATGTTGCACAGGGGGATAAGTGGAGCAAATAGAGGTGTTCTCTCCACAAAAATCTTGCCTCCAACATTTTTCCCTGCACAACACATTTTATGGCCCCCCCGGTTCTTTACTTACCATACGAGTTATTCTCCACATGAAGCATTATTATCTCTACAACGCTTTCTTTTGGGTCCCTTGAATTTCATTGTAAGGCGGGGCAGTCCACCTGTGTATACAGTATACTGATGTTTTGAAAGCCAAAAACACGTATTGTATTTTGGATGCAGCGCATTGAGAATGCACCAGAATTAATTTGAGAAACTAGAGTGAATATATAGAGCATATTACCAGAAATTAAGTTACTGTATGCAGAAAATCTGAATGGCTGCCTTCTGGTAATTCAAATGAATTTGTATATACTGTACACTGCATTTATAAATTGTTAATCTGAATGCCATCATGATACAATCACTTGTATGTTTTCTGGCCCTTGTGTTTTGAATTGAGAACTGTGAATATGCTAACAAGTCACTCAGAAGCACAGTTTCTTACAAAATACAGTTCCAATTGCCTACATTTACAATACTTCACAGGAAAATCAATGGTTTCTGCATGCACTAAACTTTTGAGAAAGAAATAAAAGCAGCTCAATAATCTTGGGGATCATAAATGATTTTATGATTCAAGATTGTCTTTTGGGTTCAGGGAACCAATCAATAATGTACATGGAAGTCTATAGGAAAGTTTAATTTTCCCTCAATCTTTCCTCTGGAACAATGGCTTTGTGAATATAAAGGGTTGACTACAACTTGGATATTGCATTTTTTCAACTGGTGCCACTTCATTTCATGAAAAAATGACTTTATCTTTTTGCTGTTACTCCTTGAGTCCTTATGGACACCAACAGGCTCATTATTTCCATCCCACACCAAAGTTGAGATTTTTTGCACACAGTCTCATTTCAGTTTGACCAACAGTCATCAAAATGTGCCTGGGTAAGGAAAAAATGTGAGAATAAGAAAAATTCTTTTGAATTTAGAAATCTTCACTATTAACACTATGTTGGGAATGCAGGAAAAAAACCAAGCAAGGATTTTTTTGGCAAACATTTTTTGCTGGCAGAGCAAAGAATACTGGCATTTTTCACAACCTAGGTTCTCATTCTATGTTTTTTCCAGTGCCCTTGAGCACACAATTTTGAAAAAAAAAAAAACACAGATTCTTTGCCACAGAAAAGGGTTAAAATAAAGGGGCCAATAATTGCAGTGGCAGGATATGGAGCACTTCCTTGACTTTTGCTGCAACAGCACAGAATTCACTGAAATTGCTATTAAAAAAAAGTCATTAAAAAGGATTAAAATCAAATAACATTCAGTCATTGAGAATAACTGCTTTCTTTCTTTTCGCGTTACCTGACCATCGATCAACATCATCATCAGAAGCGATTCAAACAACAAAATCACAAAAAATAATAATTCGCTGGCATATTGGAAACCCCATATTCCCCCTTTTTTTTCCAAATCCTCCTCAATCACTTGCTGCCAAAAGCGAGCCAAAATTCTTCTTCCTTGTCTCTGAACTCCTGCTCCACTTCCTCATCTTTGCGTTGGGATCCGTTCCACGCAGGTGCTTTTGCATCTTCCATGTGGAAGTCATCTTCCTCATCGTTCCCGGGGTTGTCTTGGGACCTGCTGGGGTCCAGCTGAAGAGGGATGTCGAATTGCTGGTCTAGTCCCAGGTAGGAATCGGACACCAGGTACAAGGTAAGCAGCAAACGTCCTGCGGAACAAGAATCAAGTCATGAAAGTTGCACTTTTGTANCCAGCACTTATACTATCTCCCCAATAATTCACATTAATGCGCGAAAAATTCTGCTTAACACTTGAACATATACACACCGGCTTTCTACGATACTGCTGTACCAGTTATTGATAACAATTCCATCGTCGTCCTCTGCGGTTGCACCAGCACCGCTGGTCACAATCCCGACCAGCGAATTGCGCGCCAATTTGCTATCTTTCCGTTAAGCACGTGCGCGTGTCCTTGAACATGGCGCGCTGGAATGTGCGATCAATCTGCCATCTACACTTCTACAGTACATCTAAATGTACGGAGGAAAAGCGCGGGAGAACTTTCCTGGTGGGCCCTCCCCTCAGCCGATGAGCACGAAAAGAAGCACCCTTACATTTCGTGGTTTGACACCAAATGAAATTTATAAGAGTTCGTGAATTTATAGAGGTTCTTAAAAAATTATTTCTTGCAACCAATTTTTTTTCTTTTGGTCGCTGTTCAATAGCCACAATGTTATTACAACTTTGCATCAACACATTTGCGTTTACAAAAAGTATTTCAAACCCATTATTGTTGTTGAGAAGATTATATTGTACCGTGTTGCACAGGGAGATAAGTGGAGCAAATAGAGGTGTTCTCTCCACAAAAATCTTGCCTCCAACATTTTTCCCTGCACAACACATTTTATGGCCCCTCCGGTTCTTTACTTACCATACGAGTTATTCTCCACATGAAGCATTATTATCTCTACAACGCTTTCTTTTGGGTCCCTTGAATTTCATTGTAAGGGGCAGTCCACCTGTGTATGCAGTATACTGATGTTTTGAAAGCCAAAAACACGTATTGTATTTTGGATGCAGCGCATTGAGAATGCACCAGAATTAATTTGAGAAACTAGAGTGAATATATAGAGCAAATTACCAGAAATTAAGTTACTGTATGCAGAAAATCTGAATGGCTGCCTTCTGGTAATCCAAATGAATTTGTATATACTGTACACTGCATTTATAAATTGTTAATCTGAATGCCATCATGATACAATCACTTGTATGTTTTCTGGCCCTTGTGTTTTGAATTGAGAACTGTGAATATGCTAACAAGTCACTCAGAAGCACAGTTTCTTACAAAATACAGTTCCAATTGCCTACATTTACAATACTTCACAGGAAAATCAATGGTTTCCGCATGCACTAAACTTTTGAGAAATAAATAAAAGCAGCTCAATAATCTTGGGGATCATAAATGATTTTATGATTCAAGATTGTCCTTTGGGTGCAGTGAACCAATCAATAATGTACATGGAAGTCTATAGGAAAGTTGAATTTTCCCTCAATCTTTCCTCTGGAACAATGGCTTTGTGAATATAAAGGGTTGACTACAACTTGGATATTGCATTTTTTCAACTGGTGCCACTTCATTTCATAAAAAAATGACTTTCTTTTTGCTGTTACTCCTTGAGTCCTTGGACACCAACAGGCTCATTATTTCCATCCCACACCAAAGTTGAGATTTTTTGCACACAGTCTCATTTCAGTTTGACCAACAGTCATCAACATGTGCCTGGGTCAGGAAAAAATGTGAGAATAAGAAAAATTATTTTGAATTTAGAAATTTCAACTGTTAAACACAATGCTGGGAATGTAGGAAAAAAACCAAGCAAGGATTTTTTTGGCAAACATTTTTTGCTGGCAGAGCAAAGAATACTGGCATTTTTCACAACCTAGGTTCTCATTCTATGTTTTTTCCAGTGCCCTTGAGCACACAATTTTGAAAAAAAAAAAAACACAGATTCTTTGCCACAGAAAAGGGTTAAAATAAAGGGGCCAATAATTGCAGTGGCAGGATATGGAGCACTTCCTTGACTTTTGCTGCAACAGCACAGAATTCACTGAAATTGCTATTAAAAAAAGTCATTAAAAAGGATTAAAATCAAATAACATTCAGTCATTGAGAATAACTGCTTTCTTTCTTTTCGCGTTACCTGACCATCGATCAACATCATCATCAGAAGCGATTCAAACAACAAAATCACAAAAAATAATAATTCGCTGGCATATTGGAAACCCCATATTCCCCCTTTTTTTTCCAAATCCTCCTCAATCACTTGCTGCCAAAAGCGAGCCAAAATTCTTCTTCCTTGTCTCTGAACTCCTGCTCCACTTCCTCATCTTTGCGTTGGGATCCGTTCCACGCAGGTGCTTTTGCATCTTCCATGTGGAAGTCATCTTCCTCATCGTTCCCGGGGTTGTCTTGGGACCTGCTGGGGTCCAGCTGAAGAGGGATGTCGAATTGCTGGTCTAGTCCCAGGTAGGAATCGGACACCAGGTACAAGGTAAGCAGCAAACGTCCTGCGGAACAAGAATCAAGTCATGAAAGTTGCACTTTTGTAAAGAAAATTAAAAAAAAAATGTATGCACAGTAGAATTTCGTTATAAAGAATTTTTGGTTACAACGGATTTGATTTTCGATTCCTGTCCAATAGCCAAAATACAGTAGTATTCTGATGTCATTACAACAAATTTTTTGTTCATAATAAAGCTTCTTGAAGGCCATACACTTTTTTGTATCAAGATTCTATTGTAAATACTGTAAACAGTACAGTGGGTCCCCACATAACAAAATTAATCCATATCTGTATGAATTTTGTTGTGTGAAACGCGTTTTATTTGAAGATTACAGTTAAATGATACCCCAAGATGTGGACATGATTGGTGCATCAAGAGTGTCCCCAAGTCAAAATGGATCTCATATTCCCTTAGCCTTACATTATTTATTTTTAATTGGTGTTTTATGGACAAAATATTCATCACAATTCCATGAAAAAATTGATTCCCAATTGCAACTGATTCAATCAATAACAGCCACACAATAAGAACATTTGGAGCATTGAATACTGATACATATGTGCAGTAGAGTAAATTGAAATGTTTGCATTCTCTGTAAAAAATAATATGGTAAATTGATGAGAGAAATGCAGAAGAACTTTTCTAACATAGATATCAGGGTTGGAAATATCTGTTCCTTGGAATTTGGCCTGAAACATATTTTCAATTTTAGCACACTATGTCCATATGTCAAGTCAGTGTCCGCATGTTGGACCATTTTTAAAGGGAAAATAAGTGTCCTTATGTTGAGTTGTCCACATGTTGAGGTGCCCGCATGTGGGGGTCTCACTGTACATTGTAATTTACAGTACAGTACACTACTTCATTTTTGGCCTGCCACTCACCAAAAGAACAACAATAAACCAAAATACTGTAGTTTTTTTCTGCAGAAAATTAAAAAAAAATACTGTTTAGCATGAAACTGAAGTAATCCTAAAAACTTCCTGAGTGTCTGCAATTGCAATACAGTAACATAAAAATTAAAAAGAAAAATGCTTTTTTTTTTTGCTTTTCTCTCAATTTATTTCTGTAACATTCTTTAGTTTCACTAACAAACTTGTTGTAATTTTCACCATTTTTGGCTAAAAAAAAAATTTCGCTAGGTAAAATAGTTTCATAATCCGAGTCAGGCTTTAATCCCTAAAAATGTTCGTTATGCGGATTTTTCGACGTCTGGGTCTTTCGTTGGGCGGGGACGCACTCCACAGTATATATTTAAAGAATTTGGCAAAGTACAATAAATTCAAAAGCAGTAACGCTTGATTCAACTCGTCACCAGCAGATTTAACGTTCGATTATATCGATTATATCAACGCACGTAAGCTTTTGAGGAATAATAATTTAATAATCCGGAACTTTTATAAATTAATAATCACTCGATAAATTTGACACTTACCCGGTGCAGGTGGGGTATGGAATGTGAGATGGAAAGTTGCTCTGGTTGCAATGTAACCAACACGTTTCAGTCCCAGCAACTCTCCGCTGTCAACACATCCCAGCACCAGGAACCAGCCTAAAACAATGAAAACAAAGAAATGCAATTAATATAATACACGCATTCAAAATCAGAGAACATATTTCAACCACAAAATTATCCAGTTTTTTGAAAAAGAAAAAAATGTGAAGAGTCTTCTTCACATTTTTAATGTTTGTTGAGTCAATAGACACAGCAACAAATGAAAAAAAACTTGATCTTATAAATACGTGAAATTCAATCCAATTTGTGACATTATTTTACTGATCACTTCCAAACAGTCTTTTTTGTTTGAATAAAATCTGAACATATTATCAAATATTAAAGTTTCACTTTTCAATTACCCTAGCAGTCGGTTCTTCTCTTTGTCCATCAAATTCAGCACAACAAATCCCAACATTTGGCATGCATGGCTTTCCAAAGATAAAATAAAATATGGAAAATGAACTCATAAGCCATTACTCACTTGAGAGTTAAGATTGATTGAACACATAAGTGCCCAAATTCAGCATCTTGATCAGTACTACCAGTAGCAGTTTTTTAAGACAACAGAGTGAGAACTGATAATATTTATATAACTTCTAATAGCAATTAACTCCTAATGATATTAATCCCTTCACATTTTATCAAAACGGATCAAGGACAAATTGAGTCATACAATTTGAGAAAGGGCCAATTTGAGACAAGGTCAAATATAGACAGGACCAAATTCAGACAGATGCTTTTGGAGACAGGGACAATTTGAGACAGAAACTGTTGGAGACAGGGACAGTTTCAGACTGAAACTTTTCAGACATGGAAAAATTGAGACAAATACAATTTGAGAACCTGAGACAGATACATTTTGAGACAAAATGACATGACTGTGTTTCTCCCTATTATCTTATGTTTAAAAATAATAAGGAGAAAGTTAGTGTTCAAAGATAATATGAGTGGATATGAAAAAAAAATTCACTGCTTCGTGAAAAGTCAATGATCCCAGGGTGTTTCTCCTTTTTGTCCATCATCCCTGTCAAGTGAGTTTTCCTCATCAAGGAAAGAACTCAAATCTTTGAACCAACCCAACCAGATTCCTCTCCTCATTAAGATAGTTTTGTCTCAATTTGTCCCTGTCTCAAATTTTCCTTGCATTTTTAATTAATTTTAATAACAGCCAAAGGGCTTCTAGAAAATTCGAGTTACAGAAGTTGGAGAGGGAAAGCCTTTGAGTTAGGAAGGTTTTTTAATGGCATTGTTTGCAAGGGGATAAAGACAGGGACTCGGAACAAACAAATTGACAAAGGGAGGTACGACTTATCAAGGTTCAAGTGCTGCTAGGAAATAATTCACTTAAGTTTCAAATACCTTCGTCTTTTCCTTTATTCCATGCCGGTGTCACGGCAGCAGTATTCCATTTATTGTTCCCACCAGCATTCCGGCGATCACTGCCTTTTTTATCACTGTCAAAGACACCATCACCACCAGAAAAGCCTCGATGCGTCTTCTGAACAGCTCTTTGAGAATGCCTCATCTTTGCGTGTCCGGCTCTGCGACGCACTTTTACCCTCAGGGTGTATTCTGTGCCGCAGGCGATCGTAGTCCAGTTCATCTTCGCTGTACTCGTTTCTGTAGGAAAAAAAAAAAAGAAAGGTTATTCCACGTGTCCGAAGTCACGTCTTCGAAAAACCGAATATAAAAATGTACACTCAAGACGAAACGAAGAAATCATTCCCCAAATATACTGGTTCCAGCACCCGCATAGAACCCAACTTGGAAGGTACAGTTGAACCTCCCGAATTCGATTTTTTTAAAGTCCTGGTCTGAATTCTGTTGGAGGCAATGCATTGAAACCTCTCAACTCAAGGGCTTTTCTTCTCAAACCTCCTCATTTCGAATTTTTTGAGGCCTTTTGCCCATCATTTTCTTGACACACAAACAATAAAAGCAATGAAGAAAGTATCTTGATGTGCTTTGAAAGAAAGTGAAGGACTAGTTGGGCAAACAAACCCTTGCCTCCAGCCTCAGCATCTTGTCAATAGCCCAGAATATCACCAATTACAATTTTTTGCAATTCTTTCATCTTTCCCACAACAAAAATGCTTGTTTCCTCAACTGGAAACTTTCCCAAATCAAATTTTCATTGCTGGTCTCTTGAAATTCAATTTATAGAGGATGAAACTGCAGGCGACATCTATGTCAGAGTAGTGAAAACAGAATTATACAGTGAGACCCCTACATGCAGACAATTCAACATAGGGAGATTTATTTTCCAATAAAAAAGGCACAACATGTAGACAATGACTATACATGAGGACATTGCAGGATAAAATTGGCAATACGTTTTAGGAAAGTGACTTTTACATCAGACTGAATTGCAAGAAACAGATATTTCCAACCTCAAGATTTATGCAAGAAAAATTCTTTGGTATTTTCTCATCCATTCAGCTAATTAAAAACAATTACCGCCAGCCTAGAGGGACTTCCATTTCTCCTTATGACTTGAATGTTATTTTTACAGATGCATACACTTCAATGTACTGTACAGAGGCACAGTATTCAATGCACCAAATGATCTTTTTGAGTTGAAAGATATTCTCTGAATCAATTTCAATTAGCAGACACTTTTTTTCGATTCTGATGAATATTTTTTACCTAATACATCAATTAATATTATATAATGTAAGTCTACGAGAAAATGAGACTCAACTTAGGGACATTTTGACTTAGGGGCACTCTAGTCTTGATGCACCAATTACATTCACATCTTGGGGCCAAACTGTAGTGACATCCACCATAAAAGCGCAGCAGGAAAACGACTCTTGCCTTCGATGGGAACGTCGACAGGGATTTCCTCGCATTTATCCTCCTTTGAAGAATAAGAAGATGATGATGACGGAATAAGAGTCACAGCGTCCAGTTGAATCAAGGGAAGTCTGCAAACAGCGTCAAACACAGCTTCCACACCGGCTTCGTCCAGAGAATCGTCCTTTCGCAAAGCATGTGCCAGGGTCTCATATGCTTCATTTTCTCCACACTCCGACATCCGAAGCAAGAGCTTGGGTAGAGAGTCTATCCTCTGTTTCCCTCCGTCGATCATTCTGGATATTTGACAACAAATAAAAATAATGAGAACAAATGATAAATAATAATTTAATAATATTATTAAATTTGGCAACAAATTTTATACAGTAATGAAAATAATATTGATGCTGATGGAATAAAAAAAATCACACTGTTTCACAATGGTATGTCCATCAGCAGATCCAATTAACTGTTTTCTACACAGGTGTCACCATCACAAGATTCTTGAAGTCTTGTCTGCCCACAGGCGACATCTATAGGGTCATTGAGTAGTATTTCACAAACCACAACAAAAAGAGCAATACTTTTGGGGGAAAATAAGCCATTGGAGTAAAATTCTCTGAAATTTCATGCACAGTAAAAATAACATTTTCTTTCACATGAATAAATGATTGAAATTCCTGCTCCTTTGTACTGAATTTTTGTCTTCTTCACCACAGATCACTCATAAAAATTCCACAAAATGAAAATGCATTTGAAACCTCTAAAACATTCCCATACAGTGGACCCCTGGTTAACAAACTTTTCTTCTGGGGAAAAATACCTGATTGACAATTCAAAATTAGATTCTGAGGCTAAAATGTATGGCACAATCCAAGTGCAAATAATTATCTTATATACTGATATGAATTTTCTTCCCTTCTGACACTCTGATATGTGTAATCTTGTGATTTAAAATTTGTATCAGCTACATCAGTGAGTGTTCCCCAACTGTGGTCTGTGGACCAGTGCCAGTCTGCAAAATATTTTTGCAGGTCCACAGGATTTTCTTGCAGCATATTGAATTTATCAAAAAGTAGCAATGAAGTCTGTTTTCTTTATCCAAAATTTTGCAGCAATAATTGCAGAGACAAAATTTTCTGTTGAAAAAATAAAAGTTGGCTTTTCTCCCAACTAATGCTTCAGACAAAGTTTTGCACGCTGATATAATTTATTTTTATTTTTTAATCCTGAGAAAACTTTCCTCAAGCTCACTTTTCTAATTTTTGGAAGACATTGCCCTATAGCTGCTTCATTGGCATTTTAATTTTTTTTACAAAAATGCAGAAGCTTTTAAAATACCTGCCATACACTATTTCAAGCAAACTTTCTCTGGTCTGCAAACGATTTATGAAACTTTGCCGGTCTGCAGAAAAACTTTGAGGAATTTATGCCAATAAGCAAAATTATTTTTGTAAATTTACTGATCCACAGTCCCAAAAAGGTCGATTGAGCTACATAATTCATATGCTTTCCTTGGACATAATTCTTTGCTTTTCTATGCTTGGTTTTTCTAGTTAGTCAATTGTTAGCAAGGTCTATTTGATCTTTATTTGCAGCATTAAACAAAGAAATTCTATTTTCACCTGGCATTTATTCTTTGGTGTGTGTTTCTCTGGACGTGAACCTTTTGTATCTTTGCTTAAATCAATGTAACACTGCAAAGAAATTCTGGGCACTTACAAGATGCAACTTCTTCTGGTGTCAATTTTTTCATACGCAACGTTCAATTGTCTTTTGGGTTCACTGAATGGATTAAATTCTTCCTGATTGAAGTACATGGGAAAATCAAATTCGGTCAACAAACTTTTGCCTGGAACCAATAAAGTTTGTTAACCAAGGGTCCACTGTGCGTTCCTCAGAAAAACGCGTCAGAGGAGGTATAGGAGTAAAAATCATAATTTCGTGCCGTTGGAAACACTTCCACAATCACAGGAAAATCATTTTACAACTCAGGTTTTTCAAAAATTGTGTGCGAAGTTGGCAAATTTCAAAATGATTTTACAATGGATTATTGTACAGCAGTGGGGAAATATACTCACGAGAAACACGCAAGAGTCGTCAGTCCGACTCTCGGCAAAGTCAGCAGGTCACAGTCATTCAACCAGCGAGCTTGAATTATCATTTGCAACAGGTTCTGAACCCTTAGGGCAGTTGCCAAGAGTCCTTTCTCACTCGAAACATCCAGCATCGCCTAAAAAAAAAAAAAAAAAAAAGAGCTAAAAAAATCACCTCAGCAACACGACCATCAATGTTTCAAAAATGTTCATCCGAATGAAAATTTCATGAAACTAGAGAACTGAATTTCCCACTTATTTTTGAGAAAGTTGCCAAAAATCACGCAAAATGCGATCAGCGCTTTTCCAGAATGCCAAATTCAACAGAATTTCACATCAGAAAAATCAGTTTTCTTTTATATTTTTACAATAGCCATTGAGAAGAAATTGAAAAAAGTGGGCCTCATAGAAAATTATGCCCAAAGTCTTTTGAAATTGATTTCGAATCCTGGTAAGAGTTCTATGACAGTGAGGACATGCAGCAAAAATCTCGTTACCACGAACTCCTAGGGACCTGTAAAAAAAATGTTTTACAGGTTTTTTGGAACATTCGGGATTGAAATTTTGCGGGTAACAAGAATTTCTTCTAAGGGTTTCCACGACGTATATTTGAAGTATCCTCATCAATTCGAATTTTGAATGAACTAATAAAAAAAAACTGAAATCGCAAAATATAATTTCATTATTTAAGACTGTCCCTTTCTTCAATTTCCTAAAAATGTACTGATCTCACTGAATTATACACTGAAACAACCACAAATTACATGCATACAAAGAGCATTTATATAATTAAAACCTCTTCGTGTTCTCTGAAATAAAAAAGTTTTCTCTCAACAGTTTCAAGCATACTGTTTACTTGAAAAAATCCATTCCAAAATCCTAAAATAAAAGATAAATTAATTCTAATGAGAGCAACATGCTTCATACTTCCTGCGATTATGTTAAATTTTTTTGCGCAGACAGATTGGCATTTCGATTTTATTATGCACAAGTTGGGTTTTCAAATTAGTGTGCCAATTATTGGAAATTCGTTTGGCCTATGCACACATAATCAAGGCAAAAAATTCTTTCCACTGAGATTATTGACGAAAATTAAGTTTGTTGACAAGAAATTTTTATGGCATCATTCCCATAGAAAAATTGCTGTGACCAAGAAAAAAAGTCCGTTATGATGAGATTCGTGGTAACGGAATTTAACTGAACTTATTTGGAATGATGAAAATTCCTCACCTGGATGATTCGAATGGCCTGGTCGAGAACTGACTTCAAATCCGTCTCATATTCAGAGTTGGGCAACGGAAGTCGAGAAAATCTCGCCTGGAACAACAAATGCGCCTTCGTGTGCGCCGAGTCCATGGAGCTCGAGTCCAACTTTATTCGACACAGCTTTGCCAAATCCCTGAAAAAATAATTAAATGAATGATTGGCAAAAAATTCCAACGAAGCCACATACCAAGGTTAAAAGAAACGAAACTCTAGTCATGAGAAAAAATCATCATCGTATTTCCTTTTACCGATTTTCTAAAATCCACAAATCCGCATAGTTTCCTTATAATTCGTCTCGGACAATGTGACTTATCATAATTTACATAGATGTCGCTTCTATTTTCCCCCTCGCATAAATCAACATCATAAAAGGATGGTTTAGTTTTCCAAGTTCCTAAGATTCCATTTCAAAATTATACAGGATCGTTTTCACTTCAGTAATCATCTCAACACCATGAGGCAATTGAAAAATTTATTCAGACTCTTTCACATGTTCAAATGAGGGGCAATCACAATTGAGTCCCGTTACGTCATGGAATCAAATTATCATATATTTCAATTACTTCTCCTTTGTATCGTTATTTTGAAAAAAAAATCGAATATTTTCTGAAAGATCAACAATAATGCATCAGAAAAGGTGACATTCCCTACAGAATTAGTATCTGGGCAAAAAAAGTTCTTCAAAAATCGTGCAAAATATCCGAACAAACGCTTTCCCAATTTTTAAAAAATTTTTTTTAAAAAAACTCACGCGTTTTGCAGGTCCTCGTTGTGCCGAACAGGCAACTCGGCATATTCTTGCACGTCACTCAACAAACGCAACAAGTCCTCCAAGGTGCAATCCGACCTCAACCGGTCTTGAAACAAAGCCAACGTTTTGTGACTCAAGTAATACAACGACGCTATTCGACCAGCCACGGTGGCATGCAGAGTTCGTCCATCTTCGTCCAATTCCAAACATCCACTCTCTTCCAATTCCCGCACAGATTTGTCAACCAAGCCTTCAAAAAAATGAAAGCAAAATGAAACACAAATGGAGTAATATGATGAACACTGATAATTTTATACGGTGGGGCCCCGAGATGCGGACATATCTGGCGTTTAGCCCTTGGGAAGTTCGCACGTTCGATCACGTTTTAACATACGAAAATACAGTACTTAATGAGTTGCCCAGTTTAACGAAAAATAAGCAAAAAGGTCCCCCAAAAAAGGAATAAAATTATTTTCACAAGTTCAAGCTACAGAAAAACTGGAAAAAGCACAAAATTACTCTGTTTTTAGATTATTTATTGTAATAAATTCATAACAAGATTTATTTTGAATTTTTGTGAATGTAAAGAAGCTAAATTTATTCAAGATACTGTACTGTACATCAAAATTTTGAGCGATTACACTATTTCCATTTTCCAGTCATTTCAAAAATGTGACATTGTCTAGAAGCAAGGGCAAAGTGTCCCCGAATCGCTCGTATGTCGGGGCTCCACAGTTGGATCAAAAGGCTGATGATGACCAAACACAAACGAACCGGACAAGTGAACGTTGACATTTTCCGGCTCCAGAGACTCAAGTCCATAGTAACTCGGATTCTCCAACAAACGTCGGAAAAAGAAAGTCCAAGTCAAGTAATCCAGGCAATCTTGTTTCGACGTCACGGTCCCTGGAAATTATACAAATCTTCCTAAAGCAATCGCCACGGGAAATCCGTGATTTAAAAAATTTTTCCTTTTTTTTTCTTTCAAAAAATAGAAAATTAAAACTGCTCAACTACCGATACAAAAATTGTACGATTGTTCGCTTCGTCATACATCCGATTCAAATACAATCAAGCATTCATAAAATTTATTTTTTAAAAACAAAATTATTATAGAAGTATAAAACGCGGCGTCTCTTCAAATTCGGCAGCGTTATAGGTTTTCTTTTTCGAACACAAACAAATTGAATTGCATTGAAAAGTGCCTTTGGGGTAAGCAATATAATTTTTAATAACACAATTAGATACTACAATAACAGTACTTTAATCACCGAAGAAGAGAAGTACTGCAAGTACGATTGCAACTGATGGGGCACAATAGAATACCTGCAACGATTTCAGCATTCATGTGGTCAGAAAGCACAGCCAACAAGGAACTTTCCACAGGGAAGGGTTCGTACAAGAACTTCTTGTAAAATGCCTTCTTCAGGTCGTGTACCATGACTACAGCTATTCCTGTAACGAAGAAAACAAAAAATCAAAAGCGATTCAATAGAAATTCAGGAATCAACACTTGGATCATCGATAAACAAAAATGTTTAAAATTTTTTTCACCCTGACTTTCCGACAATTTTCTGGCCTGAAGCCAAGAAAAACATTTCTAAACATCAGAAGTGTTTTTCTGATATTAAGACAATTACGGTCGAGTAAACTCAATCACAAACGAGTAAAAACAGATTTAGGGAGAAATAATCTAATGACAGAAAATGAAAGTTTTTCAAATAGCTTCGAAGTCCTTTTCTTCTTGCCACAAATCGCTTTTCTCCGGACCTGAAACCAATCGGGAAATTTGAGTACGGTATGCATAGTTTTTGAGAGGACAAAAATTCTTCCACTTCTAGAAAAATCAAAGGTTAACATATTATTTATTTATTAATTCATTTTCAAGAAGCACAAGAACATCTGAAAAAAGGTCGGATTATCCACTATTAAAAAAGTCCCAACCTTGGTCATCAAATTGCGGTCGTCCAGCTCGACCCATCATTTGCAAAACATCCGTTATAGGGAAGTCCACGTAACGCTTGGTTTTCCCGTCGAAATATTCAGTTCCCTTAACGACGACCAAGTGAGCGGGGAAATTCACTCCCCAAGCCAAAGTCGCAGTCGCCACCAAAACCTGGAATAAAACAAACGTACTCAGTGGGTCCCCGCAAAACTGAACTAATCCGATCAGCATTTTCGTAATGTGTGGAACGATTTTTCCCTCAACATATCTCCGTAATTTCTTCCAGCCATTTACCGAAAATTCACGATGAATCATACAATTTGTGCCTTTTCGGCAAAAAATTATGAATTTCAGCATGGAATTGAAGTAATTTCGAGAATTATCGCTCATAGCTTTCCGAATTTCTCAAATTTTCAAAGACAAGGAGACGTAAAAACTACGCTTTCATTTTCTCTTCTTTTTCAATTCGAAAAGTTCTCAAGTTCAAGTTCAAAAGTTGTTGAAATCTACGCACTTTCTTCGGCCGCAAAATTTCGTAACGTGAAATAATTTTGTACAGCGAGTCACGGTTTCTCCCTCTAAAAATTTTCATTATGCGGATTCTTCATTGTGCGAGTCTTTGATTACGTGGGGATCCACTCCCCAGTTTTTCGCAAAAAAGGCCACTCCAGAATGTTGATGCGGCCAATATTCCAGATATAGGCCACACTGACTCAAAAAATGCGGCGGCCTATTTTCGCAGCACAAGACTCTGATTTTTGCCGCCTCAGATTCGAAAGGAGACACCGGGGAAATTATTGAATTGTGTAAATTACGACCTAATAGAACGACACTTTTGAAAATAAAATAGTAGATAAAATAGTGAAGTCGCACCTGAATTTGTTGGCTTACAAAAAGCTCTTCAACCAAGCGACGATCTTGTTCATGCAAACCAGCGTGATGGATTCCGACTCCGAATGAAAGCGTGACTTTCAAATTCTGGTCCCGAACATCTACCAGAAACGCGAGAAAAAATTTCCAAGATATTCATCAGGTCACGAAAATCACATACTCTGAATCAACACAATACAAATTTGGAGGAAGTCCTCCAAAAAATGCGAATACATTTTTTTCTGAACTTCAGAAACAGAAAATAACTGTGCAGAAGAAAACCACACAGAATCTGCATTTTCGGAATAAAAAAGGAGCCCAAAAAGCAAAGATTACGCACATGTCTTAGTTTAATTTTCACAGATGACAGAAAAAAACGGAAAAATAAGCACGCAATCAGCCTGTTCTGTATTCTGAATGACTGTACTTGAAAGCAAATTTTAAATCGGATTTATTTCCAATTTTTTGCGGAAATAAAGAGCTCAATTCGTTCAAGAGGTACGAAATTGTGAAAAATAAAATATGTCTTACGTTCTAGAATTGTTGGCAGAGTGCCCATATTTCGAGACATTTCCCAGATTTCAAGGAATAAATTTTATAAATTCAATTATCCTTAAGTCGAATCCCGGCTCCTTCGAATAAATTATTCCGATGACATGCAGCACAGAAGCGCTACATTTTCTGCATGTAAATGTCACTCCAGTCGACTCGAAAAACCGGCAAACACAGTGGACAGTAGACTCCCGTGACTACGAATCTCTTCATGAGAAATGTACTCTAACAATGAATTTCTCCTTTTCGTGCCCGCCGAAGAGCCGAACCGTTATTTTAATTTCTTTTAAAATACTTTCCATTCATAACGAAGCTTTTTTACGGTCCCAAACGCTTCGTTGTAACGAGATTCTGCTGTAGTGCAGTTTCACTAAAATCAAGCACAGATCTTTACTTCCCCAATAATAAACATAGTCACATCAACTTCAAAAAGTAACCGGATACAGGCGACATCTACGAAACGGCACAGAAGAAAAAAGAAGAAGAAAGAAACATACTCTGCAGTAAGTTGTTCATTCGCCGTTCGTCACATCGAAGCCATTGCCTGGGATTGGATTCTGCCGCCAGAAACGTGATCAAATCCATGGCAGTGAGCCGAGTTTGTCGTCGAGACGCCACAAAAACCAGAGTCGGTTTGTCCGGCGAATGCGTCATAATGGCTTGAAACGTGGGCTTGTTCATCGTCAACATCCTGGGACAATAATGCTTCCCTATGAATTGCAAAAGATCCATCGAATTTAATGGAGAAACATACGCACGAAAAAAAAATTTCAACAATAACGAAGAAAAACGATGAATTACTGCATCTCATTAGAAATGCTCTACTTAAATTAGGTTAAATTGATATTATTTTCGCTTTTGCGCCTGAAAATTCAGCGCGGTTTGAATTCGACATGCGAGGATTGTCCCACTTCTGATTGACCTTGATCATTTCTAGAGAAGGTGCCTCTGTAGAAAGAATATATGATTTTAGCCCATGCTATTTTGTAAGGTTCTGGAATTTCCCCCCAATTTTATGCAATTTTTCAGATTCATTGCAAATATCACCGACAAAAACATGGCTTGGATTATGTTTTTGAAGAGGAAATTAACCCCGCTCTTCGAAAAATGCAAAATTAACCAAGATTTTCATCTGTTGCAAACAAAATACTGTAGTCATTAAAAAAATGTGAAAATTTTCGCAAGATTTAGGAACGTTGATGCTAAAAAAACATGGAATTACAATTTTCGGTCTGGTGGCCTCAAAAAGTTTCAACAGCTTGTGACATGAATGGAGAACTCGCACCGGAAGTGGAAAGTTTTAACTGATCATCATGGAGTAAATCTGAAATTTTTTCTACAAATCTAAAAAAAAATACCCAGACTCTTAAAATTGCATCGGCTACATGATGTATTTTTTTGTACACTCCGGAAATACTCAAGGCCAAGCAGAACTGGGACAACCCTCTCGTACCCCGGCATTGCCCGCGGTAAATCTCACCAGAGAACCCCTGAATGTGCACTTCCAGGGGCACGGGTCGGACACTGGGCCGGAAATTATACAACCCCGGCCCATCCACACCGATCCACGCTGCCAAATCCTGGGCATTCGCCAGGGCCGTCGACAAACCCACGATCCTCAACGAACGTTGCGTGTGCGCCGCAATGAAACTCGTTCTCGAGACGATCACTTCCAACACGGGGCCTCGGTCCTCGCCCAACAAATGAATCTCGTCCAGGATAATGAGGGCCACTGCCTGGACGTATTGCCGCGTTTGCCAACTTCTCGAGATGCCGTCCCATTTCTCGGGCGTCGTCACGATGATGTGGGCGTCGTTGATGGCCCGGGCGTCGGGCGTCACGTCGCCAGTGAGTTCCACGATGCGTTTCGAGGGCAGACGGACGCCCCAGTCCTGCATCCGCTCTCGGACAAGGGCTTTCATCGGAGCGATGTACACCACCTGAAGAAATGAAAATGGGATTAAAGTAATGTTTAAAAATCATTGGGCCACCGAGATTTCTGGAAATTTATTATTTTTTTTTTCAAGTCACCTACTTGACGTGTTCTTCAGTTTAAAAAATGAAGAAACATTACCCTGCTCATAATTTTGGAAATCGGGGTTTTCACGTCACAAATTTGACCAACATGTCCTTTAATGCAAACAAATAAAAGACATTACCATGCTGATATTTCTGCAAATTTCTCTCAGGTCACAAATTTGACCAACATGTCCATGTCCTTTAATCTCGAAAAATGAAAATAAAACATTACCCTGCTGATATTTTTGGAAATCGGGTTTTTTCAGGTCACAAATTTACAAACATGTCCTTTAATTAAAAAAAATAAGAAACATTCCTCTGCTGATAGTTCTGGAAATTGCTTTTTTTGCAGGTCACAAATTTGACCAACATGTCCTTGAATCTCGAAAAAAAAATTACCCTGCTAATATTTTTTGGAGATTATTTTTTCAGGTAATTCAGGCTTGATTATCACGTCCTTTCAATTAAAAAAAAAAAAAAGAAACCCAAAGAATTCAGGGGTCCAATCAGATCAAGACAAATTTGCATTTTACAAATGGACAAAGAACATACTGTACTGCATTTACTCAAGTACCACGCGTCCTCAGCTAAGACATGTCCCTTCGGTTTTAGCTACCAAAATTCTATACAACAAGTACGATGGGATAAATTATAATTCACGGCCACTTAGACATAACATCCAGTCAATCATGTGCTTTCGGACAAGGGCTTTCATCGGAGCAAGGGTACATGACCTGATGAAAAGAGAGAATATGGGAAAACCGTTCCCCTGATGATATCTACGAGATTTCTAGGTCACCGAATTCACCAACATGCCCTTTAATCTCAACAAGAAAGACAGCCCGAAAAGAGAACTTCGAAATTGAAAAAAGATTCCTAATATGACGCCTCCCTCATTTTTCGAAAAAAAAAAAAAAAAAAACTTGCTTGTGGTACTCCAGTAAATACGATAAATCATTCACAATGCAACCTCGAGGAAAATCCGGTTTTCTCATTCCGACGCACATCAATAAGGAACGGGATTAGCATTCCGTCATGCAATGAGCCCACAGCAAAAAATAAAAAGGAAAATCACCTTGTCAGCGCCCTTGGGCTTGGTCCCAAACACCCTCAACATGGCCAACTCCGCCACGACGGTCTTCCCCGAACCCGTCGGGGCACCCAACAGCACATTCTTATCCGTGTGATACAACAAGTGAAACATCTGCGTTTGAATCGGATTCAGATGAGACATCTTGGGATACAGGGCCTGCAGCACAGCCGGGTCCACGTCCGAAAGCACAGTGCGAATGGACAAAGGGATCAAGTCCAGAAGCACAGTATGCGGGGGATGTCGTTCGGGTAAAATGAGTCGAGCAAAGCTGAGGGCACACACGGCTTCGACCCCCAGCCAACGGTCAGACACGCATCGAATCAGGTACTGGCTGGGCATGGGTTCCGTCACTGGGATAGTGAAGGCCAGCTGCAAACCCGAGTCTTCTTTTCCGTCCTTCCCGCGTTGGCCGTCATCTGGAGTTGAGAGACTCTACTTTACAACAAATAATTGATCATAACGAACTCGTTTTTGAGGTCTCTGTCCAATCGCCACAATGTTAAAAGAGCTCGTTCATAACGAACGTTTCGTCACAACGAAGCGACGTTATTGGTTCCAATGGCTTCGTTGTAAGCTGTATTGCACACAACGTGACTCTTTTAAAACTGCGAGCAGAACACGAATCTTTTAATACGTCAACCTAATCGAACATAAGCATCTTTCACTGCGTTTAATTCAACTGATTCCAAATTAATCCTGTAAAAAAAAAATAAGCCAATGCCCGACACGGAACAAAATTGCATCACAGCGACATCTATGTAACGCGTCACAAATCCGAGCAAGGCTAGTCTTGGTATGTTCCCGCTTTGTGATGGGAGATGCACTGCGATCAGAGCGAGCAATCGGGGAAACTACATTACCACAACGGCGTCAACTAAACTTCAACAAAAGCATCGATTCAAGAAAAAGAAAACAAAGAAAGAAGGATCGAACCTTTCCCAGACTTCCCCACCAGGTGCTTCCTGGTCAGAAGGAAGCTCTCGTGGTGATACGTGTGGTTCGTCTCGGGGTCCTCGACCCAGAGCCAAAAGGGTTCCCCGGAACGCCCGTGAACCCGTTCGCTCCACGTGAAATCCGCAAGCACCGATACACGAACCCGAAGCACGGTCCTGGTGATGGGTTGCACTGTGGCAGACAGCTCTATGCAAGGCACGTACCAGGCTGCTCGTTTCACATCCAATGCTGCTCGTTGGTGATGAAGCATCTCGCCTGGAAGAGGATATAAAAAAAGTTAAGAACACTGTACCACTCGTTAAAATCGAAAAAAAAAATTCTCAAAGAATAATCATGTACAATCATGTCATTTCGAACGGGGCATAATCAAAAATGGTGCGGCCTTGAGCAACGAACCTACTCCGTTTCAGCCGTCGGTTCGTTCTTCAGAACGTTCGTTGTCCAAGTCAAAAATTCCCACGGTAACCCATTGTAAATCAATTCATGCATTCCAGCCAAGTTAAGCGCCGTTCTATCTACTATGATCAAGTAAAAGAAATTCATTAAAATAGACAAAAGTAGCACGTTTGCAGTCCCTAATAATTTCAACCCAAAAATGATCAGTAGTAGATTAACTCCAAGCATAAGAGACATTGAAAATTACTGTACTTTACAATAGAATTTACCCTCAAATTTCCCTAAAAATTCTTCCATAAAATAAAAATTACAGTTCTTTTACAGATCTCTTAATTTGAGGTTCACTTTCCTGAGGTCAAGTTCGTTGCTTCAGGCAAATATGGCGGCCGTGTGCCGGTTGGTTAAGCAGGAAGTTCGCTGCTTAGGGACTTACTGTACAGCAATAAAACTCAATGAATCCTGAAATAATCGTCGTGACAAAATTTTTTTATTTACAGGAGATTACAGTAAAAAAGTGAGTTTCTTCTAAAAAGAAATCACGAACAAAATTTCAACCAGGATATTGTACAGCAAAAAGTTTTTCAAACAAAGAAGTTTGTCTTCGACGTAAAAATTTTTGAAAATTCCATGAACAGCAAATATTGATTTAGAATCGCTCCTCGTGAAGGCAGGACAAAAAAAAAGTTGAAAAATAAAATTCGGAAATTCGGATACACAGCATACGTACAGTAATTACAACAATGCGTGAGAAAACCGGTTATAAACCAATTGAAAAATCAATTTGTCGTAATGCATATTGAAAATTCTCAGAAACGAGACTTACTACCACTAGGTTTTCTGCTGGGAACTTCTAAAAACATTTTTAAATAATAAAAAAATTTGCAAAATTTTCCAGAACAACGTCACCATAGCATTCGCAAATATACATATTCACTAGAAAAATCTGTTGCACCAATTAATTTCACGTCAGAAGAAACTAAAAGAAATTCCCAAGCCTTCCATATTGTACTTCGTTGTTTCCAAATTACTTTTTCTAAATAAAGCCCGAAATGATGAACAACTTTGCCCAATTTACCCCAGCAAGTCACCCGTTAATTTCCGTTCGGTCATCGTTGACTTCCGTTTAGAGTTTAGTCAAATTTAGGTAAATAGCGAATATTCGATAGAGCGACATCTGGTCGACATTCGAATTTAAAGAAAATGGAAAGCATTTTATTATATAAAAATCTCAAAATAACGCAACCGTGCTGGGAACTGACCGATTTCTTTGGTATCCATGTAACGTAATTCTTCAATCGGAACTTTCCATTGATCAAGTTTGTCCAAAACTTCCGGGGCAACGATTCCACTGAGTTGCCTCAACGGGTGTTCATAGGCCCACATCTGGCGCTCAAGTACCTGTAATTTTTTTCCGTGGTGAACCAAATTACTTTTTTGAACTCCATCGAAAGATTTTAAAAAATTCCAAGTTGCAGTAACCTCACTTTTGCAAAAGTAAGGGTCCTGATGGTCAACGTGGGCCAGTTCTTGTGCAGAACGATTTCAAATAGAGCCCTCGCTATTCGCTGAGCATTCTGAAATCAAAAATTTTGAATCAAGGAACTTTCAAGATCAAAAATTAATTGTCAAAATCTTGGGAGACATAAATGATGCAAGTTAATCCCCTCGTCCAAGAAAAAATCTGAATCTTCAAAATGCGACATGTCATTACAACTTCAATTTTTTTTACTATGTTATCAAACTCAAAAACATTTTTTATCGATCGGAATGCTTTTCAAACCCATACAATTTTAAACACAAAGAAATAAACGCTGAGAAAAACAAGATTAAGGTATGTTCTCCGGAAACTGTCTTCAAAATCTGACTTCCAATTCCAAGGGCTAAGATACCTAAAATTTAGAAAAAAAGGTTTTCCTTTAAAAGTTGAAAATTGTTTCCGTTGACGAGGGATGCTTTCAAAATCATGGCATTTGATCTGATAGATTACGCAACAGGGTTGCTGATGAATAGAGAGCAAAAAATCCCAACTTATTCAAATTTTCCGCAAGAAGAAAGTCTCAAGTTTTTAATCGATTTCCCACGAGTTTTTCATACGAATTTTTGAATTAAAGAAAAAAGGACACACATAGACATGAAAATAATTTCGAGAAAAAACCTCACCTGAATTACGTACGCCTGATCAGACACTAGCGAAAAGGCTTCGAGACGATGTTGGGAAACATGGGACTGCAACAGGATGTTGACTTTTCCATACGAATTTTCCGAGCCTCCAGGAACCGGCAAATCGCACCACTCAGCTTTGCAGTGATCCAGTTCATCCAATTCTTCATCTCTCACCTGCGATCAGGCAAAAAAAAATATTTCTTTTCTTCGTCTTTCGTTACAGAGTGGGCCTCAAAATACGGATGATTCGACTTAGGGACACTTGGAACTAAAAAAAAAACATATGCCCCAACATTCACACGATGCCTGAAGATACGGACAATTTGTGCCAAAATTTCCAGAAACTTGCAAGAATTTCATATTTCATAATTTCGACATCTCTTGAACAAATTGACTTACAGTATTTATATACAGTACACAATAATTAAAAATTAATTTTTATACGAATTTAATTTTATTCGTCATCCAAAACAGGATAATTTCGTACTTCTTTTTCAGAGTTTCTTCCATCATGTGTGAGCAGTATAACATGACTTGCGCTTATTCTTCACTTTTTCGGCGCATTTTTATGCCAAAAATTCAGATTCTGCAAAGCTATTTTCTGTATCTTTCAGTAGAGAAAACAAATTTTACTCAAATTTTTAGTGGACTTTTTCCGAATTTTTCATAAAAACTAGACCATCTAAATATGTTCCCATCGAAGTCAATGGAAAAACGCAATCCGACATGCAGACGATCTGACGTAGGGCAGATGTCCAAAAAACCAAAATACTGTACGTCCGCATCTCGGAGCCCCACAGAATTTCATTTTCGAAAAATAGAAAGATTGAAAGAAATTTCAATAATTTCTCAAGTGCAGAAGGCGGTTTCCCAAACTTCGTCATTATCGTGATTGTCTCGCTTCTCGAGACAATTTTCGCACAATAGTGAAAAGAAAAAATTTCCTTTCCATAAAAAAAAAAACTCTTATCCAGTTTAAATCACGAAACAAATCACGACATTTTTTGACCACGAAGCCTCGCGATGAGAGTCTTTGAAATCACAGAGGGATCGATTTCAAGACCGAAAAGATAACATTAAATTTATATTCATCCCGAATCCGACATAAGGAGAAGCACCAATTACGTCCGCATCTCGGGGACCCATAAAAAAACAACCAGCAGGGCGGAACAAACCTTGATTTGATTAAACTCCTCGGCCTTGGAAATCGTTCCCAGCAACTGAGCTTCGTTCAAAAACGGCGTCAGAAGCTCGTTGAAAATTTCGATTGTCGCGTATTTCACGTAAAACGTGGAGGCGATTCGTCCCGTGTCCGTTGAGTGCATGTAGCCTAAAGCTTCGTCAAACCTACGAGAAAAATTTCAGGTAAAATCATAAATTCGTACCTCAAGAGGATTTTTCATGGGGAATCGAAAAAATTCTGACCATAAAAAGGTACCATTTCCCCCGAAAAGGAAAGATCTTCAGTCAACTATTTTTTCCTAAAACAAAAATTGAAAATCTGTGCGTGAATTAGGAAATCAATTTTTGAATTTCAGAGTGGAAGACACCAAGAAACCTTTGCTTTGCTCGAGTCTGAAATATATACGAAGTTCATCAATTTACAACCGGGACAAAGCAAAAATATTACTTTCACGTAATTTCATCAATCAACTTTTGAATTCGATCTAAAGCGTGAAAATTGTTGCAAGGCTTACATTTATGTATTGTCCACGCTTTCAGCAACATATATTTTTTTTCCTTTCCACAGCGGGTAATTTTTCAGTTTTTTCTTCCGCGTGGAAACATCTTCAAAAAAATGGAATCACGAGAAACACCTGATCATTCGAGCTTTGTCCAAAGCCATGGCAGCAACTCGGATTTGCTTTTCCCGCTCTATCACGAGGTTCGGGTCCTTTTCAAGCTCGTCGTAACGGATTCCATAGGCCATGGGGTTCTTCAACATCCGCACGTAAAGATACGTGTAACTCAACCATTCCACAGCTTCTCTCAAATTCGTCACAGTCCCCAATGCAACCTGTTGGAAAACAGAAAAATGGATTTTTAAAAATACGAACTACGACAAATGTTCAATTCGCCGATGATCACGGTGATTCAACTGAAAAAACAGGCATTCTTCAAATACCTAAGTACTTCATAAAAAATACTCTTGGTACTTCCAGGATTATTGACCCTAAGAAAAACTAATCAGAGGGTTGTCCCGATTCTGCGCAGTAACATATATTTCTGAGATTCCTAAAATGTAAAAAAAAAAATTACTGCGAGAGTTTAACAATTGAAATTTCTTAGTTGGTTAGAATATCAAGTTACTCACATCTTGTTGAACTTTCAAAATGTTTGGATGCTTTATTTTCATCGTAAAAAATTAATCAACAAAAACTTGTGCAATGGCATTGTCTGAATTTACAATTTTCCTAATATTTCTCACAATGCATTGCCAAGATTGTTTTCTGAACTAAAGTTTACTTCCAATCATCGAACAATTTTTAAATTTCAAATAACGTGAGATACATAACATTCTAATCGAAATGTCAATTAAATGTAAACTATCAATGCCAAATTTTCAGCCCACTGAAATGAGTGGATACCTCTGAGAGTAACCCAAAAGTTTTCAATTCTCATCACACAGTGTCCTTAGAAAATGCCTCAAAAATCTGAAGAAAAATGCCAGAGGCCTCAAATACCCCAGGGAAAAATTTAAATTAAAACATAACATTTCTGACGACATTAGAAATGAGCATCAACTCGCAAAACTGTACAGTATTCACCTCGGCGTTCAGGTTGTCAGCCAACAGATTCAGAAAAGAAGACTCAATAGGGAATTGACGCGTGAGAAGGGACAGGAAATGTGATAATTTGTCGTGAGTTGTGATGATCACACCATGGCCGGAAGTATCAAACTGAGGACGACCAGCCCTCCCAAAAATTTGCATCACGTCCAAAATGCTCAATTGGACAAACGATCCGTACTTGGCATCATAAATTTCCGTTCCCTAAAAAAGAAAATGAATAAATGAGTGAAAAATAATATGATACAACCTCGCGAGAAAAAAAAACATTGGATAAGCATTTCAAAAGCGAAAAGAATCATATTTCAAGGGGAGAAAAACAACTCACCCTGATGACAACAGCATGCGCAGGTAAATTCACTCCCCAAGCCAGCGTCGAGGTACAAACCAAAACTTTGATATATCCATCGGCAAATAATCTCTCCACCATTGACCTGATTGACAGAAGATTTCAAAATCAATAAACAGTGGAGTACAGTTGTTCCAGCATAACCAACTAATCCATTAATAAGTTTCATTATGCACAATTTTCCTCACCAGAAACGCTTTTTCCCTAGAGATTACATCGTAATTTACTTAATTCGTTCCAATAATTCACTAAAAGTGAATGATGAATCAAAAAATCTCTGTATTTTTCGGCATAAAATTGTGGATACAATATCGCTTCGCGTGACATTGAAGTAATTCTGACAACTCTTGCTATTTATAACTTTCTGAATTTTTAAAATATTACAGACAAGAAGATGTAAAAACTGAACTTTTATTTCCCCTTCAATTTTGAAAACTCGTCGAATTCAAGCATTTTTTTAGTTCAAAAATGACTTCATGTGAAGTAATTTCGTAATATGAGTCACATTTTCCCCCTATAAATGTTCAGAAGATGATTGAAAGATGAATAAATTCAATCGAACCTTTTTAATTGAAACTTCAAGTGACCACCAAAAAAATTCGAGTGAAGGAAACGAATATTTTCTGTAAAGGGAAAGAAAGGAAGAATTACAGGAAATTGCAATTGGTGATATTCCGGGCCTTGAATTGCTTCTTGAATGAGTCGACAGGATGCTGAACTTGGGAGGCAAGGATTCATTTGCCCAATTAATGTTTTTTTCTTTCAAAATACATCAAGTTGCATTTTTTTTGCTTTTCTCTTTCCTGCTTCCATGGGATAATATCCTCCAGAAAATTTGAGTGAAGGAGGTTTGACGGGGAAAAGCCTTCGAGTCAGTGAGGTTTATTAATGCATTGTTTCCAAAGGAAGGCAGACTAAGGACTTTCAGAATGATTTTCGACATAAAAAGGGCGGTATTCGAGTCATCAAAGTTCAACCTTAACTAAAAACAGAAAAAAACAAATAACAGAACGAACCGATCGGGTCTCAGCATCCCGGCATGATGCATCGCAAAGCCATAATCAAACAGCTCCCTCAGCTGCTTATTCTTCGATTTTTGCACAGCCTTCTGCGCGTTGCTAAATGCCGCATTCTGTTCGGATTTGAAAATCTCCGCCTGGCCCGTGCTCACGGCCGTGTCACGCATCAAAGTCGCCGCTCGCACCGTCGCATTCCTCGCGTGAACAAACACCATCACTTGCTGACCATTCTGCACAAACCGCTTCACTTGTTCGTAGCACGCAGAGTCCATTTCTTTGGCTTGCTGCATCGTGTTCAAGGATTTCACTCCTATATAAAAACAGGAAAAAAGGGGACATTCATTTCTTCGATTTTTTTCTTCTCATAAGTGCCATCAAACAGAATATCCTTGACTTCGTTTCTCAATCATCAAAGAAATTCTGTAAACATTTAAAATTTTGAAAATCATGTAAACAAGCTTATTTTTTTTACAGAAAAAACCCTCAACAAATGAACTTCCCTCCAACAATACCATTGATTCAGTGTCACAGAAATTACCAAGACCAATAATGATGGTGTCATATTTTAAGTGAGTCTTTGAACAGGTTAATAATACCCCATTCTCAAACTGACTTTTGTGTTCTTTTGGTATGCATAGCAACCAACCGGAATTGGTGTACCAGAACTTTGCAACAGTGTCTGGCAACCAGTCATTCACATGTGCTGGTTTACTTTCTGTTCATGCGTGGTCAGTTACCTGTCTTGCGCATCCATGAATGTATAAAGGAGTGTCCAAACACTCATTGCAGGTTTGTTCTGGGTTGTATACAAAATATACCTACTTATCTACAAGAGAAGTAATCTCTACTTGTTTTACCCCGGCAATAAGGATTAATACTTCTTGACAAGTATTCATCTCAACAAGCAACCATCAAAACGGAATTAAGATTTATAAAGCAAAGAAGACATTCAACGCGTAATTATATATTCCAATTAAATTTGACAGTTTGGGATAACGTAATGTACCAAACAACGTTTTTACTATTTCTGTTGGGTCTGGAATCACAAATAAAAAAAATAAAGACAAACAAACAGGTCTCACCAATAAAAGTCATGCCCAAAGGAACAGGTCTGAAGCGTGAATCAAAGAAGAACAGACCAGTTTCTGGCTTCACCCACAAAAACCTCGCCACGTCCAAGTAATTCGGTAACGTCGCACTGAGACCCACTACTCTAATCGGCACTTGAGCAGCTTCCACCTGACGAATATAGTCAAAATCCCATCGAACTCGAAACATTTGTTAAAAGCCTTTTTTTTCAATAGTGCAATAGCCATACCTGTCGTTTGGTTCTCGCCACCAGGGCTTCCACAACAGGTCCACGATCTCCGTGCAGCAAATGCACCTCGTCTATAATCAACAACTTCACCAACGAAATCAGCGCACTGTCGCCTGAAAAAATAAAATCACACAAATAAAAAAAAAACATAAAATTATAAACCCCCCAGCAAAAGGAATTTCGCAATCTTGAATATTTCACCTGGCTTTCTAGTGACGACGTCCCACTTTTCCGGCGTCGTCACAATCATCGACGTCTGCATGATTTCCGTCTTGGTTAACTGCATATCACCGGTCAACTCTCGGACCAACATTTTGAAGGGCTCCAGTTTCTTGGAGAATGTTGACACCATTTCAGCAGCCAATGCTTTCATTGGTGCAACGTACACAATCTGTTGAAACAATACATGATATTGTTTACATGATTCATCCTGAAATATCATTTCTAAATCATTTCATCAATCAAAGTCTATCTACACTTTGACTTGAATTGATTTGACTTGAATCGAACCTGAATTCAACCAATTTATTAAAATGAAATAGTTGAATTCAGGTTCAATTTCACCTGAAAATGAAAAATGTATTACATGTGAAAAATGTAATAAAAAAAATTAGATTCTATCAAAATAATTTCTTGTGTTGAACTTGATCCAAAATTTCCAAATTTGATCAAGTATAAAACATACCTAAACTTCTGAACCTTATGAAAAATTTATACCTGCATATGATCCGCCCCCCCCCCCTCTATTTCCCCCTTAAATTTGAGAAAAAAAGGTGCGCGTGGTAGAGTACTGTACTCAATTTAATACAACAGTACTTACACCGAATATTTTCCGAGCATCAAAATGAGGCGTTTAATCGTCAAATTTCTGTATGAAACAATAAGATTAAATCAACTTTAAAATAACGTAAATTGTAAATAAACAGACATGCTCTTCTTCCGAAAGCAAGATCAGGTCTTGAGTAAAAAAAAATATTTAAAATAAATTGAATCGTATGAAAGTGAGTCGTCAATAGCATGGAGAGAAACGATTGCCTTCCATTCTGAAGCCTGAAAAATTGGGATGGATATCATATATTCATCAAAAAACAGCAATTCCACAGTAATTTTCAAGTACATATTTTGAAATTTATCTTTCAATGTCGTTTTGAACCCACGTTTCATATTCAAAAAAACGCATGAAACTATATTGTAGAAATGTCGTATATGATGAATGATGAGAAATGCAAAGATGCACCTTGAACAGTTCCTTGTTCACATGGACTCCTTTGGAAGACAGTGTAGAAAATTGTTTGACAAGAGAGAGGACGGTCAACAAGGCCACGTTCGTTTTTCCGGCGCCTGTGGGCGCACATATCAACATGTTCTCGCTTTTGTTGTACGCAGTGTCAAACACGATGCTCTGAATCAGGTTCAACGTCTTCAACCCACGAAACCCCAGCTTTCCAACCTGTCAACAGCAAACAAATTAATAAATAATTCTCAAGCACCCAAAAAACGAAACAAATTTCAAAGCATTACTGAATCAAATTTAACGCATGTCATGTTTGAATCACTTGAAAAAAATGCCTAGCAACAGAGAGAGTCGAGAAAAAATGCAATGACAATCAAATAAAATACTGTACTGTAATAATCAGGATTTCAGTTGAACAGAAACAAATCTTTATGAAGAGAAAATCGATGTACGGTGTCTAGCTATGAAAAAAATTGCTTCTTTTGATCAAATTCTCATTTATTATCACAAAAAGACAAGGGATGAAAAAAGAAGAGAAATTAAATGAAGTATAAAATGGAGGAAATTTTTCTAACTAAATTTTCTCCAGTTTTTGCAAATTGTTTTTAAATAACCCTGATTCAAAGCTTAGCATTTAATTATTTTTCAACTCAAATCAAGTTGAGGCAATTCCATCTAATGGCTAATAAAAGTTTTCATTTCCAATACAGTATTTTATTTTATGCTTCATTCCATTTTTCACGACAAAATTTCCCTCATCTTTTAAATTGTAAATTGCTTGTAAATCACCCTGACTCAAGGGTTACCATTCAATTATTTTTTACTCAAATTAAATTGAGGCAATTCTATCAAATAACTTGAGAAAGTTTTTTTCGTTTCATATCCTTTATTTTATTTCATACTTGATTCCATTTCTCATCTTTTGAAATTTTTTTTTCATTTTGTGACACTTATCTTACGATGGAACAATTGAAAAAAAAACATAACATTTTAAGACAAAAATTCAAATTCAATTCAGTGTTATGCATTAAATATGCATATGTTGGGCAGCATTTTGTCATGCATGTAATCAATTGTTATTTCCTGAATCTCCTGAAAATTGAATTTTTTAGATTAAAATAAAAAAAGAAATCTACGCGAAGTTGTAGATTGGCACTTTCCAATTGGTTTTCACATGCAAATCATACAAATAAAAATTACCTCGTCTAGTTCGTTGATTCGTATCAACTTCCGCTTTTCGATGCCATTCGGAAGTGCGGGACTCACAGGGATTCGAACTTCTTCCCATTCTTTGGCTTGAAAACGCTCCGTGTTCAACGGAAGCATGATTTTCGTCCCGCCAACAGTACCTGAAAAATAAGTACCCGCACAGGAATAAAAACCACGCCTTCGATTTCCTTTATTTCTGTTTTTTTTGGGATGCATGTGGATGAACCACAAGTACTGACCTGGCATTTGCTTGATCTCCTGCATGGAATCGAAAACATTTGGCAATTTTACTGGCTGCGATGGTGTGAATAATGGCCGACTTCTCGCCTCCAAAAGCTCTTGCTCACTGCAACAGAAAGATATTATTGATTGACAATCAAATTTGAAAACTCGTTAATTTCTTCCGTTTAGAACACAATTTAACTATAGATTACGAAAAATAATTCACAAGTACAGTATTGCCTTCTCCTCGCTTCAAGCCTGGGTGTCTCAAACGCATTTATAACGTGTTTCATGAAAAATCCGGACTAAGACGAGAAAAAAAAGCCTATTCTCACGAAGTTCAATTTTAATTTAGAGAATTTAAAAATGGCTCGCAATCTTTTCGAGGAGAAAAAAAGATGGAGATTCTTCCGTAAAAATTAACTCGGGACTGGATTGAAACTATCACTTTTTCATCGCTGAAAACAAAACCAAAAAAAACGGAACCGAAGATGAATCGAGTAGAAGCTGTCGTGAGAAAATGGACTCTTTTCTTCGATTACTTTCGCGAAATACGAACCATTTTTCTTTTTTTTTTAAAGAGCTTTCACATTTCAAAAATTCAAAAAGATTTGAATTTTTTTTTCCTTCTATTTCAATATTTTAAAACCCGTTCAACTGAGAAAAGAAAACGTGCGACGAGAAATTCACAATTCTTGGTCAATAAAGAAAGATAATTTTCTCTAAATTGAAACAGATGAGAACTAAATTAATACACGGCTTTACGGTCTTATCCCAGCAAAAATTTAGTTAGACAAAAAATGTTCTTCGAAATTATTTCAGACTGCTGGGGAAAAATACGTCGGAAGTGGCAGAAACAGCTAAAAAAGTTGTCAAATTCTTCTTCTGGAAAAGAATAATTTTTTCTTCTTCCTCGAATGAGAGAAACATTGCCCTTCAATCACATACAGAACTGAAATCAATTGCTTAACGACCAAATGGCCCAAAACAAAAACACGGAAAGATTTTTTCTCAAGTGCGAAGAACAAAGCAAAAAAATTACGAAAAAAGACGCTAAATTTCCCTCCCCAAAGTTTCCTACACGAAAATTCATCACTGCTTCAATTATTCATTGGAAAAATGCGTAATGAATCCTCGAGGAAACGAACATCAACTGTTTCACGGCCTCGTCGCCTTCGTCGTCATCCTCTTCTTCTTCGTCTCCTCTGGTCCCATTCTTTCGCTTCATCTTCTTCTCCTGCTTCATTTGCATCTTGAGAAGGTCTTTCTCTTCCTGTCGCATAACCGTCACTTGAGTCCCAAACGTCGGCATCTTTGACTGATTGTTATTGTTGTTGTTGCCTCCGACAACTGGTTTGTGGGACCACATCGGAGATACGGCTTTCACTGCTGAAAAGTCGAGAAGAAAGCGAGAAATCATTGAATGTCGTTAATACAATTAATATTTGCCTGCAATCCTGATAACATTTTCATCAATTATTCCAAAAATTACACACACAAAAATCGTGGAACACTTTTTTTATGCAAAAAAAAGGTTATCTAAAATTATTCTGATACGACATCAAGCTCTTCAAACTGAAAGACATTTAAAAGAATTTTGAAACGTTCCCCAAGTGCAAGAAAACATCCTACCTAAAGCTCTTCATGCATTTATTTTGAATGAAAATTAATTAATTAAATACTAAAGAAAGTGAAGAATGGAACTGCTCAAATCCTTGGAATGTTATCTGCATCATAATTACAGTCAACCCACAATTTGGTGCCAAACATTTCCCAGGAGCAACTTTTCCTCTCATCATATTTGCAAGGGAAGCTGCAATTTAGCAAGAACCAACTCAGTGCTTCAAAAATTGCTAGTCATGAATAAAAAAATGGACCAAAATCAAAGAAAAGATGGCCTTTTTGAGGGATATCCTGGGTGATTACTGAGATCACACAAAAATTCAAGATAATTTTAAAAATTTTATTTGCGCTGTTGAAAAAAAAATGTTATTTTTGAGGGACACGTTCCTCCATTGAAAATTTTAAATTGAATGATAGCTTTCCTTGAAACATTTGTGATTCCTGCATGATGGCACCTGATATAAAACTCAAAACTTCAAGAAACAGAGCCACTCTTCTGCTACACAAAATAGGCATTACAGTATGTTAACTTAATGAATAGCACAATAAAAACAATGCATTTTAGCTTAAAATTATTTCTCATGTCTTAATTTCTCTCTTCAAAAAAAACCCCTTGGGCCTACAAATTTTGAGCAAGCTTTTGTTTATCACAAAACAAACCTTCCTTTCATGCATATACCCTGGATTCAGAGCCACAAAATGTACCAGGACAAATTATGGCACTAAATCAACATTTGACAGTACTGCTCAATACTCTTCAAATTCATCTGTTTTTTTTTTTGAGCGTGAAAGATTCTCACACGAATTTTGAGCAAAAATATTTTCAATTCAACTCACACATTCATTGTTGAAAGAATAAAATTCCTGAACACCAAGAAGATCATCACTTGCAGATCAGCTTTGGAATTTATTAAAATATATAAAACAAATTGCAGTCATGAAAATGTGTCGCTTTTAAAATCAGTCAAAGAATAATTGCAAAATCCCTGAATACTGTACGTCAAGTTGGACGTGGGTGAAATGTGAGCTAAAATATGTGCAATAAATACACGTAAAAACAGAAGAAAACTCCTTGAAAAATGAAGAAAATCCCAACAAACATGTCACATTTCACCAGGACACTTTCAAAAAGTTTGCATGCCTCCAATACTCCACACAGATGTTTGACCAAACAATACCAAAACAGTTTCTCCACAAAATAACGAAATTTCTCTTCGTTTCTTCTTCTTCAGTAAGTGATCAATTTTTCTCTCGAATAATTCCCAATTTCTCTCGATGAAATGCAAAAACCCGGGTCAACAAACAACAGGACAAAATACATTCATCATTCATGGTAAGAGACTTATTTCGAGCCCTTCGCGGGTTGAGAATCCCTGCTGTTGGGGATTCCAACCGGAATGTGGTGGGAAGCGGGATTTTGTTTCACTGGCAACTTCTCCTTTAATCCAGAGGGATCGAGTTGCTGAGCTACTTTCTTTTTGGAAGCCAGAAATATTCTCCTTCTTTGGCATTGTGAATGTGGGCGTGCTTCTATACTTGGCTTGGATATTGCCATATGCATGCAAAATTCATCCTCAGAAATTTAAATTGTAACGCCACTGAAAGCAAGGTACCAATTTTGATTTTTTAATTGAAAGTGGTGGAATTCCGTTATAACCAAGTCATGGGGACTAGAAAGGAATTGTACAGTAATATTTACTCAAGTAGCACATGTCCTCAAGTGAGACACACCCCCCAATTTTCCCCCTAAATTTTTAATGAATTCCCATCCCTACCCAGGATGAAAATCCGACTTTTTGGCTGAAAAACTGCCATATTTCAAAAACGATGGACAGGGATTTAAATTGGATATGAATATAGCTTGACTTGAATTCATTTTCAGCTGTGATTCAAAAAAGTTCCTGCCAAAATTTTCTGACTATATTCAGGTGTTATGCACACCTAAACTTCGATAAAATGTTGAAAATTTCATATTTGAAACATTTTCCTCTCTCTATTTTGAGAAAAAAGAATCTGTGCCTGAAACTCAAGTATAGTAAATAAGTTTTTCAACCATTCCCCTTCTAGCAGTAGAAAGGCACATTCTACAGGTGGGTTCTCTTCACAACAAAACCTCAGGGTACCAGGGAATTTTTTTTAGAGAATTTTGCTGTAGAGAACCAGTTCAACATGGGGAGAGAACCTCAAGGGACCAAATGAAAAATTTTATAGAGAGGAATTTGTTGTAGAAAATATAGTTGCTGAGAGTTCACCTGTATCTTGTTTGCTTTACTAGGAAACCAGAATAATACTGTAGCATCTCCAGAAATTTGGGGTATTCAGAAGTTTATCATCCAATATTTTTCTGGGAATTCAAAAGGGGGCTGAAAAACTTCTGCATATGGAGGTTTATATCTTAGGGAGGCTTGAGTTATTCAGGTCGAACTGTATTTACAAATAAAGACTACCAGAGAATCATTTCCCCCTTGTATGCATTTTTCTCTGCACGAAGTCCTTCAGTTGCAAATAGGAGAATATCCCTATTGCCTGCTCTCATCCTGATATGAATAAAAAAGCAGCTAGTTGAGCCACAAGTTACACCTGAGCTAACTCAAAATCAGCCAACTGTAATTCAAACTTGACAATTGTCTGAAAATTATTCAACCCTTGAATGGCAACAGGCTCCTTTCCATACCACAGCAAAGTCTGCATGTTTTTCACACAAACGCGTATTTCAGTTTGACCAAAGATTGCCAAAATGTGCCAGGGTTGAGTCAGGAAAAAAACTAATTCTTTTTGTTTTCAGATGTCTTCAATGTTAATCCTGTGCTAGGAATATAGGGAAAAAAACACCTCCCAGCAAGGAGTTTTTCTCATTATCTGGCAAAAATTGTCTGCTGACAAAATAAAAAAAGATTGGAATTTTCCCTTAACTTATGCCTGGGTTCTTGGTTTACATTACAGGATATTTTTCATTTCAGCACTCTTGGGCACAAAATTTTGCAAAAATATCCCAACTTTGCTCCAGAAGGATTGAAAATGGATCATGCCTCCATGAACAATGCACCATTATCATATGAACAATCCAATAATTGAAGGGTAGATCGGATACCAAGTACCAAGACCATCCGCAGTAGTCAAATGCACGCTTTTCTTCTTCTAAATATAAAAATAAAACAAAAACCTCAAGGTGACAAAGCGAGCAACAACAACACAAACAAAACAAAAAGGCACCAGAACTTTCAACTCCATGTATAGAAAAAAAAAAAACCGGGACCAGAAAAAGCACCAAGAACTCCGAATCCAAGACAGAGAAACACCAACAATGAGGTGTACTGTTTCATTGTCAAAATGCGCCCTAATCCCAGTTGGTTGTGGAGGTGGAAGAAGGAGACAGTCTTGAGTTACTCAGCCTCATGAGTAAGCGCGTCGTCGTCGTCCGTCGTCATCGACGTCGTCGCTGGGTGTGTGTAAGAGGTTTAGTCGTCTCTCAAGCGCTCCGGCGGCTATACACAAGTGACCAGCACTTTTTTTCTATCGCCGCCACTTTTTTGTAATGACTTGCTGGAGTTGGTTTCTGGGAAAAGTTTCTCGACGGCATTGGCAGAGTGCAAGAAAGGTGACACTTGAAAATTTACCGCCAAATAAATCCCCCGAAGCAAGTCTCCAAAAAAATAAATAAATCGTGTGCTTTTCGATTCGTCCAGGGGTCCATAGATAAATCCGATTCCGAAGATGCTGAGAAGACGGCGGAATGTATAGACGAGAAACCTACTGAAAATACTTCAGGAGAAGGAGGAGTTGATGCGGAATTGGAGGTGACCCTAAAAACTGAGGCTGATCTTGGAGTGTCTTTGGGTAAAGACCAAGGAATTCTTGACGATGAGGAACTCACAATTGGGATTCCAGCGGAAACCATTTCTTTCAACGAAACCCCTGTCTTGGTGAGCACACAAAAACTTTTGCACAGTACTCAAAAAATGACGTACATCTCATGTGGAATTTTTTCCAATTAGATTTTGGGAACTGATGAAGAAACCGCACCAGAAGCACGGATAAAACCTTTATTTGACACTCCCGAGGATGAGGTAAACATAAAAAAGCTAATTCTGTTCGTTGATTTCACTGATGGACTTCTTCCGCTTGTCAATTTCTTCTTTTAAAATTTTTCAACCTGATGCAAAATAGGATACGCTAAAACGGGTCAGGTAAACGAGTTTGATTTCAAGAAGACGAGAGTAAACTTTTTCAAAAAATTCACACATTTTGAAATCATCCTAATGATCACAATACTGCCACCACGGTATGATTAATTAATGGAAAGATAACCTAAAGTATTCACAAACTATTAAGAATATTTCGTTTCACAATTTTTAAAGGAAAATACGGATCGGCAAGAGTTTAAACGTAAGTCAAGAAATTGACGTGATCCTATTGAAAATTGTAAACGTCGATAAGAATTTCCCCTTCTCAAGCATGCATAAAGCTCATGACTTCGTAATTTCTCACCGAATCTTGCGCGGAAAAAGTGTCTCAACCTTAGTACGGAATGGCGTATTATGGAATTCTCTTTCCCAATTCACTGCAAAGAATCCTCCACAAAAGAATTTGACTTTTTTCTAATGTATCATTCTGTTTTGTCAAAATCAGGGAACGTCTCACGGACGAGGAGGTGGCGTTATGAGATATTCAGCGCTAGTTTTCCGTCTTCAAGTTACACACAGACGACATCTAGGAGAAAAAAAGCTAACCTACTCTACTTCATTGCCATCATTTGAGATTCTCAATCATTAAATCACAAAAGCTGTGGAAATTTCAAATAAGTTGAGATCTAAACCCTGCTCTAATCGTTTTTCAATTCAATACAATTTACAGTATGATCAAACTTGAAAGAACTGTACAGTATTATCGAAGATCTAATATCAAATAGTCCGCAACCGAAACGGAGCGGAAGTAACAGATGATGGCGAAAAGTAGTTCACTTTTTCTCGCGTAGATGTCGCCAAGCACTAAATCAGCGCCCAAATTTTCCGTTGCACTGAGGTGCTTTTCCTTCCCATGTCTCAATTTCCACCAAGGTGATTTTCCATGAAGCGGAGTCCCGACCATCGTCACAAGGAGATTTTCTCTCTTGCGACGACCTCGATGATGCCGACATCTACGACGATGACGACATCAATTTCTCCGCACACAAATCGTCACTCCGCGGCTTCGACATATCTGCCCTCGACATCCCCGCCGGCGACACATCTCCGGGTTTATCCATAGAAGAATTCGCATCCTGCGAAAGCCTTCTCGCTCCTCCAGAGTTCAATGGTCACACAGATTCCCCGTCCGCAGATAAATTCGGACCCGCGGCTTCAAAGAGTCTCACGGAGTCCGGGAATTTCGCGAGCACTTGGGAAGAACCGGATGAAACCGTCGTGTCAGCAGCGAGTGAAGCACTTTCTAGTGAAGCCACTGAGCTGGAAGATGCCGATGCCCTCGAATTGGCAACTACAAAGCCATCACCGGACTCAGAACCACTTCCAATCACTGACGAACCTCAAGATCAAACTGAAACACTGCTATCGAAATCCGAAGGACACACCTCTGAGGAACCACTTCACGCACTCACGAACGACAGTCACGCCGACATCACTCATGAGGCATTCGAAGATGAAAAAGTCGATAGCTTCGTCGAAGCATGCGATATGCTCCGGATGAACGCTGTCACTGTCGATGAAACACAAGAGCTGACAAACTGTCTCACTATCAGAGACATCGTGATTTTAGAAGCAAAAATAGTGAAAATCGGATCCGATCAACAATCTACGACTGATGTAGAGACGAGTTTCGCAGAGGATTGCGACGAAACATCCCATTCGGAAATTCATGAAAAATCCTTGCCAATTTGTCAAAGCTCGAAATCATCCGTGGCCGAACAAGAAAGCAATGCATCAACTGCTTGCTCAGGAAGCATCAACCAATCCTTTCACGAAGCTGAAATAAGCGAACAAAACAAAATTCTCCCTAGTCAGGATATAATCCCGTGTGAACTTCCAGAATCTCAAGAAGCATCCCCTTCAAATGATCAAGATATCATCATCACGGAAGATCATGTTTCTACGCATGCCGTAGAAACAGAGAGTCCTCCACAAACTCCAAAACTTCACGGAACAGATGTTGAAGCCCAAGAATCGCCTTTGAGTTCAGTGAAACATGACATTAGTGATCAGTCTTCAAATGCTAGACCGGGCTCAAATGCAGAAGTTGGAGCTGCCGACGATGATAACGAAGATATGCTCGAATCAACAGAGATCAGTAAGGAAGACGAGGTTGATAAAAGCGACGAAATAAGTTCGAAGTTCTCTCCTGAAATCGAACATGACACTATTTACCTCGCCAATTCATCCGTAGAACCTGTTAATCCTCCAAGCATTACAGCATTGGAAACTGTTCAAGATGACATGAAAACGGATTCCGCGCCCATTTCTAAATTTTCTCCAGAAACCACTGAAGATGCAATAACACTGAACGATAAAATAGACGCCGAATCTCCATCCAGAATGTCCTCGAAAAGCGTTCAAGACGACGCTGAAACGAGTGACAAAATGGTCGCCGAAGACTCAATCACAAAATCCGTCGCTTCTCCAAGTGATCAACCACAAGTCCTCGATTCACGCGGAAACGAATCTCCCATAGTAGAGGCCATGGAAGAAGAAGAACAACAACGTGAAACGCATTTTGCGACTGTCGAAGATCTTTCCAAAGACGATGCTTCAGCACTTTCAGACATCGCAGAAGAGAATTCAGACGCCGGGGAACCGGATGCTGCAAAACGCAGAATATCCGTGGACCCACACCTGTTCACCATCAGTTCTGACATAGAATCAAGCGGTGAAACTATCTTCGAGACCGGGTCCATGTTCTCAGAGTCTATCAGCGGCATTTCGAGTCCAATCGACGCAGATTTGGCTTCCCCGAGGGATGAGAACTACTTCGGATCGCACGTTCTTTACACGTCCAGCTTGTTTGTCACTTTAAAAGACGGCGCAGAGGAAGAAGACGATCACAACCGGAGTCTGGATGACGTTGGTGGTGGTGGTGGTTTGATGAAGCGAGATTGGCCGGATTTCGATGACGATGATGACTTCCGTCCAGAGCACGTCACTTCTATGCCAAAAGCATTCCTCACGCAGGTTTTCTTGGATCACGAACAAGAGCAGGAGATCCAGCGCAAGGAGTACAGGGACTTGAAGGTGAGAATCTTTCTCATGTATTACCCACATCAACTCGATGATCTCAAAGAAAAATATCCAGGGTGAAGTCATAGTAGAAAAATGTCGAAAATCGATTGTCTTCAAATATCGATCACGGTTCAATCTTTCAGCACATCATTTATCTGAAGATTTCACGCAGTCGCTCGTAAAAACGAAGATCAGCTATAGAATCGTCATCGTCTCAATACAAGATTTCGAAGAACGATGTTCCCTAAGTTATAAAATTCGGATATGGAGCACACGTGACATTATAAAACATCAAAAGATTACAGATCAAGAGTAAATACCTTGTCGAATACACTGAACCCGACCCAACCCTATGCAGTATTTTGAAAAATGTCGTTCCCATACTCGCACTCCAGTTCAATTAAGTTCAATGCCTGCTCTAGTTTCATGCAAAAACGTTTCATTCAACAATTGTTCTCCAATTTTTCAATTCTCTGACATTTGCTTGGAAAAGACATTCGCACATTTACTTCAGCAGTTCTTAACATTTGTAGAAACGTTCTCGTTTCTACAAATAAATTTCGTTTCAAAACTCGATACATTTCCAAAATAGCGGAAATGCGATTTTTTCGGTGCAAAACTAGTTCGAAGATCGATTTCTTGCACTTGCGGGGGCAAGAAAAGAGGATATTTCGAAATTTATATTTTTCCCAGACGGGAGCTGAAGGAACGAATCGACCAACTAGAGAGGAAAAATAAATCGTCTTTCCGTGAGGCAGCTTCCATTCTTCAAAAAATTGCAACGTCAAAAATCTTCGTAATTTTTTGGTAAAACAAAATCCGTTTTTTTCGTCGTAAGATAACCAGATCGGAACGAAGGGAAACTATTTGAAGTGAAGCGACATCTACGCAAAAGATCAGAAAAACCGTCGAATTCACGGGTTTCGGGCTCTCGAATTCATTCACAAAAACGGATTTAAAATTTTCCAGGAGGAAACTGAAGTTGACATGCCAAACGAAGCAATGGAGGAGTTGCCTGAAGATTCAGCAGTTTCCGCAGAGCCGCCGTCAGAGCCACCGCCGCCGCCACCAATCGAAGAGGAGGAAGATTAGCGTGAATCCACGCAGAAAGAAAGATCGGCTTCACTTCCCCCCTTTTTTCAGTTAGAAAACGGGGGCTTCGTTTGAAGTTTTTTCGTTTTTGTTCAAAGTGAATCATTACGCAGCAAGCTGGCAACCCTGAGAGTCGAAAAGAATTCCGTTTTGAATCCAATGCTTCTTGCATGCTTGCAAATGACCACTTGAAAATGTGTTTGCTTCAGTTCAATCCCTAGCCTCTTCATTATTTTTGACCTCAATTCGGATGAACAATTTTAAATCAATGCATATTTATTGCATTTAAAAAATTGAAAAAATGTTTCCCCTTCGGACACTGGCCTCATTAATTCAAGAATCAAATTAAATGGACTTCAATTCAAGCGAATAGGACAACATAAATGCAAAAATTAATTACAGAGGCTTTCACACATGTTACTTCTGGTTTTCATACGCAAAGACCAATGCATAATCTAAAGGAAATTATCTGATATTTACAAAAAGAAAGGAATGGAGTTTTGCGCTGTGACTGTTCAAAGAAAAACGGAAACATCAGGAGAGTCCATGTCATTAAGCTTGCAAAAAAAAAAATTGTGCAGAAAGCCACGTCATTTTGACTCGTTTTTATCGTGATTATTTTTGCTTTATATCTTGCCCCACAAAGGATCTGGGTTGCCTTCTCATCAAATAAAAAGAAACTGTGGAAAAAGTGAAATGGCAGTTCAATTTACCTTTGGTTCAAGTCTATTACATCACATATACAGTGTCAATAGACCGTAGTTGAAAGAATTCAGTACTGCAGCGTACTGAAATTTTCAAGGAACTTAAGATATTTGTTTATCCCTTTTATTGGATTATAATTGAACATGATAAAACATTTTGTAAGGCTTCTCTTCAACAATTGATTCCTCATGAAAATACAGTAAAATCACATTACAACAAACTTTTAGGGACTTCAGCGCAAAAGTTTGTTATACTGTAATATACTGATCAATTCGTTATACCTGGACTTCCAATTAATGACAGGAAATATTTATTGTCTCATACCCTGCCTTTAATCAATTAGATCTTGCTTTTGCGGCATTTGAATATTTTTCATTACTGTTTGAAATTCTGAGTGATCATCTGAAAGAAAAATTAGCTTCAATCATACATTCCATCAGCGAGTCTCAGACCCTGCCTTTAATCAATTAGATCTTGCTTTTGCGGCATTTGAATATTTTTCATTACTGTTTGAAATTCTGAGTGATCATCTGAAAGAAAAATTAGCTTCAATCATACATTCCATCAGCGACAAAAATCTCTTCATTCTGGGAGGATAATTTATAGAATCGCTTGGACGCATGTTTGACATTGATTAAAGCTTCTATCCAAGAAACAAGAACCAGTCAGTGAAATTTAAGATGAGAAATTACACGCTATGCCTGATTCAGTCAGGAAATTCCTAGAAGGAAAACCTAATGAACATTCTGTAAAAAAAAGTTTGCTATACCGGGATTGGAAGCTTGTCATAACTAGATTGTTTGAACACGCGAAAAATGGGCTATGGGTTTCCTGCTGTAACTTGACAAAACGTTTGTATTTGTTGTACGGAGAATTTACTGCCTTTAGTTAAATGGTGACAGAGTTCAGTACTACACAGTACTTTTCATAGAACCTAAGATATTCCTTTGACCATTTTCACTGTATTATAATTGAACGTGCTTGAACCTTCCGCAAGGCTTTCTCTTCAACAATTGATTAATCATGCCAATAATCCATGCCTTTCCCCTCCCAATTGAATTGAAGACATCACTTTCTAGAACGTCGGAAAGATGTCACCTGATTCGCTAAAATGGCTCAAGACCGAAGTACTGTGGGCACGTACATATTCCCGACTGGGGAGATGCCGACGCCGCGCATCGCCTGTCTTTCCTTGGATGGACATTCCCCTGTACGAATGATGAAAAAGGTTTACAGCCCACCTAAACTAACCTATCCTAACCTAACCTATCCTATCCTATCCTAACCTAACCTAACCTAACTTAACCTAACTTAACATAATTCAACATAACCTAACCTTACCTAATTTAATTAAACATAACCTAACCTAACTGAATTTAACCTCACCTAATCTAACATAACCTATACGTACGGGAATGTCCAACCAAGGAAAGACATGCGATGCGCGGCGTCGGCATCACCCCGGTCGGGATCTTGTCAGTTCCCAGTACTGTAGCACAGCAGGAATGTATGAAGCTCCATCATAAATCAGAAAAATCAAGTCTAACCAAAATGAAATCGTGAGTATTTCTCTGTGTGTACCTTCGCCAAAACGAGCGTTGTTCTGCATACCCACTCAAGAGTATCTTAAACCGAATGAAAATAAATTTTTATTCGGTCAAATTTTGTAACTTTCACTTGATCGGATTCCTTCTCAACCTCAATTTGTGTCATTTAAATTTCTGTCGGCCTTCAGTTCCCAATGAAACTCGCGGCGACATTGTTCTTCTACTTTCCTGAAGAACTGTATCATTGAAAACGATCTCAAATTTTCAAATCAAACCAGGGACAACTTTTAACATTTATTCTTCATTACTCACCTTCCGAAGCGGCTTTCTCAAATTTTTCTTTCGTCGCGTCCACGAGTTCTTGTCGGTGCTCGAGCATCTCCTGAATCAGCTCAAAGAAGTCAAATCCCAGAAGATCGAAGAGCTTACAAAAATTAATCCAAGAAAACATTTTTTTTAAAACCTGTTTTCGCAGACAAGCACAAACGCATAAAAAAACAGCACTCACCTCATTTTGAATTTCATTTGAAGGCTTCGTTGACCCGACTACACTAATGACAGAGTTAATCAGGTCATTCAAAGCTACCGGATCTTTCGCACTACCACATCCGCCTTCTATTAGCTTTGCTTCCAGCCAATGTCGGTTCCACTGCGAAATAATAAAATGTCAATAATTTGCACCAACAAGAAAAATGCTTTGGGGGTTTTAAAAACGTACTCAACGCAGTAAAGAGTCAGAAGTATTCATATTTTAAATATTTGTGAAACGCACAATGAGATTGTGTCCCCGAGTAAGACGCGCACCCCATTTCTAGTGACTCCAAAATTACAATACAGTAGAATCTCGTTACAAAAAAGCGTTTGGGACCTCAGAAAAGCAAAATTGTGAAGGAAATTCGTTAAAATGAAATTATACAACATGGTGGCTATTGGACAAGGACTGAAAGGAAAAATTGTTGCAAACATTGATTCGCTGTAACGAAATTCTAATGTATTTCAAGAATAAAAACACCATAATTCGAATTTAGACAGGAATTGAACCTACATTCAACTGCTACCCTAAAAATGTTTTTCGTTGAAATTGGTCAAAATTTCGCATTATAATCAAATACAATACACACCCAAACTTTTGAAACTTTTGGACGAAGTTCTAGCCGTCTATGAAACACACTCGCTTTTTCCCTCTCAAAGTTGAGAAAAAAGGCGCTTGCGTTACGCAAGCGAAAATTGTAATAATGGTCTGAACAGTAGCTTTCCAAAACTCGGACTTCTCTCATTCTTTTTGTCGTCAAGAATTTTTCAAGAACAGAATTAAACCCTGAAATTTAGCACTCAAACCAGCGAATAAAATTAAAACACTTTCACAAAGAAAAAAAAAACGAATAGTAACTCACTTTGCTGCTTGTTGGAGCAGAGTGAACGAGACCATTTTGCCACAATGATGGGACATCGTCTCTGGTGTCGACAGCAGTTGCACCTTCGTTCAACACGTTGACGAGTTTCTTGTCCCAGAAATGTATCTCAAACCGTTGTTCCAACGGTTCCGCGATCGTGACATCACAGTTCAATCCAAATTCTTCGGTGGATGAGCCCTCCGACGCATTTTCCGAGACGAACGAGTCGAAAAATTCCAGCGGCAAAATTTCACGAATCTCTCCAACAGCCTGCAGGATTTCAGAAAACAAAAATTTTGAATGAACCTGACAATCCACGAAGAAGAAATGATGAATTTGGTTCCGAAAAAACAGATTACGACACAGGACAACAAAATCGCACAGTAAGGAAAACCGAATTTTAAAAATTTCACAGCGGAATGGGTTCCCGCATAAAGAAATTAGTCTGTTCCTGGATTAGTTTCGTTATGCCGAATTTTCTTTCCGTGAAACGCGTTTCCCACAAGATCAAATTATATTTAATTCAACTGATTCCATCCATTCACCAAAATCCCATGATCAACCATAAAATGCGTAGATTTGTCAGCAAAAAATCGTGTATTACATTTTTTTTTTGGCGTGAGAGTGAGATAATACTGTCAACTATAGCTCATAAATTTCTGAATTTCTCAAATTATACCGACAATAAGATGTAGAACTGGGCATTTATTTTCTTTTTTCTGCCGATTTTTGAAATTCTCAAATTTCGAATAAATATCAATATCGAAATTTGCGCTTTTTTTTAGGCTGAACATTTCGTCGTGTCAAAAAGTTCCTAATATGAGTCAGATTCTTTCCCGAAAATTTTCATTATGCGGATTTTTCGTCAGGTTGGTCTTTTGCTATGCGAAGACTCTCATCACATTTTTCCTCAACCTTCCCTCACTTTTTTGCCAATGATAGCAAAATTTCATGTATTGTTGCGGCGGATCGTTCAATGATCGGAAAATCACGACTTTCATTTTAGGAGGAACCCAGAAATTTCAATTAGGAGAACTTGAGCATGTGAGGTTCAAATCGAAAGCAACTCCCAATTAACTCACTCTTGATGCCAACATTATCAAGTACCACGAGCAACTTTTTTCTAAAATGTTGAAAGGAAAAAAGGGAGCGCGCGCCATGAATGGTTAACATTTTTCAAAATGTTTTAAATTTCAGCGAACCTGAGTACTTATCTAACCCATTATACCTGATTCTAATGAGAAATTTTGGACTAACTTGAAAAGAAAAACGTACTTCAAATAAAAAAAATTATTCGAATTCAGGTTCAATTCATGCCTGGATATCATATTCGGGCGTTCTTATTTTTCAAATATTGAAGTTTTAGAGGGGCAAACATTAAGTTTGCATCTTACTCAGGGATACAATTCCATCAAAAAGATCGACTGAAAAACCCCTGGTGCGCCTCTTATACGTGGTCGTTAGGTTAACACAGTAATTCGCACATCATTATTTATAACCGAGAGTTTATAAAAATTCAAACCTTGCAAGCATCACGAGCCAGTTGCAGGTCCACGTCGCCGAAAACCTTACGCAATTCGGCAATATCACTCATCGACGCAATGGTTTTCTTGTGGAACACTTTGAGCAGGAAAATGGCGGCTTCATCGACCGACGAAGCTTCTTCTCCTCCGCTTAAAAACACGGCAACATCTTTCACTGTCGCAGCGAGTTGCGTCAGCTTTGCTTCATTCACACCAGCGACAGAACGAGCTCTTGAAATGAAATCTTTCCACGTGAAGGTTTCTCGGGATCTGTGAAAAAAAAATTACATACACTATATGCAGTCACATGCTTTTTTACACCATGAGAAAGAAAATTAATTCCGAGTTTCAGATTTGTCAGAAATAAGATTTTTTCCAATTAAAGCCCTTGTTGAAGTAAAGTACACGTGGACTCACTCCACAACGAAATTCAAGAGACCAAGACAAAAATTCGTTGCAGAGAGAATATCGTGCAACACAAATATTTACGGAAGGTTGAGAAACACTGAAGAATTGCGATCACCTAACGAACAGCCTCACCTCTCAGTTTCTCGTTGTTTTCGCTTCTTCAGCAAGTTTTCATAAGCAGGATCATCAGACACCGTCACAATGACGCCTGTTACTTTGTAAAAACTTGAACTCAAGACTTTGAAGATTTTTTTACTTTGCATTGGACAGCATTACAGTCCAACACTTGAACACTCTAAAGGAAGATCTGGTAGAAAGTTGTGTGAGAAAGCAACAGCAGGAGCAGAAGGAATTTTCCTACAGTTCATTTGCAAACAGGAAGCATCAGAAATATTTACAGTTGAGAAACACTGAAGAATTGCGATCACCTAACGAACAGCCTCACCTCTCAGTTTCTCGTTGTTTTCGCTTCTTCAGCAAGTTTTCATAAGCAGGATCATCAGACACCGTCACAATGACGCCTGTTCTTTTCTGGACTGTGGCAGCGCGCAAAGCGCTGCTCAAGCGCGGTATTTCTAGCCCGCGCATTTCAGCAATTGTTCACTTCATCGTCGTAAATCCACCTGCGCCTCAAATCCCATCATCAGTCATCAACGCAGACACGGGTTGAAAAACAAAAAGCCATACAACACAGCATCAAAGAAACGTTTCAAGAAATCCACGGAAAGCTTTAAGAATAGACTTGCTTCCTCGAGATTGAAAATCAAATCTTCTCTCAAAGCTTTTGGAAGCAGAAAAATAGCTTGTTCACAACGAGAAAATCGTTAGAAAGCGATTTATATAACATTATAGCCACTTGGCGGAAACTTAAAACGAGTTTGTTGCAACCAATAATTCGCTAAAAAGAGGTTTTGCCGTAATCCCGTTTCTCCCTGTAGAATATTTTTTCCTCCAATACTAAAGATGCATATGACTCGAGTGGTTCGCATCGAAAAAATCACGAAACGCTTCTTTGATGAAACCAAATTCAAAGAATATTTTCGTTCGTCCAAGCAAGACCTTCATTGCACATGCTAAACGAGGGATCACTACGCCCTCAACAAACATTAGGATTAAACACAATTCACTCGTGAAGTCCTTTCCAGCCACTGGAAATTAACAGATGTTGCTGCGACAAAAGAAAACGACTGAAATTTCACTAGCTTAGAATGAAATGACTGAGGAAGATTTCAGAGAATCCAGTGGATGTAAGAACGTTTTTTGAAATGCTGCAGGTCGTTGTGGAGGTAGAACTCGTTCATCTGCGGGTCCCACCAAAAGTCATCGCCGACGGTCTTGAAAATCGGTTCGTCGTACAATTTTCCTACTTGCCAACCAGGAACGTCAGCCATGAGCTTTTCCTCCTCGTCGCGGAGTTTACGAACGTGCTTAAGGTACCTTATCACAGAAATAATGCGATACATTCAACATAACTGAAGCTGCTTGCAGCAAAACTGAAACAAATAAATCGTCGAACTCACATTCGGTCACGTTCCGCAGTCAAAAGCGGTTCAATGGCCAGCTTCGCACTGCGCTGCTCTATCTCCCTGCCCCTAAAGAACACAAAAATTTGAAGATTTTACGCCCGACACACTTATTCCCATCGCTTCATGTAGACTGAAAATGAAGTAAGATAAGCTTGTCATGTTTTCAAGGAAAGCAGAGCTATTCCGGATATTCCAATCCTTCGCAGGGATAAAATTTCGAGGAATAGTACTTAAAAATGCCTTTACTTCAAATCACTCACCAAATACTCCGCTTTCCTTTGTAGTACAACATCCACGCACCCGTTGTGACAACTCCAAAAATTGCGAAACTCGCGATGCCTGCACGATGCGAAAAATTAGTAATTAAACAACCCGTCAAAGAAGTAGCATCCGGTTCTGCACTCACCTCCCAAGTAAGATCGCCCGGGCACCCTTTTCCAGTCCATAGGTCGATACCCTCCAGCAGGAGGCATATCTTGCTTGTACCCCACCCCAGCCATTAAATTTTCTATATGCCTGTTTCACGAGAAAAAAAATTACCTCACTCCAGCTACTCCAGATAACCCAACGACAAATATCCGACAAGAACCGCACGAATCATAAAATTTCACTTCGTTCTGTCACAAGAAGCACGCCGAATTCCACTGCGTCCAGCGGTGGAGTAGCTTCTCACCAGAGCAGAACTCTTGGTCAGCGAAACTCTAGGCCTTTGCACCCCCCATTCCCTCACTCCCTCTTCTCATCACTCTCTTCTTTCCACACACTAGTGACATACTTGAGGATTCGAGTTTACAGTGCGCTGGTGGTGTCACAGGACTATAGTGATACCAGGTCTAGTAAGGATGTTCACACTGGAATAAAGGGTGTCACAGGACAACTTCTTCACAGTATACAGGAGTCCACTTTTTTGTCATTCAAGTGTTACAAAGTTTTATCCTCTAGCTTCTACACTGATCAGATTTGAAAGTGCAAACCTTCCTGAACTATGGTTTGAAAATTTGATCTGAACAAGTACATCCACATCATATAAGTACCTTGAGGCAAGGCCAGATTAAAGCAGGTGCTAATAATGCTGCAGCATTATGGACTCACCAGGCAAATAATAGGCCCCTGTGAATTTAAAAAAATTAGAAAACTGGAGCACTTATAATTTAAGAATAAATATGAGGAAACTTGACACAAATAAAATTTTGTAACAGGCAAGCTGCATATGTTATTGGTTGAAAACAGGTGTACTCTCATGCCTGCTTGTAATGCTTGCATATACCTGGATTATTTGCTAGGATTGCACAATTTAAAAAATCTATACATTGGTGACTGGCCTAGCAAACACAAGCATGCAGTTACAGGACTGCTTCTGTTAGGTAGAACATTATTTGTAGGGCATCTATTCGTACTTCATGCATATGCGACATCTATGAGCAAAGTACGAGTCAATCCTCTCTTATGACTTTGCATAGATTTCACTTTTGCATGAGGTACAAGCACTGATTAGACCTCTTGCAAGCTAAAATGGAACTATAGGGATAACCAGCACTTGGAATTTCCTGAAGTCAAAATATGTTCATCTATGTCTGAATTTCATTAGAAACAACATGTATTAAAACCTCCCTGAGTCTCAGACTTTCCCCTCAAACCTCCATACATTGGATTCTAGAGTCCTTTATTATATTATCACAGGAAATATGAAAGACATAAAAATGTTACAATAATGTCAAATGAAAGCCATAAAAATAAACTTGTACTAACTTTTGAAAGGAAGTGCAGGATCAACTTGGCAAATGAACCTTTGCCTCCAAGTTCTGCATCCTGTCAACTCATTTAGGAAGTAATTTTGGGCCTAGAATATCACCAATTACAATTTCCTTGCATTCTTCTCACTTTTCCTCAACAAAAATGCTTGAGAAACAAGCATTTTTGTTGAGGGAAAGAAACAACAGCATTATTTTCTAAATATATATTGTTCAAGGGCAGGCCAGCAAAAATTTGCAAGGCAGGCCAGTGTTTGCTAGGAAAGTCATTCATTTATTTTTCTGGTGTTATACTTAGGCAGGTTGTTTATTTGCCAGTGCATTTGCTAGGCAAGGCACCACATATTTAGTAGATGACCATGCTTATGCAAATGACATTGCATGTGTCAAAAATTCTACCATTGTTTGAATTAGCTTCTTGTCAAGTATCTCATTCAAATGAAAACAGGCCAATATACTGTCTTTTAAAACTGCTGGCCTCTTTTTGTTAAGAAGTAGTCTCATGATGCACAAAGTGTCATATTCTTGTAGAAAGCAAACTCTTTTAGAGTATGATCTCTTGTACAGGAAGGGGACTCTTGTCAAACTGGTAGAATCTATCTAATAAGAACTCACCACCCTGGAAAGCTTGAAAAATTCTTTATAAAAACCCTGAATGTACATTCTTCATGACACACTAAATATGAATATATATTTAATGCATTGACATAAACATAGAGTACTGCAACAATAGTTTTTGCAGCAGAATTTGATCCTTGTGTCAAAAGCTCCTGTCTTCCTGAACTGGTCAATTATTGTATTTTTATAAATATGAATATATATTTCATGCATTGACATAAATATAGAGTACTGCAACAATAGTTTTTGCAGCAGAATTTGATCCTTGTGTCAAAAACTCCTGTCTTCCTGAACTGGTCAATTATTGTATTTTTGTTGAAGCCTTCCCCTGATTATAATTAGATTGTTGTATCTGAATAATACAGGCAGTGTCCAAGAAATTATCTTGTGTGCTCAATAAAAAATTGACATCAAGACCTCAGCAATACTGTTATTGCTGAACAATATACCCCTGATTAGAATTAGATTTTTGTATCTGAATAATACAGGCAGTGTCCAAGAAATTATCTTGTGTGCTCAATAAAAAATTGACATCAAGACCTCAGCAATACTGTTATTGCTGAACAATATTGGTCATTCTAAACCCATGAAACAAAATTGTTGGAACCTTTCAAAGCTAATTCCTTGCTTGAAGTAATAAAATGCCCAAGTTCAATGAAGCTGATGTCAAGCAGGCCTCAGTAGAAGAGGCACTTGTCAAACCCACAATTGAATACAACTTGTCAAATGCACTTATTGTCAAACCACATTTATAAGAAAATATGCCTGAAATCTAAGACCCATGGAACATCCCATCATATCATTTCACAAATACGTGGAGAAATCATTTTTTCTCACATGGAGTCACCTGCTACACCACTTCCTGCATAAGGGATTTATTCCCAATTCTTGAAGTCACTCATGTGCAACCACAGGAGAGAGAGAGTGTTGGATGCAGGGCGTGAGGGGATGGGGGACGCAGTGGCAAAGAGTTCGGACGACCAAGAGTTCTGCTCCGGCGAGATGGGGCCTCACCGTGATGTCTGGAGGGTTTAATAAGGTTGTGAATACAGTAGACCTCTTCTCCACGAACACTTGATGTATTTCTTGTCACAACAATAAAAGACTCGGAATAACGTCAAGACAAAGAGGAGTTGTCAGGTTAAAAGCTCAAGACGAAGTGAGGTTCCTCTCCTGCTCCGCTAACCTCCTGCCAGCGGCTCCCCTGATTCATCGATAAGAGGAGTGGGGTTGGGTGTACCCCTGATTATAATTAGATTGTTGTATCTGAATAATACAGGCAGTGTCCAAGAAATTATCTTGTGTGCTCAATAAAAAATTGACATCAAGACCTCAGCAATACTGTTATTGCTGAACAATATTGGTCCTTCTAAACCCATGAAACAAAATTGTTGGAACCTTTTGAAGCTAATTCCTTGCTTGAAGTAATAAAATGCCCAAGTTCAATGAAACTGATGACAAGCAGGCCTCAGTAGAAGAGGCACTTGTCAAACCCACAACTGAATACAACTTGTCAAATGCACTTATTGTCAAACCACATTTATAAGAAAATATGCCTGACATCTAAAAGACCCATGGAACATCCCATCATATCATTTCAAAAATATGTGGAGAAATCATTTTTTCTCACATGGAGTCACCTGCTACACCACTTCCTCCAGAAGGGATTTATTCTCGATTCTTGAAGTCACTCATGCGCAATCACAGGAGAGAGAGTGTTGGGTGCAGGGTGTGAGAGGATGGGGGACGCAGTGGCAAAGAGTTCGGACGACCAAGAGTTCTGCTCCGGCGAGATGGGGCCTCACTGCGTCCGGTGTGCCTGCGCAGCGCCCAGGTGACAGCAAAATAGGGAGAGCTGCAACTCCGATCACAAAGAGCTATGAGTGTTCAAGGTATGACGTTTAATGCTGATACAGTAATCACATAAAAAATCGGAGTATAGCACTGTACTGTGTACGTTACTTATAAACTGTATAACTTTTAAAAATCTTCCCGCACATTCATCTACATTGACTTTTATAGGTTTACCTTTCTTCATAGAATATCATTACTGTTCTATTAAAATGTATAAGCCCCCCATATTGTACAGGCATATATAGAGCACAAAGCAGTCATGTATACAAAGTCTACTGCCTATACACATTAATAACAATTTGAATCATATATTAGAACTTGACATACAATTAGAACAACAAATTTCACAGAATGACAGAGACTGTTGATAAATTATCGATGGGTGGGATTTTTCATCATGTTGGAATCCCTTCAAAAGTTACGTTGCACATGTGCTGCTGCTGCCATATAAACGGTAATAATTCGTTAAAAATGGATTCCAGCAGTGATATGATGCGGGCACTCATCACTGTTCTGCTAATATTGCAGTTTGCAGTGCAGATATGCTTTTCCGGCAATAAAATACATAACAGTACACTAGTGCATTGAAAGGAGCAGAATTTGAGATGGAAAAGGGTACTGTACTGTACAGTTTTCAGGTAGTTGAGTACAATACAGGTACTGTACTGTGCTGTAGTACAACAGTGACGTGAGCGTTGTTCGTACGGTAGTGACACCTATTCTAATTTTTGCTAGCTGACTTGTAGATTCGCTTATATCGCGGTTGTGATGAATTACGCTATTGCGGATTTCCGAGCGCGATGAAATTGCGGTAGGATGTGCCAAATGTGACCGATTCCATTAGATAGAGGTGTCTGCGCGAATTCATGAATGGCTACACTGTGCGTACTTCAGCGACCATGCTCGGGGAAACCGGAGAGCTCCGTCTTACCCTGAAGATTTTTTTTTTTATTGCGGAGAATCACCATATGCTTGAGCATTCTCGTATGGCATTCTGATTGCAGAAAGCGTCCGCGAAGCGTAGTTTTTCAATGGGAGAGTCTGAATCAGTGCCGAAGTCATGAAAAAAAATGTGCGTCAGTTCAGTGGGACTTAAGTATTTTCTTCGAACGAGTGTTTTGTTGGGTTCATCATCGGGCAAATGCCGTCATAGTGTTGATTTAGATACGACTGAGAACTTCTCTTTTCCCTTCTAGTCGTGGGAACTGACTTCCACTCCCGAGATAAGATATTTTGTTCTTGGCAGTGATCGGCGAACCCTCCTCGCGAGTTTCTCTGCGTGAAGCAATCGCTCCATGCGACACGAGCTATTCACATATATCTTTTCTCGCATCCTATTCAGTATTTCGTGAAAGAGCATGATGCAATTCCATGTGGTAACTGTGACGTGCTTACTTTTGCATAGTGTAGCATTTGCAGCTCCGCCGAAAGTCATCAAGAGTAACGCGCTGGATGATAATCAGGTCAAACCACCGGAAGAAACCTCGGTGCGTGTGGAGAAAAATAATGAAGCAAAATCAGATAACGTGGAGAAGCCAGTGTACCAAAAAGAACCTCAGCCGTTACCGAAGCACGATACTCCGAAAGAATCTCAGGAGAAGAAACCAGAGTTCGATGTGAACGTTGGGTCGAGAAGCTTGGCGAGCCTTCCTGCGTGTCGCCCTGAAATTGAGAGGCTTTGTCATCAAGCACCAGAAAGCCTCAACAACATAAACGTCTTGGAGTGCTTCCAAAATGTTGTAAGTATCGTTGATAATTCCCTTTGAAACAATGCATTGAAAAACATCATCAACTCGAAGGCTTCCCTTTTCAAACCTCCATAGCTCAAATTTTCTGGAGGCATTTTTGTGGTTATTTCATGGACACACGAAAGATAATTGTGATGAAAATGTAAATTAATTTTTTTTAAAGGAAATGGGCAAATGAACCTTCGCTTCCGGGTTCAGCCTCCGCTTGACTCGCTTAAGAAGCAATTTAAGGCCCAGTAAATCACCATTTTCAATTTCCTGTGATACGTTATTCTTTATCCCAGCACAAATGCTTGTTTCCCGCTTTGAATTTCCTTGTTGGTTGCTTGAAGATTGACTGTGAACGATTTCCTCTTTTTGGGTACTCTGCATCCACAGCAAAACATCAACGAAGTTCTGAATCCAGATTGTCTTCACGAAGCATGGCGAGTAAAGAAGAATTTCACGCAAAGCGACACTTTCGTCAAGGCAGCGGATTCTTTGTGCGGTGAAGCCTTCTCCAAGCTACCTTGCGACATGGTTCGGAACTCCATCAAAGGAGAATTCCTCGCCTGCGTGATCGAGCATCGGGAAGCGATAGAAAACCCTCAGTGCAAACAATTCCTCGTCAAACTCGAAACCCTGATTTTCTCAGATTACCACTTGATCTCTGGCTTTGCCACGAAATGCGACGCGTCCATCAATGAATTGAAATGCGGTCGGTTGGTTCCGGAGACGCCGACTTTGAGTCACGGAGTCGTCATTCAGTGTCTGATGGAGCATTATGAACAGATCAAGAGTCGGGATTGTTTGGACGAGCTGTTGCGTGTCGGTGAACTGCAAGGGCAGGATTATCACATGGATCGTGAGCTGTTTTTTGCTTGTCGACGAGACGCGGATACCTTGTGCCATGGAGTGCCATCTGGCGACGGGAAGATCTACTCGTGTTTGTTGCATATGCGGGGCAATGAGCGAATGAGTCCCGAGGTTTGTTTTGTTTCTGCTTTGATTGTAGATCATAACTTCGTCCCAACGAAGCTTTTGGGACTCGGAGCCTTAGAAAAACCTTCCTTGTAAACAAAAATTTTTGAAACTAAAAACATTATGGCTATTGGACAAGGACAACAAAAAATCGTTCGTTGTAAGCATTAATTCTTTAAAGCGAGATTCTTCTGTATTTGTGGAGCCGAGTTCCATGTACAACTTGTGAATACAGTAGTACCTTATTTTGGGTACGAGTTTGACATTAATTGCACTTGGAACACCCAATGCATTACTCTTTCATTACTTGGATTGCGTCTGAGGTTAGTTTTTCATGTTTTTTCGTTTTTTTTTGTTTGTTAGTTCAGTTAACTAACTAAGATTGAATTTGAAGTTCATGAGCATCAGCAAGGTTTCTAAAACATCCACCCTTCAAACAATACCTGTACCGCTTGTAACACTAACTTTTTGTTGTTGGGGATACTTTTATTTTTGTTCCTCACCCCGGAAAACCATTCCATTCTGTGATATTTGAATCAACGTGGAAGCAATTTTTCCATTGATTCTTCCATGCAAGCGCTAAAACGCTTCACCATAGCATTTGGAAAGATAAATTTGAGACTCATCACCTTAAATGATTTAGAAAATATCGCCAGGATAATCCTGTGTTCAGTAGAAAAGCTTGTTATACTGAAAATTTTATTCTAAGTGTAGGCAAAATAGTTTTATTTGAAGTATTATTAGACCACTGAGCCTGTTTTATATGAGAAAAGCCACAGCAATAACTTTTATATATACTTTTTTTCAATTTTTGTGAAAAGGAGCGAATATTTTTGATTTTTTAGTTTTTACAGTATGATGTATAATAGAAGAGCAAATCTGTTCTTTAAAGTTCTGTTTCAGTTTTATATCAGTACCACCTTGTAGGAATCACCAATTTTTCAAGGAAAACTCTCATTTTGTCAATGAAAGTTTCATTGAATGAAGGTGTTGAAAAAAATTTAATATTGTAAATTCAAGAAAAGAATTTTCTAAATTATCCTTAGTTTTTATGTGAGCATGGGCGCATGATCCCCAGTAGTAAGCAAACGATATCCCTGGGAAAATGTTTCAACTTCTTTGATTTTGTCCCCCTCTTTATTCAGGACAATGCATTTTTTGTTGCCATGAGTGAGTTGGCGCTACATTAGGGGCTCCCTGAAGAATGCAATGATGTGAAATTTGTGGCTTTATGTGAGATTGGCCTCAAATTCTTTTACAAATTTCGTTTTGCGGGAACGCAGTTTATTTCCTCGGTATTGTCTTCTTCGTAATTAAACGTAAGACGTGACTTACGTGAATTTGAACAGGTTTGCCTGATCGTGATTGGCTCGTGATTAAACGTTGACTCCAGCTGCTAAGACATTTTCACGTGATTGGCTCGGAAGAGAAGTTGAAGGAAGCAATAATGGCGTTTGGTTGCAATCCTGAATATATTGTGTTTATCTTCCCCAGTGTAATAAACAATTAGAAAGGCGGGAGAAGCTGGTCCAGCAGCACTACGAAGTGAGTCAAGGCCTCGCCAAAACCTGCCACGACGACATCAAGCACTACAAGTGCCGAGAAAACACGTCTTCAAAGCGCGAAATTCGACTCGCTCAAATCCTGCTGTGTCTCGAAGGCGCCATGGCGGACGGGAATCCGGTTGCCGCCGAATGCCAAGCTGAAATTCTCGAACACAGGCGAATGTTGTTGGAGCCCAGGGGATTGTCTCCGGAAATTTTGGTTGCTTGCGAAGAAGAATTGGTGCAAACGTGCTCGAGGAGTGAGATGTACAAGCGAATCCCGAGGTTGGAGTGTCTCATGGACTTGGCTGTGCGTTCGAAAAGGAGCGAGAAGCCTCTGATCTCTGACAATTGTCTGCGACAAGTGAGGAGCTATTTTATTTCAATGTATCTGAGAAGTGGGAAAAGTGGCAAACGTTTGAGAGCCGCCAAGTTCTGAGAGTAATTCCGTTGGCTCACTGTATGAGGTCAAGTGCTGTGCTGGTTCAGTTGAACCTTGATGACATGAACCTCCCTTTCTTGAATTTTTTTTTCAAGCCCTTTTCTGAATTCCATTAGTTACGAAGTACTGTTTTTATTTGAGTACCACGTGCGCCTTTTTTTTTCAAAATTGAGAGGGAAAAAAGGAGATGCGCATCGAAGGTGGTTTTACATTTAAAAAAAAATATATTAGAAGTCAAATTAGGGTTTTTTATTTTTGAAAATTTGCTCGTTAGAGTCTCTGAAAATGTGGTGCATGTCTTACGTACGTATGCATTTTTATCATAAATTCAAACTGAAAAAACCTATTGGATGTCTTACTTTGGGGCAAGTGAAGCTTGAGGAAATATAGTAATAAAAATCTCTTTGAGTCGAAGGCTTTCCGCCTGGAACGTCTGAAATACGAGTTTTCTGGAAGCATTTGTGGACCCTGGAGAAAGAAAACCCATGAAAATGCAACTTGATACTTTGGGTGATTGAACTCCTCCCTCCATGTTCGTTATCCTGTCAACTTCTTTAAAAAGTTTGTTTTTTGGGCTAGGGAAGATCGCTAGTTTCGACTTCCTCCTGTTATTCATTTTTAAAGGAAAAATGATAGTTCCTCAAACTCGAAAACCTTCAAAAATGAAATTTTTCGTTGTTCCTTTGGAATTTGACTTGAAAAGATTCAACTTTACTTCGTTAGATGAGTTTCCTGTGACGCATGCTTTGTTTGTCATGTTCGTCGTGAATTATCTCCTTCATTTGACAAAAAGGGGGGCCTATCTAGCTTTCAAAAAGATAATACAGAAAATATACGTCAGATTTGCTCGTCTCGTTCATGATCGATGGATTTAATAATTTCAGTGCAATATTTAGAGAGAAAGGATGAACGAACGAAGCTGATTATTCAGATTTCCCACTGATCGCTCGACGAAGTTCGGGTGTAGTTTTCCCGCGCGATAGAAACTCTTTTCTATTATGCCTTGATTTCTTTAATTCTTCTTCCAAGTCTATGGGAAATTCGAAGCTCCGTTACTGTGGGGCCCCAACATACGGACGATTCAGCTTAGGGACACTTCAAACTCGTAAAATCTGCCCCAACATCTGGACTATATTTCGAGATTTGGGCATTTTACCGACATAGACGAACGGAAATTTTTTAAATCAACATTTTGATGTCTCTTGACCAAATTGAGCTATTTCTATTTACAAGAAATCAAATTCAATATTATCATGCGTATACTCTTCATTGATGATCCAAAATAATCTAATTGCTTCTCTTTCTAGGATTTTTTTTCATCATCTGTGCAGGGTTTTAGACGTTTTCTGTGTGCTCCTTTTTTTTTTTTTTTCCAGAAGATCAAACTATGTGTGGTTTTGTTCTGCTCACTTATTTTCTGTATCTTGAATTTGAAAAAAACTATTTATTTTTTTATTTTTGGGGGACTTAATCCTAAATTTTTATCAACTGGAGAACCAATTAAATGTACAGTACTGGTATTTCCATTGAAGTGTGAAAGAAAGAAAGATCCAAGCGCCAATTACGTACGCATCTCGGGGCCCCACTTTTGTTTCATTCTCAACGATTCGAAATCTAAAAGCAAGTTTCGATAATTTCCGAAGTTCAGAAGGAGGTTTCCTAGGCTTTTATCATTATCGTGTTTGTCTCTTTCTTATTTGACGATTTTCTCATGAAATTAGAGTAATAATTTCCTGACCGCTGAGAAAATTCTGCTCTCCTTAGTCTGAAAAAGAGAGCAATCAAGAAATTCTTGGGATACCCGAGTTTCTCGTATTTTCTGTGATTTTGGGAATTTGTCATAAATGACGAAGTGCTTTCATGTTTTTTCTTCCGATTAAAGGTGGAATCAGTGCTGAAAGTTGCCGACGCGGGAGAAGATTGGCGAGTGGACCCATTCCTCCGGGAATCCTGCCAACCCGTTGTGAACCAAGCGTGCCAGGGGATCCAACCCGGCGAAGGCCGGGTTCTCCAGTGTCTCATGCAGCACCTGGGCACACAGGTCATGACCTCAGACTGCGAAGAATCCCTGCTGCGTCTCATGTACTTCGTGGCCCGGGATTTCGAGCTGGATCCGTTGTTGTATCGGAGTTGCAAGCGAGATGCACGAGATCATTGCAGTGCCAAGGAGAAGTGGGGAGGGGAGCCGGGTTCTTATGACCCCGAACGAGGATTGGTTGTGTTGTCGTGTTTGTATCATTTGGCGTTGCATCCCGAGGATAATTTGCGATTGGAGCCCAAGTGTGAGAGTGACGTGAGACGAGTGATGCGGTTGCGTGGGAAGCGAGTCGATTTGCATCCCGAGATTGAAGAGGATTGCTTGTACGAATTGGCGAATATGTGTTCGCAGAATGTGCAGCCCGGGCAAGAGATTCTCTGCTTGCAAGAGAAAATGTCTGAGTGAGTAACTTCGATTTTATAACGAATTTTCGTGTATTTTCGTATGAGTTCGGAATGCAGACGAAAGAAGAATTACAGGAAATTTCAATCGGCGATATTCTCGGCTTCGAATTACGTCTAGGTTTTTCAAAAATGCATCGTTTCTAAAAGAATTCAGACAGGGACGTGAAAAGTTGTGACCTAGCGGAGTTTGAGTCGTCGAGACTCAGTTTTGTTGAATCTTGAATACATTCCTCCGAGTCGCTAATTTTTTAAAATTTTGTTATTCAGTAAGCGTTTCTTTGTTTCGTTCACGATTATCAAATTCTGGTGGCTGCTGATTATTCTAGCAAAAAAACGCAGGTTTTTTGTATTCTTCAAAAAATGCTCGCATTTCGTCCGAAGTGAGTGATTTTGATTATCACGCCTAATTTAATTATATTTGAGGTAATAAATAAGAAACGTTCTTTTGTCCAGATATTCAGTGTTACCAATGTCTTTGCAATTCGCTGCATACTTACTTGAATTGCCGCTCTGAACATGTCGTGAATAATTTTCTTTTTAGCTCCACTGTGATCCAGGAAAGTACTGTATTTCCTTCTTTTGTTCAATCTCCTCCTAAATCGAAAATAACGTAAACGAATATCTCGAATTTACAACATGAATCTTGTTCTGTTCCCTCGCAATTCAACTGTAATTTCCTCTGCGAAAATTTCGTGAAAAATGTACAGTTCAGCCTCATTGTGATTCAGAAACGTGTTTGTTGTCAAAATTTTCCTGAATCTCCAACCTGAACCCTTTTCTCTCCTTGATCAAATGTGGTGTTTAAATTGCTCTTTCCACACAGGTTGTCCGCGAAATGCAAGTCCAAGATCGTGGACCTGACAGTGGACGAAGACCGACACGCAGAAGACAATCCTTACGTGATGGAGCATTGCTTGAAGGCCGCCAACGAGTTTTGCCACGAGTTCGTCAAGGGCGACGCGGAAGAAGAAGACCTTTTCGAATGCCTCGTGGAACACAAGTCCCGAATCGCGGAACGAAACCCGAAGTGCTACGCTGCCATCACTCACTTCCAACTCATCACCCTGGAAGACGTTCGTTTCTCGCGAAAATTCGAAAAGGCCTGCGGGGACGACATTAAGAATTTCTGCTACGATGCGAGCTCGAAAACCGGCGCGAAAACCACAGAGCAAATCATCGAGTGTCTGAGTGAAGTTGCGTTGGAAGAAGCCCTAACTGATCATCCCATGGACAAGAATGAGTTATTATCGCCCAAGTGCAAACGACAGCTCATGAACCAGTTGCGAAACGAGGAAGAAAACGTGAAGCTGAATCCCCGGTTGAAAGCCTCGTGCGAATCCGACGTGTTGCAACTTTGCCCGCACGTGGAAGAAGGCGGTGGACGGATTCTCGAATGCCTCAAGGATCATTTCCCGGATTTGAGCAGCAAGTGCAAAAACTTTTTGTTCCAATCCGACGCGTTGGCGGTTCGTGAAGACCGAGTGGACTTTGCGTTGACTGACAAGTGTCAGAGCATGATCGTGAAGTTTGGGTGTTCGAAACGACCGCTGGAGTGTTTGAAGAAGGTGATGGATGGAGGGGACTTTGACGAGGACTGCAGACTGGTTATTCTGCGGAGAATGGTGGAGCAGAGTTACGATTTCAGGCTGAATCCAGCTTTGCATTCCTCGTGCAAGCTGGATATTGGCAAGTTTTGCGCCGATAAGCTCGTGGGTCACAACGTGAGTGCTAATTTACTGTGAATTGCCATTTTATCGTTGATTTGATTCGTGGTGATCGGAAGGAAGTCCCTTCGCAGAATGACTGATTTAATTCTTTTTAGAATAATTGTGTAAGAAGTATTTTTCTTACTTGAATCGTTAATCTGGTTCAGGTCCTTCGGAAATTACTTTTAAATTTTCAAATAAATTAAAAAGTAGGGTAAACCATTGATTTAGTGCCAACTCACCTAGTGCCACGAAAATTCCTTGTCCTGGATGAAAAGGGGGCCAAAATCAAAGAAATTGATGAATTTTTCGAAGGATATCGTTGGCTTATTACTGGGAATCATGTGCACATGCTCACGGAACAACGCAGGATATTACTGTATTGAACATTTTAGTTCTGAATTTATACTGTTGAAATCTTGAGAAAATTTTTTTTTGTTGCTGCATGCCACCTTCCTTGAATAAAAAAAAAAAATACACTTTCAAAGAAGTAATTTTCAATGCATTTTCACCATCTCGTTGAGGATGTAATAATTCTGTCTTACTAAATCGATCGAAATACGATATTAAAAACAGTGCGATTGAGCTTCGAATCATTTTTTGTGCGTTCCTATCTTATCAGTCAGACTTAGTGCCCCCCCCCCCCCAAAATGATTTTGCCTCCAGTACAAATCCATAACCTACCTCCCATGCGATTCACTTCCCAAAAATGTGCCAGGACAAATGATAGCACAGTATCGAAGTTTGACTGACGTGTTTCTTCAATACGGAATATCATAAAAGAACGAGATATATACTTTTCGAGATCGGTGTGCATTTGATTACTTGCGAATCTCCCGGAATTTCACGTGGCAAAGTCATTCCATGTTTGTAAAACTCGCGTTTCAACAAGCCAGTTTATGCCATTTATGTATTTTCTTCCCTGATTTGATTCTGACGTTTCTTTTACTTGCAGAAAAAACATCCGAGTATCTTGGAAGGAGAAGTAGTAACTTGTTTGAGGGACATGATGGTGAAGAAACCGGCAAAACTGTCAAATGGTTGCCTGAACCAGTTGCAAGACGTGGTAGAGCATGCTGCCAAGGACGTCCGACAAAACCCGCATCTCCTGAAAGTTTGCAAAGAAACGGTAAATTTCCAAACTGCCGAATATCTGCTGTTGTAGCTTTTTAACGTAGAAAATGCCCAGATTATGCACCTCCGAAATATCTTAATTTTTCTGCCACCTGTGCAAATTTCCTGCTTCCCCAAAAATGGCGTTCACAGAATCAAGGGTGTGGTCTATGAAATCTATGAATCGCCCTTTTTTAAAAAATTGGATTGGATTTTGAACTGCCTGGTGTGTGTGTTTCTTTTCTTTCGGCGTGCTTAGATAAAAATGCTGTGTGACGGAAAAGGCCCCGGTGAAGTCGAGGAGTGTTTGAAGGCGGCATTGTTGGCTGGAGACGACGGAAGGAACGGAATTCAGGACAGAAAGTGTAAAGAAGAGGTTGTGAAAATCGTCGCTGCCGAGGAGACGGACGTTCACTTGGATCCCGTTTTATTCGGTTCTTGTGTCGGCGACTTGAAGCGATCCTGTTCTGATGTTCCACGAGGAGAAGGACGACGTGAGTTGTGGTGCTCATATAGATGAGATGCGCACGTGAAACGCCATGAGTTGAACTTTTCATCCTTTTATCGCAACACGTTGTCATTCGATAACAGGCTTTTTTATTATTAGAGTATACAGTCAAATTTCGATAAGCCGCCACCATTTTTTTTTTGGCAGGTTGACGTGGGTTCTTGGTTCATCCCAAAAAGCTGAAGTATTATTAAAATTATGTGCAATATGAAATAAGATACTTTAAAATAGAATAATCAAAATAACCCTGGGATGATTAGAATATTTCTAGCTAATGTTCCCAAGAGGTAAATTATGTCATTTTTGTGTTCTTGTGTTTTTAATTGGAGACCTCTCGCAGAAACTTAAATTTTTTTGGTGGGCTATGAAATGCAAATTTAATTGGCAGGAGCGTATTCAAATTCTCAATGTTGGCGGATGGCGTTCAAATGGATTTTCCTTTATTTTCTTGGCATCGTTTTATTTTCTTGGCGCCCAAAAAAGTGTACCAAACATTTCTGGGTTTAAAATTTTCGAAAATCTTGATAGAAAAGCTTAGTTTTACTTTTTGTTTTTTTTTTTTTTTTTTAAAAATTTACACAATTATTAGCAACATTACTTCAGTTTCATGCGCAAAATTTTCTAATGAAAAATGCACAAATTTTATGGTCTTTGGTGAGCAGCTGGAACTAATGAAATAAATTATGATGTAATCATAAGAAAAATCGCGTTTCACGAAACGTGAATTGTGCTTTTGAAAACTCATTTAGGAACTGGTGAGTTTCTTTATGCGGGGAACTCAATATCTTAATTCAGACGTGATCTCTTCATTTCCCCTTTTATTCATCCCTTGTTGTCCTGTCTAGTGCCTGATGAATTATTTTTTCCTTTAATTTTTTTTTTTTGCAGAGTTGAAGTGTTTGCTGGGACTACTCAAAAGCAACGCGGACGTGCTGCATGAGGACTGTCGTTTAAAATTGCAATCCCGCCAAAAACTCTTTTCGTACGCCGAACGCGAAATTGCCAAGTCCCCCGAAACCCTGGTAGAGCTGAAGAACGTAGTGATGCACTCACCTGCCAGCAACTTCTTCTTCCTTTTCATCCTCGGCGTCGCATTTTCTGTGTTTTTCGGCGGGATCGTGTGTGGAAGAGCGACGAAACGATTGAGACAGGAATTGAAGAACAAATGATTGAATAAATATGACGACGAGGAATCCTCCCTATCATAATTTTCGTTAGTGTTACCATGTGGTAAATTTTTGCCTTTTTTCTTTTGTGAGCTTGTGTAACAAAAATGAAAAAGACGCGTGTGAGGATCGCGAAGTTGTTAGCTGCTTTTCCAGAGCTTATCTCTCGTGCGAAGAAAAGCCGTTTGTTTTTTTTTTTTCGACAGAAAGAATCTTCATTCCTTTGGTGATTATTGTCTGAAGATGAAACCGTTGAACAATTGCGCAAAATTTTTTGAATCAACGCCCTACAAAACAAACATTACTGACGCAACAAAATCCCGTACTGTTGGAGACTTCGTTGACGGTATATTTTTGTTACTTCTTCCTGGAAAAAAATAAGGTTTTCAGTTTGCAAAGATTAATTCCATGTTTTAATTTTTGTTTTGGCATGTGTTGGCAAGGGTTCGCGTTGTGGAGATTTAAAAAAACAATCGCAGTGGGCTTTCATACGAGAGGAAAAACTTCCCTGAAGTTTCTTTTCTTGGCCATTGCGCAAAAAAAAAGAAAAAAAGAAGGAATAGTTGATTGACTCCGGAATATTTATTTTAAAGGTTGGGGGAGAATGGAGATGAGGAAAATGAGTGTATTTGTGATCAGGAACATGTGATTCCGCGGTTTGACAAAAGAAAAAATGATTGCTGAGTTGTTGATTCTTTTTTTTTCTGTTGGATGAAGTGTTTTTTTGTTTAGTTGTCTTTATGTGCCGTTGGTGCCTTGAGGTTCTGTTCTGGAAGAGGTTCGTTTTTTTGTTTTGTTTTCCCCCAAATGTGTGTGTGTGAGTTGAGGATATTTTTTCGTGGAATGCTGGGGTTGAGTTGGCGATTTTCTTTCTCTGTTGAACAAGGATATCAGTGTCGCTTATTGGTCACACTTCAGAGCGTGTTTTGTTCATTTGTTTCTGATCGTTGCATTTGAAGAGCATTACTTGTCCGTGATGATGTCGAGTCTTTTTTTTTTGTCTTTTGATGATTGTAGAGAAGGGTAATTTTGAAGATGAGAAGGTTGCTGTGTGTGCCTGGACTGGTTGCCAGGAAGGAGTTCCGATGGAAGTCGACTTCTTCTTGGGAATATTGTGTGGATCTTGTCAAGTGAGTGGTCTTCTTTGGCGGAAAAAGTTGTGTGAAATGGTTTGTAGTCATCCTCTGATATTTGCAACACTGATCATTCATGCAAAAAACTCTTGAATTATTTGTTGCAGCGCTTGAATCTAAATTTTCTCTAGTCTGTGGGAACGTGTCCTGCGTTGCACCTTTTTCCTCTCTTGTCCTGCAAAGAACTGCTGGTTGAAAAAATGCTATCAATTTTTTTCTTCCCTGGATTCTTTGAAGTTTTTGAATCATATAAAATTTTTGAATATGTTTATGCTAAAGTATTTTTTGTCCGGAGATGTTTCAAGTTTTTATTTTTAAATGGAGTACTGCTTTTTTCAGCTGAAATCCATAATTCTGATGATCGAGGATTGATATGCCATAAATCTTATGTACCCTAATGTTCATACCTTGAAAATTTAAAGGAAACAAAGTGGCTCACATTCATGGTAATTTAGATTCAAGCTACTGTGTTCTCTGATTGACTCATTTTCCAGACTGATCAGTTTTTGAAATCTGCAGAGTTCATTGATTCAATACTTACTCAATTACAGACTGAAATTTTTGCAAAATTGTATCCTCAAGTAAGGTATTCACCCCATTTTTGGAGACTGAAAATTGCAATACAGTATTTTAAAAATGAAATACATCAGAATTTAAAATTTGAATTGAACGTTCATTTCCAATGTTACCATTTTTTAATTCTCTGTAGAAAATTTTTAAAAATTCCCTATTGGAATCAATCATGACCTTCACCAAATCTTTAAATATTTTTAAAAGTTGCCACTGTGATGTGCTCCATCCTTTTTCCCTTCTCAATTGAAAAAAGGTGTAAGGGGTTCTTGAGTAAATATAGTACAGTATTTCATTTTTACATCCTTATTATTTACTTGAGCACCATGCCCTTTTTTATTACAATAAATGAGTTGTGCATCATACATACTTGAATACAAACTTTGAAGTGAAATCTTTTTGAAAATGTTGGACACTTTTCCCCGCTCACTTTTAAATGTTTTTTTTTGTGTTCTCTACTTATAATTTTAAATGCTTTTACTGTATTTGCATGTAACAGAAAAATCCTCAGTAAATTTGGTAGAAGTGGGCTTGCATTTATGTTTTTATATGTAGGAGTTGTACATCATACATACTGTACTAGTGTACTTGAATACAAACTTTGAAGTGATATTTTTAAAAAGTCAGAAACTTTTCCCTACTCCCTTTAAAATTTTATTTCGGTTCTCTAATATTATTTTAATGATGCTATTATTTCTATGAAACAGACATATCCTCAGTAAATTTCGTTTTAAAATGGGCTCGCATTTATATTTTTACCCAAAACAGGTTTTAAATATTTATTTTGGTTCGTGAAAACGAAGGTGCGCATCTTTTTTGGGGAAGGGGAGTTTTTCTTCCAAAACTTTTCTCATCATCTTGGGCATGTCTCGTACCGTACTTAGGTAATATGGTAAGTTCAGTTCTTTCCGAAAAAAATGTATATTTATCATGATGCGCGTGACATCAAATTGAAATCATCATTTTTTAAAGCCATCGTTGGTGTTTGGTGCAATGTACCAAAGTTTTTTTTTGCCTTCAGGAAAGGCGATTACGAGAATTACCTCTGCACCTTGCTGCTGCCGGAAACCAGCCGAGCAGCGTCATTCGCAGTCAGGGCCTTCAACATAGAGGTCGCTCGTGTCGCAGCGCAAACGAAGGATCAACAAAGAGCGTCAATGAGATTGCAATTTTGGAAAGACACTCTGGAAAAGGTTTATTCCGATGGGCCTGTACCTGCTACCCCTGTTGCAGTGGAGCTGAAAAAGGCCTTGACTAAGCAAAAGCTTTCTAAGCAATGGCTGACCAGACTCATCAAAGCCAGAAACACTAGGGCTGGGGATCAGCCCTTCCGCAGTGTGGCCGAAGTTGAGGAATACGGTGAACACGTGGCGTCATCTGTGAACTATTTGGTGCTAGAGTCACTTGGTGAGGCCTGGATTTTTGTGGAATACAGTATTATGTTCAAGTGGAATCTTCATTCTAATTACTGCCAGATTTCATGGCTCTAGAAACAGTCAAACCATTGATTTAGTGCCATAATTTGTACTGGAACATTTTTTGGCACTACAGTAAGAGGAATGTTGACTGAAGGGTTTTCATACTGTTGAAAAAAATGAGACTGTTTGCAGAATCATTGGGTCTGTTTTAAAAGACAAGAGATAATTTGAAGCCCAAATGTAATCTTTTTGATAATGTGTCGCAGTATCATTAAAAATTTTAATGAATTATCAAGTATATATATAGAAATTATTCCAAAATGTTTTATTTGAATCGAGTGTCATGTACACCTAAACTTCTACAGCTTTTTGAAAAATGTATAACCACCTCTGACAAGCACCCTCCTTGTTTCCTCTCAATTTTTAGAAAAAGGTGTTCTTGGTACTTGAGTAAATGCAGTACAGTACATTGAAATGATGATCAGAGGAAATATCAATTTTGTTGCAGCAGAATCTTGCTAATATGAATCTTGTTATAAAGAATAATGACCTACAATGTAGTTACTTTCCAATTCCTTTCCAATAGCCTCAATTTTGAATGAGTAACTTTTTAAGAAATTTTTTCATACAACAAAGCTACTTCATTATTGGTCCCAATACCCAGCAAATCATTTTGGTTCTGAGGAGTTGTCAAAGCTAGTTGATCATCTAGCCAATATTCAGGTGGACTCTCTCTGCAAGGATCTTGTCTACAAAGATTTTCTCTGTACAAAAAATTAATTTTTGTCCCATATGGGTCTCTTGGATCTCTACCCATGTTTTAGGGGTTCCCCACAAAAAATCTGGGCACAATTAATTTTTTATGGCCCCATGAATTCTGTTGTAAAGAGATTCTGCCTATATCAAGTTGAAGACCACTCCCTGAAGAAAAAACCGATTCCCAGATACAAAGGAGTTACCACCAATTACTGTAGTTGACATTGAGTTCAGAAGCCCGGGAGTTGCCATCAGCTATGTACCAACTAGTCTTTCAACTAGCTGATCTCAGCTGGGGGAAATGCGCAGCTATTTTGGTTAACCAAAGAGTTGCGACCAAGTCAATGATAGCTAGCTTCTTAATTGATGGCTTCATTGTAACAAGATTTCACTGTATCTATGTTCCAGAGCAGCAGCCAAGTGTCAAGGTTGACCACGCCGCAAGTCACCTTGGAAAGTCTCAGTATTTCGCGTCTCTAGTGAGAGGAATCGAACCTTTGGCAAAGTCTGGTCTGGTACTATTACCCATGGATCTCATGGCCAAACACGGAGTTTCTCAAGAAGCAGTAGCTCGACTCGTAAAAGGTAAACCTGACGAAAAGGCTGCCAAGGGACTCACGGAAATTGCCTTCGAACTCGGGTCTTTATCGCATCAACATCTCCAAAAGGTTGGAAGATAATCTATAAATCACATCGTTGACCAAATTTTGCATAAATTTCAACTTTCTTTTCTTTTCATGAAATTATATAGTGCAGGGAATTGTGCTGTGAAACGAAGCTGGAGAAGAAAGCGATGCTGGGATTTTTGCCTGGCGTTTGTGTGGCGCAGTATCTGATAAGGTTAAAGAAAAGTTCTTTCAATCCATTGGATCCTAGTCTGAAACTGAAACCAGTTTTTCAACCCGTGCAATTGTGGTGGGCGAAATTTTCAGGAAGTGTTCCGATACCCAAATTTGATTGAATGTTTTCTTTTTGTTGTTGTTGCTGATGTCCCGTTGTTTGACTTTAATTCGAGTGCATTTCGAAAATTTCGTCGAGTGATTTACGTGGCACATTTTCGTGTAACACACAGAGTTTATTTTTGTGCTGGTGCCTTCGTGATCGGCTTGATTATGTGCGGAAGATCTGCTTGGTGAGTTTTTCATGCAGTATTAGAAAATAATTTATGTCATAGAAGTGATGCATTTTCAACATATTTACTCTCAGGAATATAAATGGGAAACTTTTCAAAATCGAACGTCAAAGGACCAGCAAAAAAAATTTGAGTTAGAGAGGTTTTAAATGACAGAAGCAAGTATTTTTTTTTTGGGGAAAAGAAAGAATTGCAGGAAATAGTAAGTAGTGATATTCTAGGCCTTAAATTGCTGCTGCTGAATTTGGATGCAAGGGTTACTTTTCCAATTATTCTCTCGCTTCTTTTCAAAATGCATCAAGTTAAATGTTCATGGATTTTTCCGTGTCCTGTGTCAATAAATTAATAGCCAAGAGGCATCCAGAAATTTGAGTTTTGGAGGTTTGAAGGAGGAAAGCCCTTGAGTTCGGGAGTTTTTTAATGGATTGTTTCAAACGGAATTCAGGCAGGGACTTGAAATAAAATTCTATATTTTGAGTTTTTTGACTTCGAAAAGTTTGCATTGAAAATTTTCATCATTGACTAAATTCATCCATTGAAGCATTTCATGTGTTCTGATGAATTTTTCTCAAGTACCGGACACTTAAACAGTACAATAAAATCTCGTTACAACGAAGCCGTTGGATCAGTAAAATAGCTTTGATGTGGAAAAAGACGAGTTATAAAGTACTGTAACTCATTTTAAATTTTGACCATTGGACGGGGACCTAAAAAACGGCTTCGTGTTACTGTAGTAAGCAATTATTCTTGATAACGATGTTCGTTGTAACGAGATCTTTACCTGACAATCGTGTGAGTGAGTTATTGAGGTTTAAATATTTTTGGCCCCATTATATTATGAACTGAAATACTGTTATGTACGAATTCGGAACTCCATTTTAATGGTGTTTTTCTGGGAAAAAAATGTCTAAATGAGGCAATAATGTCATTTTTTCTCAGTACGTTGGAATCCGGAGAAATTCGGAAAGTGTGCTCCAGAAAATTGCCAGATGGCAAGAAGGAGTTGCCAGAGTGGAAAGAACATCCTGGGAACGGACTCTTCACTTACACACCCAAGTTCAACACGGGTCCGACGAGTTTCGTCCCGATCCTCGCCTCAGGGATTCATTTCGGTCTAGACGCCGGGGATCGTGTGTTGATGCCGATGCACTGGGGCTTGGTTCCCAGGTGGCATAAGGTTTGTTTAATTTTTTTTTCCATCTGGATGAGACTATAATATTGGTTTGTCTGATTTATTATTGTTAGGCGGAGAATTTCCGCGCTCATGGACTAACCACCATCAATTGCCGCCATGAGACGTTGTTGGACAAGCCGCTTTTTGCGAAGCCGTTGAAGGAGAAGAAGCGAGGGGTTTTCATCTGCGATGGTTTGTCATTTAAAAAAAATCGTGTTATTCAAGAGGAAGAAACAGGAATCGTGTTTTTCCAGACGGAAAAAGTCATGTAGGGATTATTTGATAGTTGGCAGAAAAATTGACGAAAAATCTTGACTGGTGCAGTGAGATGAAAATCGTCTCAGTACATTTTTATTTTCTCCTGACATGCATCCTCATGTAATTTTTCCAGCACTTCGCATGTAATTTGGGTTATTCAGGTAACATTCAAAATCTATGTAGTATTGAAAAATAAATCTTGTGAGACGTTCATAGAAAAAGTTTGGATAGATCAGAATATCGTTAAAACGAATCTCGCTGTAAAATATTAATGTTATCTGTCCCTGTCCAATAACCGCAGCAGTGTTATTTTAATTTTGTTTTAAGGCATTTCTGTTCATAACGAAGCCTTTTTTAAGGTCCCAGGCGCTTCATTGTGACGAAATTCTGTTGTACGTGATTGTTACGCTGAGGTTTTTATATTTCTGTAGTGTATTTCCGTTCGATTTCCGGTAGGTTACTACGAATGGAAACGAAAAGACGGAAGTAAGCAGCCTTATTTTCTTTACTTCAAGCAAGAAAACAAGGATGTGATCCCCGGAGACCCCGTGTGGAAGAAGAAGGTTGAGTCGGCTGGAAATAATACTGATTTCGATTGGCACGGCCCGAAGGAACTCACTGTCGCCGTGGTATTTGACAAATGGATCCCGCCAAAGGTGACTTCCGGGAAAAAGAAAAACCTTTGTTTGGGTTCGCTTCCGGTTTAATTCGCCGTAGCTAACTTCAAGTGATCCAAGTGTAGGGCGATATTGATTTTTATTCATTTTGGGTAAATAAGTGGATGCATTAATGTAAAACACGCTTGCAGTTGAAAATAAATTTCATTCTCTTGAAGATTTCCAATGGAAAAATGAATATTATATGGTAAAATGTCGTTACAACGAATTTTTCGCTTCTTAATGGTCTCAACAGCAGTTTTTCCTTACGCGCCGTGTTATAAAAGCTTGTTTTAACAAATTCATTTTTGGCAGAAATCTCGAAGTGCAGTAAAACAAAATTTTGGCCCCGTTTTCGTATGTAAAGGCCATTTCGATTATTTGGTAATCGACAGAATTATCAAGGGTTTTTACAACGAAATTCTCTTCACAAAGATTTTTTTTCTCATTTCTTGAATTTTGATGTAGAGAGCGTCCATCTGTATAGCGAATTTTTCTTTGTAACGAACTTTTTATGTTCCTTGCAACGATGTTTTCCCGTATCTGTAGAATCCCGTCGCTATAATTCGCTCCTGTTCGTTTACATCCACCTTTATTGATAATAATTGTTTCGCATTTTATTCCCCCAAGGCAAATGAGGATCATCCGGAAATCTACAGCTTTTCTGCCATCACAGTGCCGTGTCACGAGTCCGTGGAATTTGTGCATGATCGAATGCCAGCCATTCTAGAAGGGCAAGACGCCATTGATGTACGAGTACCACACATATTTTTCAAATAAAAAAAAAAGCCTAATTTAGTTCGTTTTTGTACTTCTCAGTTGTGGCTTGACCCGAACGTGCCTGCAGAAAAGGCGGTGAAAAGTCTGAAGGCTTGTGGAAATTTGGCGTATCACAAAGTTTCTCAGTTCTGCAATAATATTCACAACGACTCTGTCGTCTGCGTCCGACCTTTGACGGAATCCACGTGAGTATTCGGATTTTGGATTTTTTTGTTTTTCTTGAGTTTTTAAAATGAAAGATTATGGTGCCTTCCAAAAGCACGAGGATCGGAAACCAGGCGACGATAACGAACTTCTTCAAGCGGAAGGAGAAGAAGGATGAGGAGAGTGAGAGCCCGAAGAAACCCAAGCTGGAGATTTGAATAATCTTTCGATGGTGCCCCCGGGTTTGTTTGTACCTCGTCATGTCTCTCGATACCATATCCGTCATGATTATATACTTTAATATATCAATAAATGTTATACACTCACGTTGTTTCAAAGCGTTGAAAAGTGTTTAAAAATGAAGTCCCCGCAGTGCTTAATTCTGTGCGTCGCAAACTTGGGATTTCGGATAGATGTCACTCGCAATTACAACATGATTTATGATTTCATTCAAAGACTGAATCTTCCCTATATAGCGTTTAAAGCTTTCCTCATATCAACGTGCCGTTTGGTATGTTCATTTTTAATTGGGAATCTGGCTTAACAGAGTTCGGATGTTTTTGCAATTTGAATATTTTTCCGTAAAATGTCTAGATCAGTGTTGCCCAACTCAGATGTGGTGAATGGCCAGATTAATAATTTTTCTTGTGGCTATAAGGGCCAGAGTGCAGAGGTGAAGATTCCTTGAGAGCCACAATAATAGACCATTTTTGAGATGTACAATTTTCCCCTTTTGAAGGAAAAATTTCAAATTTAATACAGTGTTTTGCATTTAATCAATTCAAAATCATAGTCCTATAGCATTTTTGAAGGATGGAGCAACATTTTAAATACAAATTTAAATTCATCTCTCCCAGTTTAAATTTTAAAGACTGTAGTTTGTGGCTGTCCGCTTTGAAAATTATGGGGAAGGAGCCCTTGGGATCGATGGAGTCTCTGGTGGTGGCCCTGATCTGGCCCATGGGCCTATGTTATGTTGGGCAGCCACTGCAGCACTGGTCTAGGCAGAATCAATTCTCGTAACATTTGCTTGTGCCTTTTTGAATTGGAGCATCTTGAAAAAAAAAACAAGCGTAAGTTTTCAGCCATATAAGATGGGTGTGTTACAGTTCAAGCTAATTTTGAAAGAGTTTCAACTCATGGGCAGTAATGGAAAATTATGAAATTAAATTGAACCTGTTCAAGTGCAGTACGTAACAGTGCAGAGGAATCTTGTCAGAAAAGCAAATCTCGGTAAAAACGAATTAATGGAGGCAACGTATTCGTTTTTTAGATTTCAGCTTAGAATAGCAGCAGTAATATATGTTATTTAAATCGCTTCATTACGAATTTTTCTTCATAATGAAGCGCTTTTACTGGCCCAATCAGCTTTGTTGTGATGAGATTTTACTCTAAATTGAAATAAAACCCTTTTTATTGGGCGTTAGAATCTACCTGAGTGATGAAATAGTCTTTTACCCCAAAATGTTTTGTTAACCTAAAGGTACTATTTTCTTTTTATTCAAAAAGACTGTTGGTGCATGGCATCGGATAACGGATAGATTTGACGGATGTGCTCTATCAAGAACTATGACGACGAAGACGTTCGTTCCAAAGTTGTGATTAAAAAAAAAGCATTTACACTTATTTCTTACGGGTTTGTGTCATGGTTGAATATGGCAAAACGTGGGTGGATGAGGTTCATCCGGGCTTTTTATATTTTAAAACTGAAGTTGCCTTGTTTCCTGTGGGCTGGAAATGAAAATTCGTTGCTGGACTGAGTTCTTCTTCTGTTTACTGTGCTGTGAGGTTGCGAATAATGATGGGAATGTTCGGATTTTCGGAGATATTAAGGAAGTATGGAACATTATTTGGCCTCATGTCGAACATTTTTCTCCCGCGAAATTTGAAAATAACTCACGCGATTGTGGGTGACAGATGTAAGTTCACTAGCTGCATAAGTTCAATGCCGTACAATCCTTATTTTAATTCAATTAAAATTTTTTCTCATTTCTTGTGATTCATCTTGTAACTGATACACGCATGTAATGTATAGTGAAACATGTATTTTATTTGATTAATGATCCATCTATTCAGTCATGTAACTTAATTTTCTTTTTAGCACACCCAGTTTCCCCTTGAAATTACTGACCGTACATTAAATGCGGATATCTGGAATGAAGAGATACTGTACCTTGCCTAATCAACAGTATGTTAGCTGTGTATTATGCCAGTCCAAAATTTAGTGGATAGCAGAGAACAAGAAAAAAAACTGAATAGGTAGCATTATTTTCCCACTTCTGATTCTGAACAAAAAAGGCTACGCATTCGCAACTTAGTACTGTATATGCTGCAGATTCAAATTCTTCTGTCACAGAGGGTATACATTCATGAGTCAAGGGAAAAAGCTGTCATAACAAAGATAATTGGTGTAAAAAATTTTGACAAAATTTTCGCAATCAGGTATATAATTGTATCAAGTCGATTTTTGTAAGCTCTAATTTTTAGGATGGATTTTTAAAATACTTATGAAAAGATATTTGGTTGCATGTCATTTTCTGGGGAAATGGGTTGGTTACACATAAACTGATTTTTGTTTGAGGTACAGTACAGTATATTCCAAACATAAGGCATGCACAGCAGAGAGAACATATTCCCTTTGATGAATTTGACTGTGCGTTAAATTTCAGTATGGCTGCGGCCTTGAATGCATTTACTTGCACGCTGGTGAACTCGTGGAAGGACGCGGCTAAATTTTTTGAAGTCTGGATCGATCTTGATGAAACTTCTTGTCATGTTCGATTTCCGCCGTGATATTTTCAGAAAGAATCCATAATTTGTTGGAAGGCATGGATTTAATTTATTTTGTGCATCCAGGTTCTTTGATTTTGCTTTCATCACAAGAATAGCAGTTGATGGCAGTTCATTGATCGATGTGAAGTCGGTTCTTTCTGTATTTTTTTGCGAGCAGTGACTGTGCTGGCAAGTAAGACCTTGTGAATAGAATCATATATTTTTGTGGAGTCCATCCATTCCGTCGGCCGCGTTTTGTACATATTTGCCTAAATATTCTGCCATGGATGAAGAAAGCAGCCTGTCGTATGAAAGCTTTGCGGATGACGGAGAAGAAGTTATCATTCAGGAAGAAATCGTTGGAGATGACGAAGCTGGCGATGCGATGGGTTACGATGATATCCCATTACCCGATCCCTTGGACATGAAATCTGCGATAGCTGATAATATCGTTCCTCTTTTAAACGATCACACGATGAAAAAAGCGTCTCGAAGAAATCCGCGAAAAGCGAAGCAGAAACCCCACGAAGACTCTAGTGGTAGGAAATGGGCTCAGAAGCAAGTGCAAATCAAGACATTGGAGGGTGAATTCTCTGTAACAATGTGGTCTTCAGGGCCGGACGGTGATGCTGATTTTGATGACGGTAATTCTTTTAAATCTTATGGATATGCGCGTATTTTCGGCTGACATATGACGTCTTATCGTAGAAGTTCACACAAAGGAGGAAATCCAAGTAGATGATTTGGATGTGGATCCTCACGGCATTGAACAACTGAAAGAATCAGAGTACTTCAACGACTACATTGTTGAGCACAAGATTCCCATTGATGGCATCCCAGGTGTTGATCTCACGGATCCTAAACAAGTTGCCGAAATCGCGAAACATGCGTGAGTATATGCTATGTAAAAATCTAATCATGTCGTATGTGCTTGTCGATATTCGAATGCTTTTTGCGTTCTTGTTTTGGACAACAGTTTCAGTGACTTCATTAATTCTGGTCAAATGAGTGCAATACAGTATCACGTTCCGTAATTTTTCAAGTATTCCTTTTCAGTTTGCATTTGATCCCTCGTTAACAATGTTCGTCTGTGTATTTTCGCTTCTGAAATTTTTGGGAGCAAAGCACGCAGTTCTGAGTTTTTTGATGTTTTAAATTACTGCTGAATCAAGTTTTTCCGAGAAAGATCTCCAAATCAGCTGGGTCTCGCAAAGTTTGTTTTCACGTCTTCTGAACGTGTAGAAAATTCATAAGCTACATCTTTTTCATCACTCATTGGAATAGGATACGGCCCACAAAGACGTTGCAGGAGGATATGACGAGAACGATTGCTTGTCCTCACAAGGTGAAAACATCTTTTTCTTCTACTGTGGATTCCCTGAAGTACTGAAAATATATTTTGTTCATTCGAAGGGGTGTTCGAAAATGTTCCGAGATAGTTCGGCGATGAGGAAGCATCTGCACACACATGGTCCACGTGTGCACGTATGCGCGGAATGTGGAAAAGCGTTTGTGGAAAGTTCAAAATTGAAGAGGCATCAGTTAGTTCACACCGGAGAAAAGCCTTTCATGGTGAGTGACTACGCTGATATTGTACCTGAGTGAAACATGTGTCAGGTTTTTTCAGTTCTGAAGTGTTGAAATTTTGCGTGGGTAAAGAGTTGATCGGGTGGAGATCGTTATAGAATTTTCTTGTGAACCCTGAAGAATATCAGCGTGAATTGAAATAGTGTCTTTTTTGGAAATTCGAGTGTCAACGACTGACGGAATAATTCTTTCATTAACTTCATGTCATAAATGTGTTGTGTATATTTCTGTACGCTTGTTTCGTTTTTATGACCCGAATTCGTAGACGATTCTTTTGTTTGTTTTTGCATTCTTTCGTCGTGGAATGTCGTGATGACATTGCAGTGGGGCCTCGAGATGCGGACGTGATTTGCTTTTGATCTGGTCCGTATGTCGGAATGTCCGCATGTCGGATCACGTTTTCCCATAAACTTCAAAGGAAACATATTTTATTGGTTCTCTTGACATCGAAAATTGGGTAAAAGTCCCCAAGAAATAGAATAAAAATATTTTTTTCCACAACCATGCAGGATCTGATCTTTTCGCGTGAAAGTGTGCCAAAAGCGCAAATAAACTAAAACTATTTTACAAATCAATTTTCAATCCTTGTGAATTCAAAAATAGCCCAATGTCTTCAAGAGGTATCAAAATGATATTCCGGGAATTTCGGCGAAGTGATTTGTATATCGAGACATTTTCAGTATGTCGGGGTCGGCAGCCTTTTTTCAAGGTTCCCACTGTCTCTAAGTCGAATTGTCCATAAATCGAGGGCTCCACTTTACCTCAAAGATATTAGCCTGTTGTGTTATGGTTTTAATTTTCCTTCTTTTTTTTTTCCAGTGTACCTTTGAAGGTTGCGGGAAACGATTTTCGCTGGACTTCAACTTGAGAACCCATGTGCGGATCCACACTGGGGATCGGCCCTATGTTTGTCCATTTGAGGGCTGTTCGAAAAAGTTTGCTCAGTCCACCAACCTCAAGTCCCACATCCTGACGCACGCTAAACAGAGGTATTTTCTCTTCAAATTTGTCAATACTCTAATCATTTTTAATATTTCTGAAGTACAAAGGTTGGCATTCGTGTTCCGGAAAGTGAAATTGTGTGAATTTAATCTGCGAGCCAAGTTTTTCTTCGGATGTTGGGAACGGTGCCGAACTTTTTCGTGGTTGTTTCCACACGTTCTTAAAGTGTTTAGGATTCAAAAGAAAGTGTGCGGTGTTGCTCACGCAGTCAAATTTTCAAAAGTTTAAATCCATTTTTAAAGCAAAATCGATGCAGTTTGGATTTTCATCAAATGTTGACAGATTTCCTGAACTCTGCGTCGCATCGTTTCTTCCGCGAGATTTTATTTTCGTGTTTTCTCACGCTCAATTTTTCTGTGCCGAAATTGGCATTTTTAGGGAGTTAGGTCTTGGGTTAAGAAAATTGAGCAATCATGTTCTCAAAGCTGTCGGGAATGATTCAAAAGAGTGTCGAAAAATAATGAAACTGATGCAAAAATGTTCGAAGGGCTTGAAACTTTTCCTGAAATATCGTTTTTGGTCCCTTGAATCTTTTCGAGTTCAGGAAGAACAATCTGAGTTTGTAAAATAAAACAAATCAATCGAAACTTGCTAGAACCTGGAACGAAATTCATGGGACCCAAAAAAAAAAATTTATCAAGGAGAATTTCGTTGTACAGTACTGTATATGATTCTTGTAAAAAAAATTACATGATGGAGAAATTCTGTGATATTCTGGGCCTGAAGCTGAAAAAAAACTCGTTATTGAGAGAATTGCTTTGCGAATTCTATCAAGTTTTTGTTGACTCGGTTTTTCTTTTATATATATAAAAAAGATAGATTTTTCGAATAAATAGCCGGACTACTGGAATTTGAAACAAGTGCTTTTTTCCCCGGATATTGTCCAATATCAGGAGCAGGCAGCAGATGCAGATCCAGCAGCACCAGCAACAGCTGGCCATCCAGCAGTTGGAGGAGCTGCAAAAGCAGGAATTTGGCGAGGACAGTGGAAGTCCGTTTTCCAGCCCGCAATTGGTCCATGTTGGCATGGCGTCCGACCAGCCGTTTCTTTTGTATGCGGATTGAAAGTGTATCATTTCCCACGATTCTGTTGTACATGAGCAGTAGAGTAAAAACTTGTATTGTCTCTGCTTTCTCTCTTTTTCCTTGTGTGTGGTGTCTCTTAGAAAGAAGAGAAAAAAAACCAAGGCCTCCACCAGCACATACAGTAGTCCTCGTCGTCTGCTGTCATTTTTTGGCAAAGTCTTTCGGGATTTCTATTTAATTTTTTGGCGAGGAAATAAATTATTCCATGTAGTAAATCAATGAAATGCTTAGAGTAATTTTCACGAGGAATCCGTACAGGTTTTTTTTTGTTGCGAACTATGAAAATTTGTTGTCATCATTTTGCGAAAAAATAAATTATTTAACGTGGGGAAATTTCATGAGTAACCCGAGAGTTTTCTGCAAACTCTGTGGATTATTCATTTCATTTTTTTGTGCCAGAAAATTAACTATTCCATGCAGTTAAATTATTGAGTGTTCCATGTAATTTTCGGGAGTAATCCGATACTGTAATTTTATCTATTGAAATTTCCCTTGGAGACGATCAGAATTAGGTCTGAATGTTTTGTGCGTGGTGGAGGAGGTGGTTTGAAAAATTTGCGGTAGTATTTACAGAACAACTCCGAATAACGAAATATGTGGTGAATTTTTGTTCGGCAGATGATTGATCAGGGAATTGTAATTTTTTCAGTGACTATCCTTTTTTATCCTTTTTTTAATCTAAGTGTGTGATGCGTGTTTGAATTTATGAGGGAATAATGGATTCTGGTATTGGTTTGGGTAACGAGAAGAAAGTGCGGAAGATGAAAGTCAAGCTTAGGTTCAGTGATGAAGTGACTTCCACGGATCCCGTGAAGAGAAATGTGATGATCATTGGCCAACTGCCGCATTTGAACGCGGTTCCTTGGGACAGTGTCAGCAACAAGCTCAAGCCTCGTGTGGAGGAACAGGTTCGTTTTATTACGAAAAAAAAAATTAGATGGATTTTCAAGTACTAAGCTAGAACCTTCTGAAAAGTTGAAGCTATCCATTTCCGGAAACACTTGAGGTTCTTCGGATTTTCTTGTTTATTTTTATGGAAGGAAACATTTTGGAATGCGTCGTTGATCCTTTGGAAGAACAGCTTGCAGTTCTATTTTCTGATCATGGATTATGAATGCTGTACTTAATTTTGAATACAACACGGTTTTTTTTTCCAAAGAGAATGTGATGTACAGTGGGGCCCTGAGATGCAGACGTGGACCTTGTATTTATCTATTTTGGGATTTCTGCAGTTTGGATCAAATTTTCCCTATATACTGTGAGACCCCAATATATGAATGATTCAACTTAGGGACACTTGAAACTGAAAAAATCTACCCCAAATATTCAAACAGTGACTTGAGATATGGACACTTGGATTTCTGAAATAATTAAAAACAATTTTTCCGTATATTTTCATATTTCTTGAAGAAATGGAGTTATTTATATACACAAATGCTAAAAATAAAGTTCATTGTGAAGTTACCCTAATTTATGATCAAAAATAGACTAATCATGTGCTTCTTCATCAGTTTTTTCTATAATGTGTGCCCAGTACAATATAGCAAAACTAATTGTTGTTTGTTATTTTTTTGAGCTCCTCATGCCAAAAAATCAGATTTTGTGGGGGTTCTGTCTGTACATTTATTTTCTGTATCTTGAAGTTGATAAAAAATATTTTATTCACTTTTTCTCAACTATTGACTATTCATCTACAAGAGAAACAATTGAAAACATTCCCATTGGAATCTATGCGAAAACAAGGTCCAGCATGCAGATGTTCCAACTTATAGGCAAGGTCTATGCACCAATTACATTTGCATCTCAATGCCCCACTGTACTTCAATGGGAACATATTGATTATTCTCCTGATAAAACTTTTGAAAAAGTCCCCTAGAAATTGAATAAATTTGTTCCTCAGCTGCAGGTTACAGAAAATAGCTGTGCAGACGAAAACCACACAGAATCTGTCTCTTTGACTTGAAGATGAGGTCAAAAAGCAAAGAACAAGCACAAGTCTTGCTATACTGTGCACAGATGATGGCGAGTACAAAAAAAAACCTGGAAAAGAAAACTAAAAAGTACTAAAAAAGTAGCCTTTTTTGAATTATGAATTACAGTTAATTTGAGATATGTTTTGCTTTTTTGTTCATAAAAATAGATTAATTTTTTCGAAAGATATCAATGTTTAAAAAAATTAATTTTGTTCTCATTTCTAGAAATTTTGGAATTGTCTGCATCTGGAACAATTTTCAGATTTTTCACGGGGTAGAAGTTTGATCAAGTTGAATTGTCTGCCTGCTGGTGGGGTTCCAATGGAATTATTTTTTCTATTCACAGCAAAACCCTGTGACAACACATTTTCATTCAATAAACATTGACAAGCCAATTGTGTAGCTTCAATTTGAGACAAGCTTGAATATTTCATGTGAAATTACTTGGAAAATATTCCTTTTTTGGGCCCATTCCTGCAAGCTGTAATAGGGTTTTTGGAATTGCCATTATGCAATAAATTCTTCATATTTATGATGAATATTATTACAGATTTTTTTTTCTTTTCAAAATGCATTGTAACGAGATTTTACTGCATTTATATGATTATTATTTTTTTTCAAGCTCTATGCAAGGGCCTTGAAGACACTGGGCACCAACAACGGCAGCAGCAGCGTGTGCTCCTTGTTCTTCAACTCGGCCGTCCTCGCGTCCCTGCCGTCCAAGTGCAGTCGTCACAACACGCCGTCGCAGAGCCACGCCGTCACGAAGCTTCTCAAGAACTCCGTCGCCGGCGACCAATTGGACGTCGTGTTGATTTGCGAGCGTCGAGACGTGTTTGCCACTGCCTGCGCCGTCGCCCGAGCGTATCCCTTGTTTTCCCGCAAAACGTCGTCTTTGGGTGTGGATTCCGTGGCGGCGAATGAAACCCAGGTGCGAGTGGAGTACGTGTTGGTGGGAGAAGGAGGAGAGAAGACGTCGCTGGCCAAGGCGGACTTTGAGTGTTTGGACGAGATTGCAGAGTGTGTCCAGTTGGCGGCGAGGATCGTGGACACGCCGTGCAGCGAGATGAATACCATGCATTTCCTCAAGGTTTTTCCCGGAGATTTTAATGATTTTCTTGTTTAAATGGTGATGCAAATACGGTGCATGATTTTGATTTTATTTTAATTTCTTAAAAATTTGAATTGGACAATGAATTTTTTCGATTGAGTTTCACTATCAGCAAAAATGAGGTGGTAGGTATTGAGATGAATAGGAAAGTTTAATCAGCTGATGTCAAAAGGCTGGTGAGTTATTTGATGTCTGGTTTCAGAGAGCTGTACCTACCTTGGTTAACAAACTTGATTGGTTCCAAACAGAAGCTTGTCAACTGAATTTGATTTTCCCATAGACTTCAATGGAGACAAATTTAATCCATTCTGTGAACCCAAAAGACAATTTAACATTGAATATGAACAATTCAAGACCATCAACAATAATCAGAATAAGTTGTTGCTGCGTCTTTTGTGAGCCCAGAGTGTTTTTTACAGTGTTATACTGAAGAAGCACTGAAGCAAACAAAGATAAAAAAAACTCAACATCCAGAGAAACACTTACTGTATAGGATGCATGTCAGGTGAAAATGAATTTTGTAATGCTTAAATTAAATATCAAATATACCTTTCTAACAATTGAACAATTATGGAAAAACCAAGCATAGAAAGGCAAATGATTCTGTCACAGAAAAGCATTTATGAATAATGCAGCTGAAACAAATTTCAAAACACAAGTTTACACATACATTATTAGAACACCAGAAGGGAAGAATTTTCATATTAGTAAATAGATAAACAGTTTTACTTGGATTGTACCATACATTTCAGCCATCTAATCATATTTCAAATTTTCCAATTTGTGGTTTCCCCAGAAAAAAAGTTTGGAAACCAAAGTTTGTTTTGTTGATCAAAGAAATTTTTGCCAAAACAAAACGTTTTTTCCCCAAAAGTTGGTAACCAAGCAGTTTTTTGGCCAAGTGTTGGCTGCACATTTTTGTGGTTGTTGAAACACATTTTGTACAAAAACAAGAAAATTCCTCAAAATAAAAAATGTTCTGTCATGTGTGTTTCAACAGGCTCAGAATATCTCCAATTACAATTTCTAGCAATTCTTTCTCTCTCCCCACAAGACAAATTCTTGTTTCCCTAATGTGCATTTTTTACTGGTCCCTTGAAGTTGAACTTGGAAGAGTTTGGACTGTGTATTATTTGAGGAGACCAGGTTATGTTTTATTTACGCCTTTGAATCGATACAATCGGTCAATTTAGAGAGTTTCAAATTTAGTCTCGTGTTTTTTTTTGTGATTTTATTTTCTATTTTTTTTTTAAATTTGTTTTCTTGCTGCAGGAGATTGAGAAGGTGGCAGATGCGACGAAAGCCAAGCTGACTGTGATCAAGGGCGACGAGCTGCGCGACAAGGGCTTTGGCGGCATTTATTCCGTGGGTCGGGCGGCGGAAGTGCCGCCGGTGTTGGCGGTGCTGAGCCACGCGCCGCCGGGGGCGTCCACGACGATCGCCTGGGTCGGCAAGGGCATCGTGTACGACACTGGCGGCCTGTCCATCAAGTCCAAGACCGGGATGCCCGGGATGAAGCGGGACTGTGGCGGCGCGGCGGCGGTTTTGGGCGCCTTCAAGGCCGCCGTCCGACGCGGGTTCACCGAGAACCTACACGCTGTGTTCTGTCTGGCTGAGAACGCCGTCGGGCCGCGTTCCACGAAGCCAGACGACATCATCACTCTTTATTCCGGAAAGTGAGTGTGATATTTACCCTTTTTAAAAAGTTCATTTTGTGTGGTTGATGAAAACGCTCGAAATTTGCCAAAATAATATTTCATTTTACTTTACAAGGTAGCATAAATATATCTGGCGAAAGTGAAATAGCCTGAATTTGACAACAAAGTGCAAAAATATTGAAAGTGCTGCTGTGATTTTGGAAATTTTTGTACGAATCGAATCAAACTGTGTCTGCGTGTCACACCTCACGTTTTCCCATATGGGGACTTGACTGCATGGGAACGTTTTTGAGGTCATCTCCTATTTGGCAAACGCTGTACGAAATGTTTTTAAAAAATTTGAATAAAAATGTGTTGTTTTTTCCACTGTGGTATGCAGAAAATAATTATGCAGAAGAATGTGCCTTTTTGACATGAAAAGGGACCAAAGTGGGGACCCAACATATTGACAATCCAACTGGGTATCACTTGAAGCACAAAAAATTCTGCCTATAAGCATCTGGAAAATGTCTCAAGATACAAGCACTTTGCCAAAATTTTCCAGAAAAGTGGGAAAATATATATTTTTATGAAATATTGATGTCTCCTGGACAAATTGTGCTATTTAAGCCCACAATCAAATCCACCATAAATTTACTCTAATTCATTATCTAGAACCGGCTAATTTTGTGCTTCTTTATTTTATAATGTTTTCCGCCATTTTACACCTGAAACATATTTTTGGCTCTGTATTTGTTTGAGTCAGCAAGGAAGAGTTTCTTTCAGGAAGAAAAAAGTTCCTGCCATTCTTTGAAACCATGAAATAAATTCGAAAGTTGAAATTGATGAAAGACAAATGGCTGTTGATGCCAGCTGATCAGAGATAATGCATGAAAAGGCAGGCGAATTTTTTGGCCACGATTAAATACATACAAGGAACAAGCTTGTCCAAGCTCAGAAAAAAGCAATTAGATGCAAGCATGCAATTTCTTGGCTGTCCTGGAGAAAGAGAGAGTTCACTTCCAAAAATATGTTCACAGTAGACCAAAGAAAGCAAAGAAAATCGAGTGAACCATTTTAAAATCAATCAAAAATATCCCAGAAGAAACATTTCAATTTTCAGAGAAAAAGAAGGGATAGCATCTAAATTTGGACCAATAATAAAATTAAAACAGAAAAAGTTTTAGTTACAGCCATGTGAAATCAAAATGTTTTTTCTGGTGGTGGTCATCTTCCTCATTTGTAAATGTTTTTCTGGATGTGAAGATTTTTGAGTGCCATAATTCAATCCAACCCTACAGAAGATTATAATTACGCATTGGATACTGCATTAACTAATTGTGATTAAATATTTATCCTGAAGTTTTTAAAATTGACGTTTTCAGGTATATTTTGAGTGCCTGGAATGGATTAATTGATTTCCCATTGAAGTCTATGGGAAAATCAAATCTGGTCAACAAAATTTTCCACTGTTTATTGAATTTCTCATGAAATGGAGTTGCAAATCATTGCAACTTACAATAATAAATTATAAACAAAATCTGGTAGATGATTTTGTGTTGACCTTTTTAGATCTGCAAATTTATTTTGCAGTTGTGTGCCAGTGGATTATGGAAACCATCATTAGTTGATCTTCCCTCCAAGGCTGCCTATGGTGGCATTTGTTGAAACTTCAGTTCTTCAATATTCAACTTAGCTGTTGTAGTAGGCATATGTGCTGACAGTGCAGAAAATGTCTGGTTCTAACCAGACATGACATGCCCTGTCTTTCTGGATTATATGCTCTAATGGCTGAACCCAACCATGGATTACTTCTTTCATTCCCCCCAAAATTGTTCAGTGTTTTCATGCATCCAAAGAATGTGTCACTCTGTTTTATGGCTCATGTGTTTCACTTTGAGCATTGCCACAAGTGCAGTAGACACATTTCCAAATATTTTATATCAGTGGAACAATGTGCCAATTTTGTATCATCCAACATCCTCTTTGCAAAGAAATTGGTTTTCTATCTCACCTGTATCTACCATATATAATCTCATCCTAAAACGTCGCTTAGTGAATCAATTGTTGGCTGCTCAATCACTGGATGCAGAAGGTGAGAGCTTAATTACAAGTGTTTCACCTTTTTAAACATTTCCTTGTGCACATTCAATTTAAGAAGAATATTTATAGATGTATGGGATGAAGAATTCAATTTGTTGCTGGAAGTCAAAGAAGTGGATCCATTCATTCCAACCAACACAAAAGGATTTATTCCAAAGCATGGAAGGGAGCATCCAAATGAACATATTAGATCAAATGTACCAGTCAAGAGCAAGAAGATGCCTGGGGATCCTGGTCATTTTTTGCCATTTCCAGGAAAGAATAAATATGCTGCTGTATCTCCTGCAGCATTCAAGTTGGAAAACAAACAAACCACCAGATTTGTACCTTGGGCGCGTATTGTTGTGATTCATTCAGGATTGGCAGGTTCCCCAAGGACTGAAGAATCAGAATTGCTTCATCCCCAGTCACAGGATGCATCAACATTGCCATTATCATTGGTTGAAGCTCAAGGTGTGCCTGAGGCACCTGCAGAAAAATATAGTCCAGCTCATGATGTCCATGAGGACACATCTTCAGAAAACATAAAAGCTGGGCATCCTGCTGTGACTGATATTGTTGACTCCAAAGTCAGTGTAGAGTCAGACACAGGTTCTCTTGGGACCAAGGACACACTTGCCAAGAAAATGGACCTACCTGATGTTCCTGTTGAGAAAGGATCTTCAGAAAGAACAAACTCAACTCATCCTGTGTTGATTAATTTGCCATCATCATTGGTTGAAGCTGAAGGTGTGCCTGAGAAACCTGTTGGAAAAAATCACCCTGCTCCTGATGTCCACAAGGACGCATCTTCAGAAAAAATAAAAGCTGGGCATCCTGCCATGATTGAGTTTGTTGATTCCAAGGTCAATGTGGAGTCAGACTCAAGTTCTGTTGGGCTCAAGGACACACTTGCCAAAAAAATTGACCTACAGGATGTTCCTGTGGAGAAAGCATCTTCAGAAAGCACAAACTGGACTCATCCTGTCCTGATTAATCCAGAGGTTGTTGGTTCCATGAATAAAGAGTCAGACTTGAGTCCTCTGGGGAACAATAATGCTACTGAAGGGAACAGTAGTCTACCATATGATTATCCTGTGGAAAAGCCTGCAGAAAACAACCACTTCACTAATCCTGGACAAGAAGTGTCACTGATGGACATTTCAGATAGTGAGAAATCTTTGCATCTCCTGCAAATTCCAGCACTTGACATTTCTCATGCTCAGTACAGTCCACCCCTGCACAATGGACTTAATTTGTTGAACAGACTAGGCTGCTTTGCAAAAAGTCTGTTGTGCAGATTCAATTATGAACAAATGAAAGTTTATACTTTTTACCAATAATTTTAAGGCAACTGAAGTCTGTTGTGCAGATTTAGTCCATTGCACAGGAGGTAAAACTGCCTCCAGAGGCAGTCTGTTATTGTGCAAAAATCTGTTGCACAGAAAGTCCATTGTGAAGGGGTTGTCTTTGCAGCATAGTGTGAATCCTTCCAACTTGAATTTTAGGAACTGTTGGTTTGCACCTGGACCACCAATCAAGGAAAGAATTGGAATGTGAAAGAAGACATGGACCAGGCTGGGTTCCATTTGGTGAAACCTGTGTGGAAATTCACATGCAATGTGGGGAGAAGAGATGGATTGTTTGTAATCCTGCAAGTCGCAAATTTGAATGCCGGAGAATGCCGTGTGCAAATTCAGACTACAGTCAGCTGAAGAATGGGACCTGTGTAAAAATTGCTGATTTGGCCACCATGAAAGTGTGTGCTGAAAATCAGAAGATGTTCAAAGACAGATATGGGCAAATAAGCTGTGAATGCAAGGATTTGCATGCCTTCTGGGAACCTCATGGCAAATGCTATCCCTTGTACCAAAGAGGTCCTTGTGAGGCAGGGGAAGTGCTGGGACTGTCTGCAGACAAGAGACTATCATGCTTGCCCAACATTTGTGATTCCAATGCTGGGGTTGTTTTTGATGCAGCCTGTGGTTGCTGCTACAAACTGGGTAAGGTTTTCTGTTCTGTGGGTGCATGATTCAACCTAAAGTCAAGCCCTGATTTAGTTACACCCTTGCATATAGTGCCACATGCTGTATATCCTTGGTAAAAATCAGTGGTTGCTGCTACAAACTGGGTAAGGTTTTCTGTTCTGTGGGTGCATGATTCAACCTAAAGTCAAGCCCTGATTTAGTTACACCCTTGCATATAGTGCCACATGCTGTATATCCTTGGTAAAAATCCCCCTGCATTATGTTCTTACAGAAATCCCCTATTTATTGTCACCTCACTGAGGGATCAAAAAGTCTTTGTCATGCTTAAAAATTGGCTGAAATTGAAGTAAAAAAATTAAAGCAATTTTCCATGGATTTCATTTGGTTATAACACTTGTTACTGCAAATCACATGCCCATTCTGACACAACACTCAGGGTAATTGTGAACAGTATATTTACATTGCCAAATATACATACTGTTCACAATTGCTGAACAAGGGTCAAATTGTGATGCAGTGAAAATATAAGACAATGTCAAATGCAATGTTTTCTACTTTGTATTTGATGCTCTGTATCTCCATGTGGGTTGAATTAAGGGGCAGAGGTTGAATTGTGAGTCAATTTCCCAGCAAATTTGACTGTCAAAGGTTGGGATGATGGGGACAAATTGCACGGTGGTCAAATTGCAAGGTACCACCTGTACTTTCTTATACAAGTGTTACCTTGCAATTTGACCTTCTGCAACTTGACCATCCCTGCAATTAGACAGTCAAATTTGCAGGGAAGTTGACTTGAAATCTGACCCTTGCCATGCAATTTAACCAGCTTTGGCCAAAAAAAAACGTGCCGATAAAAATTAAAAGTTTTTCAAAGATCGTTAAGTTGACAAGACGTTAAGTTGGGATCACACCGTTTGATAATCCCTGTTTAACGTTCCATGGTGGACTTGGTATGTAAAAAGCTTTGCAGGTACAAAAGGTCCCTGTGCTCGGAACCTCATATTTTCTCTGGATAGAAAAACTCTTGAACCTGTTTGCATCAACTCAGCCAAACCCACAGAGTTCCTGAATTCAGCCTTCACCTGTGCCCTAGGATCAATCCGGGCCTGGAAAAATGTCTGCCTGAAGAATTTAACCATTTTTGGTGACGTGTGCCAGGAACAGAACCCCGGGGAGTTATATAATGCTGAAAAAATGTGCAAGATTCCTCTGCTGGAGAAAGAACCGTGCGAAAATGCAGGAACGTGGCGCATATTGGATCTCAGAACGAGTCAGCCGACTTGTGTGGAGGAGCCATGTTCCCCATCAGAGTGTTTGATTGCAGAATCCGGCATTTGCGAGGATTGCAAACGGTTTGGGGAGCAGTGTCAAAAGAAGGGGTTTCGCGGAGTCCTGACTGTGCACGGCACTGCCATGTGCGACTGTGCTGATTCCACGGCGTATTCCATTTTTGCAAATAAGTGCTTCCAGTTGCACACCAGGGGGCCATGTGGCAAAGATGAGATTTTTGTGTACACTTACAACGAAACATTCACACCTTCTGAATTTGACAATGGTATGCGATGCGAGAAGAATATTTGTGGTTATGAACGCAGTGTTGTTTGGAGCAATGGACAATGCTACACACTTGGTGAGATAAACAGAGTCGAACAAAAAAAAGAAAGTCTTATGACGGACCAAAAATCTCACGTGTAGGGGTGGTGTACACTATTTAAGTTTCAAACTATATGTTTTTGTTAATTAATTGTTTACTTTACCCAAAGAGTCTTCAGAATTGAGTACAGTAAAATTTCATTCTGACAAATCCTGTTATTGTCAGGACTGTAGAACAACTTTTTTCCCCAAGTCCTATAAAAAATCCTACAGGGGACATGTTTTAAAAATCATGTTACAAGAAAATCTCCAATTCCAGTGTAAGTAACTTTTTTTTTTGAGGAACACATGATTTTCCAAATGAAAAATACTCAATGAAGGTGGGCATAGTCTCAAATTTCCACTTGAAATGTAACTTTGACTGATTCTTGGGAAATAAATTTTGAAACCCTGCAGCAATTGGAGCAAGGTCTTAAGAATGATGTTAAATTGTTTTGGAAAATCCTTGACTTCAAAAAATACCCAAAAGTCTCTACAGTACTCCAGGGCATACATTAGAAGGACTGTACAGTATTTCTATTTTTTCATTTTCAAAGTCAGACACCATTAGAGCAAGAATAATTATAATCAGAAGCATCTACCAATTTCACTTTTCCCCATTGATGATTTGCTGAATCTCCAAATTTCTCAGAAACCCATTTCTTGTTGCAACAACTTTTTTTTTTCTACAGGACAATAGGCTCTTGGTTACCAAACTTCTGACTTTGAGAAAAGTTTGCTTGGTTAACGAACTTCTTGAGGGGAAAATCCCTAATTTGAAAATTCAAAATTTGATTTCATGGCTGAAATTTATGGTACAGTCCAAGTGCAAATAATTCACCCATATGCACTAATATGAAAATTATTCCCTTCTGGCCTTGAAATGTATGAAATCTTGTGTCAATTTTAATCCAAGTCGTTATCATAAGTACATACGAAGAGACACTACCTTAAAGACATAAACGAAAAGACTTGAACTCAAAAGATCAAGTTAACATTCAATCACGATGTCATAAACTAGAAGTGAACCAGCATTAAAAAAACTAATTTCACCTGACATGTATCCTACACAGTTTCTGTTTCTTTGGATGTGAAATTTTTTTATGCTTGTTTTCATCAGTGCTACTTCCATGAAACACTATTAAAACATTCTGGACTCATAATCCTGATGTTACTTCATGTTCTCAAATTTTTTATATTTACTGTTCAATGGTCTTTTGTGCTCAAAGAATGAATCAAATGCTTCCCCATTGAAGTCTGTGGGAAAATATGATTTGCTTGACTACCGTTTATGTCAAAAAACTTTTTTTCAGGAACCAATTGAGTTTGTTAACCAAGGGTGCACTGTATACTGGAATCAGCAAGTTTGTTATGGGTAGATCATTTGAGAATGTGCTCTGGCTTTGAAAAAAAGTTTTCTGTACGTTGTAATAAGATTTCAGTGCATATTTGTGAAGAGATGCATTTTCTGTGTGGCACTTATTTTTCCACTATTGCCAATTTTGAGGGCAGGTTGTAAGTAACTGAAAAAGAAAAATTATTCATAGATTCACAGGGCCCGTGTCAACCGCTGGAGAAACTTTTGATCAATCCACAAACCTTGCGACCCGAATGTTTGAGGATCAAAGAAGAAGAACCCAATGCCCATAGCATTTTTGGCGGTTTGACGTCATTCCTTGGATGTAGCTCCTTTTCAATGCGCGACTTTGGAGGAAAGTGTCTGGGTGGATTGTCTTCAGTTCAGCGGGCTTTTCGACACCTGGGAAATTGCGGATTCCGTTCCATTTTTGGCCTGTGTCCACCTAGCCCGCTTTTTTGAATGCATGAATGTGAAGACCTTTGTTTTACACAGGAAAAGGTTGATGGAAATAAAATTTTGCACACATTTTTTAATCCATCAGGATTCATTCTAACCCTTGTGTGGCAAAGTTGGGATATTTGTGCAAAATTTTGCACCCGTGAACAGTGGGAATTGAAAAAAAATCATACATTTGTACCAAGAACTAAGTTTGGGAAAATTCCAATATATTTTTTTAATCCTGTGGAACACTTTGCATGAAGAAAAATTCCTCACTGGGTGGCATTTTTTCCTGCATTCCTATTGTGTAAGGATCAGGATTGCTGTGGATGACAAATTTACTTCTTGGAGTGCTTCAGCACATTGCTTCATTTTTCTTCAATTACCAGGATTTAAAAAAATGTTCATATTTTAATCTATCATTTTTTATAATTTTTAATCTTTCAGGATCAATTTTCACCCATGTGAGGCAAAGTTGGGATATTTTTGCATAATTTTGCACCCATGAGCACCTAAGCTTTAAAATTCCTACTCTTGTACCAAGGCCTAAGTTGGGAAAAAGTCCAATATTTTTTTTCTAATCCTGCAGACAATTATGCATGAAAAAAATGCTCACTAGGGGGCGTTTTTCCTGCATTCTTAGCATAGAATTAGTACTGGAGATTCCTCAAACCATGAGAAAATTTGCCTCAAGGATTTTTTCCAACTTGGGCCTTCCTGACCTGGGAACATTTCACTGCAGCAATTCTTTCCTGTAACAATTTGATGCAGTAAGAGAGTTTGCACTAAATCTGGGTTTCTTTCAAGAGCATAATTTAGGGAAATATGTTCCACCAGAAAATGTGGTACTATGCAAGTGTGGTACTAAATTGGGGGGCACTAAATTGAGGGTTGACTATAGTTTGATTTCTTAAAGAGATGGATTTTTTTTTACATCTTGGATGTCCCTATATCTCAAGACATTTTTTTTATTTTTGTGCCCAGTTGTGGCTGGGCACCCCCAGATTGTACCCTGAAAATGCTTTACAGAAGCTAACTAGGGTCTGTGATTTGTCTCCAAATGGACTCAATTGTGAGGCTATAGACAGTCAACATCATTGATCCTGCCAAAAGAAACTTTGAGTTAAAAAATCCTTTGAAGTTCCAGGAAAAAGTTTATGCATTGCATTGTGAAGTACAATATGTTGCCTGGAGTATTCAGCTGACCCCAGATGATTATAACCACATTCTGGGTTAATCTCAAATCCCATTGATTTGCAGTCTCTTCCCTCTTCTGCTGGAAAGAGCAGTTAGATGAAAATATAAATTAATGTATACTGTACATATTTGGTTAACAAACTACTCAGTTAACAACATTTTTCTCATCTTGACACATATTTCTGATTTTGGGACAGATATTTTGAGCATGAAATGTCCTTCATTAGGTGAGCACATGTTGATTTGAATTTGAAGCTTTGTTCAAATGTTTGTGCTCCTTTTCTGAGTCAAAGATGAAAAAAAAAACTTGAAGGATGTTGGATTTATAGCCAAGAAGGATAACTTACATAATAAGAGTGGACTTTTTTTTGCAGGACTGTGGAGGTGAACAACACTGATGCCGAAGGAAGACTGGTGTTGGCTGATGGTGTGGTTTATGCTGATAAAGTGCTCAAGGCTGATGTTATTGTGGACCTGGCAACTTTGACTGGCGCCCAGGTGAAGAGAAGTCACGCGTTTTTCTTTTGTTTTCTTGAATGTGTCATTAAAGTTGTTGGCCATTTTTATGGCAGCTAATGATTTCTTCTCGAATTTCAAGAGGATTTTATTTTGTTTTTGTGTGAAATCAGCGGAGAAAAAGTGAAAATCATTGTTGGTAATTGGATGAGTAGAAAAATAGCGTGTGGCCTTGAGCAACGAACCTAATCGATTTCGGGTGGGTTTGTTGCTCAAGGCATCCTATTGATGCAAGTCTCAATTTGCCACATTCATAATCTCTGAGCAAATTTTTATTTTCTTGGTTCCAGAGTTGAAAAAAAAATCAGGAAGTTGAAAAAAAAGTTTGCATGGAAAATTAAAAAAACATACAAGTGTACAATTTTGAAAAGCTTGAACAAATTAAATTGAAATGCCTTCATGATTTTAATCTCCCTTTTTTTGAAGTTGATTTTATATTTAAATGTTTGTTTCCCATCTGTGAAAATGTTGTCACGGAAGTGTGAAATTTTCTCAACTTTCAGAAAAAAGATTTTATTGATTTTGTCTTTTTTTTTTTTCACGGGAGGTTCGTTTCTCTAGATCATGAAATGAAAAGCTGCGATAGAGAATTCGTTGTTGATTCGCAGAACTGTCAAGAAACCCTTCTTGTGCCAAAAAGAAAAAAATTGAAATCTTGTTGTAAGGATTTTCTTTAAAAAAATTCCTCTATTCACGAAATGTTTTTTTTTTTTATGAGTCCCCTGCTTTTTTCGCCTCAAGGTTTTCGACGTTTATGTAACAAGTGTTGATGGCCTCTTGTTGTAACGTTGATCTGATTCGTTCGATTTCGCGCTTTTCGAATGTTCTGTTTAATAATTCCGGAAGATGATTTTTGCAGGGTCCTGCGACTGGGAAATACCACAGTGCCCTGATTACCAACGACGAGCAGTGGGAAGAGATTGCGGTGAAAGCAGGTCGTGTTTCCGGTGACCTCGTCCATCCTTTGCCCTACGCCCCGGAACTTCATTTTTCCGAATTCAATTCTGCTGTGGCTGACATGAAAAACTCTGTGGCTGTGAGTTGTGTTGCATTGTGAGAAAACAAGAGTAATGTACATCAGTACTGGACCTTCGGTTAACAAACTTGATTGGTTCCAGACAAAAAGTTTGTCAACCAAATTTGATTTTCCCGTGGACTTGAATCGGGAAGAATTTAACTTGTTTCATGAGCCCAAACGACAATTGAACATTAAATTTATTAATTCAAGACCATCCACTAAAATCAGGCTAAGTTATTTCTGCATCTTGTGTATGTGCATGGAATGTTTTTACAATGTTGCTTTTTTTTGAAGTAGCCCTGATGAATAAAACAACCTGAAAAATCATCAAATCAGAGAAACACACACACACTGAAGGATACGTTTCCAGTAAAAATGTAATTTATTTGTAATGCTGCAAAGTAACAATCAAATGGACCTTTCTAACAATATTGAACAACTATAGAAAAACCAAGCATAGAAAAGCAAAATAATTTTTTTTACAGAAAAGTTTGTATGAATAATGTAGATGAGCAGATTTTAAAATACAAGGTAACACATATTAAACTGCCAGGAGGAAGGTATTTTCATTTTAGGGCACAAGTGAATAATTTGCACTTGAATTTTACTAGACGTGTCAGCCTCAAAATCAAATTTTCTTATTCTAAATTTGAGATCTTGCCCCTGAAGAAAGTCTGTTTACTAGTTTTTTGTTTGTTAACCAATGGTCCACTAGAATATGGAAAAAAGTTGACAAGACAATTGGTTTCCTGTTGTGGGTGATTTACATGAATTGAAGCTGTCGATTTTGTGAAATTGAATTTAGAATGTGGGATTGATGTTTTTTTAGCAGATGGAATTCAATGTGAGTGACAAGAAGCTTTGTTTTTTGAAAATTCAATTTAATTTTTTTTGTGCTGTGGTAAAATGTCGAACTGTGTTTTAGCACTTTTAGGACAGATCTTTTTTTATTTACAGTGTATAAATTCTCTTTTTTGAAATTCTCGATTAGCGTGAGCATCGTTTCTTTCCCCTTGTTTCTCAGTGATCTAGCACTTGAGTTATGCTTTAAAAAGTGAGACAAGTTTATGGAAATTCATTTCATTTGTACAGTTAAGTCCCTGCATAACGAAGAATTTTAGGAGACGAAACATGACCACAAAAGTACGGATAGGAAATTTTTTGGCCTGGAAAATGCGCAAATTTGAACAATTTTTCAACTGTAAGTCGAGAATTTGTCAAAATTCAATAAAAATATACGAAAGAAAAGCATAGTTTGTTCAATCTTCTTTTCAGTGCAAATTGAAAATTGTAGAAAGTTATGAGCAGGAGTTGTGAGGATTGCTTCAATTTAACACTAAGTCGTATCAATTTCATAATTTGTATGATGAGAAATGCAAACATTTTATACTTTTCAATGGCTTTTGCTGAATGATTGGAACCAATTGAATAAATTACTATGTTATCCTTTGATGGGAAACGCGTTTCGATTAAATAAATTCAATTCAGGAGCGGATTATTTTCGTTATTTGGAACCCGCTGAATTCGAATCTGCATGAAAAAAATAGAAGTGTGAAATACTCGAAATCCATCGGGGTTCAGAAGTTTAATTCCTCTCATTTTCGTGTCAAATGTGAGGTTTGGTTATTGATATATCTCTCCTTTTTTTTTGCAGGATCGAGACAATGCCCAGCCCTCGTGTGCTGCGTTGTTCATAGCTTCACATTTGGGTTTCGACAACCCCGTAACTTGGATCCACGTTGACATGGCAACCCCTGTGGCTGTGGTGAGTCTCTGCTGGAGAGACGCCTGAGGGGGTTTTGTTTCTTTTCAAAATGAGATTAGTTTTGGAAACGTTGAGGGGAACCCGATTATTATTTTCATATTTTTTTTGCTGTGCAACTGGAAACCGAAAAATTTAAAATAAAATATTGATTTCTCGCAGATAATTTCCCAAAAATTGACAAAAATTTAGAGATTGTCGAGTTAGAATGTATGAGGAACCTTCCAAATGTTTTATTTTATTTTAACTTCAATTTGTTTATTGTTTGAAATTGCATACAAATTTTTAATATTTTTATTATAATCATATTAGAATGTTTCATTTCAAGCTTAATTTAAATGCAGTTTTTAAAATTCTTTTCTATTTTTACTTTATCTGTTTGAAAATTTGTAAATAATATTTGTTTCTAATTTTTTCAATTTTTTAGAGGAATCCCAGCGAGAAATCCGAAAGTTTGAATAGAAAATTTGCTGTTTTTGGAATTCTCTGTCTCACATTTTCCGAATGTCACTTCGTGTCATTGTGCGAGTGAATTTCTTTTATTCTTGAATTTCTTTTGCAATTTCTTCTTCACACGAAAGTTTGAATAGAAAATTTGCTGTTTTTGGAATTCTCTGTCTCACATTTTCCGAATGTCACTTCGTGTCATTGTGCGAGTGAATTTCTTTTATTCTTGAATTTCTTTTGCAATTTCTTCATCACTTCTGTCATCATGACATGAATTTACACTTCATTTCTTTTTTGGTCTGGCGAAGGCACCCGATTTATAGTCTGAATAGTCGAGGGTTTTTGTCTCAATTTATCTTACTCACGGATTTATTCTCTAAATTTTTTGTTTTAAAAATTTTCTTCACATGCTTTATTAATTTTTTATCTTTTTTTACTTGGCTAGAGACATTCTTACTAGCAGAGTTCCAAACCAAAGGGGGTTTAAACGAACTTTCTGATTGAAAATAGGGCGCTCAGCCAATTTTTTCCTTCAGACAATTTCTTGGAAAAGTCGTGAACAGTACTGAAGTAAAAATTAATGAGTACCGGAATTCAAGGGAATAAAGTCTTCGCGAAAATAAATTAGCAAAAATCTCTTCTGTTTCTGCATTTACGTAGTACAGTATATCCCTCGTTGTACTACTGGTTCAAATACTCTTAATTCTACTGCAAAATTGAGTTTTTATGATTCGTCTTTCTTTTTTTTTATTGCAGGGAGAAAGAGCGACTGGTTACGGTGTGGGATTATTGAACGTGATGTTTGGCAAGTACTTGAAGTCGGACTTGTTGCGTTCCGTGAGTCCGTTGACCGAGGAAAATGCCGCCAATGGGACAAAAGACGGAGAGACGCCTGCGAAAAAAATGCGAACGGTCTAAGGGGAAAGGCGACTGCAAAAAAAAAAGAGTAAATAATGCAAGATTGGAGAAAAAAAAATGAGGGAAATTGGGAAGAATATGCGTCTGTGAACTAAATTCCCGCGTGTTGCTGCTCATGGGGACCGATCGAGTAATGAATTATTTTCGGGCGAATTATGATCGACTTTTCAATTTTTGCGTCTCTTATTTTCGCTCAAACACCGGAAAATATCCTTACTTTTTTTTCATAATCCGAAACCGGATTCTTAAAGATGTTTTTCTTTTTTTTTGCGGTAGATTGCTAAAATTACGAAGTTACCATCTAGTGCCGGTTTATTATAGTGCTCTAAATTTTTTGAATTTTAAATTTAGAAGTGCTGATGAGAAAAAATGTTACGACATATGCCAATTTTTATTCAGGCTCCTGAAGGTAAATGTGGAAATATTGACTGCCCAGAAAATATCAGCTTATTTGGACCATGATTGAGGAATATATTTTTTTACGTGACTGTGAATGAATGAAGTGCTGTTTTCTGATTTTTGGTTATAAATCTCTGTGAGGGGGTTTTCAGCAGAATTTCAAACTCTCAAGAAATTTCCAATCACGCCTTTTGATCAGTGTAAAAAAAAAAATGTACGAGGGTTTCACTTGTTTTTCTGCTTTCAAAGAAAATACTTCCCCCTTATTGCTGTGGAAGTATTCATAAAAAAAAATTCTGTACCTGAATCCAGGCAAGGATGAATTTTGTTTTTGCTGGATTTTTTTCCGCAACACTTTGTTTCTTCAAGTCCACCAAATTTTCCTTCAGCTTGTGACTTGGCCTCTCCTGATCTGACATTAGACACATTATTGGATGCATGGGATTTGATGATAACATCCTGGATGTGCAACTAGAATATTCAAAATAATTTACTGGACGGTTACGTTTTCTGCAAAAAATTCTGATTCAATTGTTTTTTTTCTGGCACTTCATAGATTTATCTTGCCCAATGATAGATACTGCATATCTATAAATAATCTTTATTTGCTAATTTTCACATATCCAATCAAACAAATATCAGCATGGAAGAATTTAAAAAAATGTATGAGTTTTAGCAGAAAATACATACCAGAACATGAAAATGCAAGATTGGTTTTGGTACACATGCTTAGACTTTCTTCCCTTATTTCCAAATGAAAAAAAATTAACCATCAGTAATAAAAATCACAGGACTGGGCAATTACTGATCACAAATTAGAGCACAAATTTGCCTAATGAAAATAATTAATTCCTGTGCATTGTACATAGAGAAATGTTGTACATGGCCTAACTTTTTACTAATGCTCCAAAACATTGCATGGTGAGGAAATCTAGAACAAAGGTGAGTGTTTTCACTGTACTTCCTTAACAATGTACTGTGTTCACTTGAGTACTACCATTTGCCCTACCTCAAGTAAGACCTTACTTTTCAACTCACAATTTCGAAAAAAAATGCCATCCTTGGAGAAGCCCTTATAGTTTCAAGTTACCAAATTCATATTTTGAATATTACCTGGTGCTTGCAGCTAAATACAGGCCCATTTGAGAGTTGAAGTCAAGCTTGGTGTTTTTTTGCCCTGTGCAACCAAAAAATTTTTTAAAGAAGAGAACTCTAATAACAATTTTAAAATGAGGAAAGAAGTTGAAACATAAAAAAACTTGCTTGACATTTTGTGTTCCAGTTTTTTTTTATATGTACTTGCAATAATGCAGTTTAATTGAAATGTTGCCCATGGCAATACGCAAAGGTGTTGTGCAGTAGAAAAATAATTCTGTATAATATAATTATTTTCCAACTGCAGAAAATCAAGATGAAAATTATATACAGGAAGTGTGCATGTTGGAATGAATGCTGCAAAAATGGGGACACTGACACTAAACAGCTCACACTGGAAGAGAATCTTCTCCATTTCTGTCATTATACACATCCATCTCATCTGAGTACCTCATTGACCTGACTTTGGGTACCCATCCAAAACTGCATATTGTTGGACGAGTCTTTGACCTCCCAATTATTGTTGTTGCTAGTTTGAGTGCAGCACCCATTAATCTTTTCCCCTTTATTTTCTGCAGAAGCCTGCCAAAAGGAGGAAACCAAATTGAATCCCCTTGATGGAATATTCCAACCTCCTTGGTTTCCAGAAGCTAAATCGTGTTTCAAACCAGGGTTGAGTGAATAAGATGCACCATGCAAGGTCCATTTAGCTAATTTCCATCTTTGATCTTCCAAATTGAAAAAGGTTCCTGTTCTTAAATGGCTGAAAAAGGTCCAGGAGATTTGAACTATTTCACAATCTTAACACAACATGAACCAGGGGCCTCTTTTCTCATATGTTGAGTGAACAAATTGAATTGAGCAGGAAGCTTTATTTTCCACTTTAAAGCATTCACAAAGTTCACACAACATTCCCACATCCAAAACCCACTCCCAACCCAAATCCTTTCAATAGCACTCAATCACTTCAAAAGGAAAAAAAAGACTAGCAAGTTGCATGTAGATACCAAAAGGAAATAAAATACATATCCCACAATGTACATCCTCACAACTGGTGTGAATGCCTACACCCCCTTCCTTCACTGATGACAGACAAAATATCAGTAATGAGAATTGCGACCCAATTGCCTATCCCAATTCAAAGTACAAGGTCTTCAGCCTGTTCCCAGACAAAGTTTAGTTGAATAAATAATTTGGAGTGGATCTTTGATGAGAAATCATGTAAGGCCAACAATTTGTCTTGGTCTTCTAGGATTTTAGAAGGGATCTTTTCATTCAATTTCAATATTCCCAATTATTTTTCAAGCTTGTTTGTGTAAATGTGGAACAATGGGCATAAGAAAAGAAGGTGCTCTGGTGATGCAATAACCAGTGTATTTATACTGCATTAATTGCACCATATAGACACCTTTGAAAATTTAATGATTTTTTTTATTAAAGTGCCATGCATTTGTTAAAATAGCTATGGTATCATATACCAAGGGGATGTTAGATGATACATTTAGTAATGGTTTAGTTTTGCCACAAGCAAGATCAGCTATTAATTTACTTGATTCAACAACATCATAGTCAGCTTTTGTCCCACCCACTGATAAAAATTGCATAATCAAATTTTGAAGTTTTGGACAACTTTTCAATTGATCCACTTCAAGCTTCCAAGTTTCAACATTTCCTCCCAAAATTTACAGCATCTTCACTCCAGAAAATCCATCCCCTTACTCGTGCTGGCTCAGCACCAGAAGAAAACTCAGAAAAGGGTTAAGATTAAAGGCTTTGGTGGCCAATGTCCACTGCATTCCAGCCCATACTCAAGAATAGCCTTTGAAAATAATTTTGCAGCAGTCCCAGGATTCTGCAAAGTTACCCAAAATCTCTGCACTTTCCCTAGCAATTTTGCGGCCCTTCATGTGTGAAATGAATGTGCAACTTGCCGTGATCCTTTTTCAAAATGGCACATGTTGCTTATAATTTTTAACCAGATTTCTGGTCCCCTTCTGACCTCTTGATTCAGAAAATTTCCAAAATGCCAATTTTTGTAAAAACAATATTTTGGGGGAGAATTCCCCATTTTTCTGAAAATCAATATAATGTCATTGTAAAAATGGATTATCACAGAAAACATGTTTCTCTGCAATGATGATCCATTGAGATACCAGCCTGAGTGTTTTTGCAAATCCTGCAATTTCTTTTACACAAGGATCCTCTTGTGCAGATTTCCCTCCAGTATCACCCAAAATTCAGCTTTCAAAAGTCCTCATGGTTGGGGCTGCATCTAGCGACAATAGAAAGGTCCCTTCCATTCAGGGCACCCTACCACACATATTGCTATATGCATGCCTCTTTTCAGAGGAGAGACTGGAGAACGTGTCGGTGAGGTTGGTCGGTCCTCGTCCCCGACTTTCGGTAGTTCAGAGACAGCTTCAGGGCTTACTCCCAGCTACTTTCAGACAAAGACAGAATCTTGGTGAGGGACTGGTCCAAATCCCTGAAAGGTGTGTGCACCTTTGAAAAAGTCACCTACTGACAGCCAATGCTTGGCTAGTAAGTATCTACCAACTTGGAAATGCAATTCATCAAACAATTCTCCAGAAATTGGACTTATTGGGAGCCATGAACCTTTCTCAAAAATAACAACACTTGGTGTGTCAGAGAAAATTGCCCCATTTGCAAAAAGAAAGCTTTTTAGATACATCAATTGTGAAGTATGCAGAAATTAGAGAACTCTTCATGTCTCAAACACAGAACTATTTCAATCATTCCAAAAATCCCAGATGATCTTAAAAGTAAGTGAAATGGAGCAATATTTTTTTTTCAAAATGGTCATTTAAATTTAATTTTGAATCCAGGTACCAAAATCAGTGTAGGTATGTTAGTCTTCTCTTTTTTCGTCCCTATCGTTCCTGGGTAAGTACAATCCCTTAGTCCCGTATGGACTCTGTACGGAGAGTCTAACACACAGTATAAACTATCCTAAACTCAGTGCAAAAGACAGCTTCAGGAGAAAGCAGATGATAGAAAAAGTTGAAGTTTTCATTTATAAGGTTTTTTCTGTCTTTTACTTAATCTTGAAATTTCTTTGATGGCTATCAACAGGAACCTTTGACAGTTATAGATGCAGAAACATCTCTCTTAGTGATATTCTTTGATTTTTTATTTCATACAAAACAGTTTCGAGATGTAGCACAAACAATCTAGAAATAAAATGAAGCATGGTTTTTTGAATTCAAGAAAATTCTTTCCATTTCAGATTGTGACAATCTTGGGGAGTCAAATGAGATGAAGACCTGTCAATATTCTACTGACATCAATTTGGGAAAATTTCTCAAATAATGCCTAGGCCATGTATTTATGAAACTGTTGTGCAGCCTATAGTGAAGTACAGCAGTCTGCCCATTTTGAGAATGAGATTTCAAAACAGCAAATGTTTCAAGGAATGCTTGTACCACCTCTTCATGACATCAGTATCTTTCTAAAGCAATACTATCACGTTGAGAAATACCGGTATAATACGTCGGTTTACGTCACCTCACGGTAAATAAGAAAGGGAACGTAGTTGTAATCGTGTAAGACCATCGTTACGAACTTGGTGGACAGATACTGGTATAACACTTCGTAAGTGTATTGGAGTCCACTTTTCTTCTTCCCTAGCATAAAAAAGCACCTTCATCACACAATAGTTCAACCACTGATTTGAAGCCATTATGTGCAGAAAATTTAATGGAGTTTCCCAATTCGAGTTTGTGCGTTGTCATGAGCACCTTTTTTGAGCAATGTTTCCACTGCATCTTGATGACCATTTTGTGCTACCATGTGTGATGGGGTCTGATTTTGATTGATTCTTGCATCAACCACAGCACATTTTCCAAGCAATGCTTGCACCACCTCTTTTATTATGACCATTTTAGGCAACAATGTGCAATGGAATCTAATGATCTTCATCTGTTCAGTGAACCAGAGCATATTCTTGAAGCAATATTTGCACCACCTCTACATGACCATTTTGTAAAGCCAACTCTAATGGAGTTGACCCATTTTGATTTATTGCTTTGACATCTGCACCTTTTTGAAGCAATGCTTCCAC